GATGTTGGTGCATACGGGAAAGAATGTGATTCAGCGGTATTCAAACAAACACAATATTGGAAAAACTTATTAAATGATAGATTGAACACACTATCATCTACAAATAAACTAGGAACTGATTGTGATCTACCATACGTATTCGTTGGTGACGAAGCATTTGCCCTACATGAACATGTACTTCGACCGTTTGGTGGTCATCAACTCGATGAATTAAAAATTACATTCAACTACCGTTTGACAAGAGCAAGACGGTATGTTGAATGTACATTTGGAATAATGGCAAATAAATGGCGAATTTGACATCGACCATTAAATGTATCTACGGATTTAGCAGTTGATATAGTAAAGACTTGTTGTTTGTTGTAAAATTTTATTCACAAAGAAGAGGGAATTATTAATAGTATATCTAACGATCCAACTACTGAAGATCTAAACTCCGATCTACGCCAATTACCTCGTTCAAATTCGGTAAGAGGTAGCTTAACATCAAATATTATTAGAAATAAATTTGCTGAGTACTTTGTGTCGCCAGAAGGGAGATTACCGTGGCAGAATCAGTATATTTAACGAAAATAGAGAAAAATATTATATTTGTATAATAAATAATAAATAATAATGAATAAATAATTAATGTAAACTTACCAAATTCGTTTTTTTCTTTATCAGATAATGTATCAAAACTTGGATGTATCATTTTGCAGATGTCCATCCATGCCGTAAAATTAAGCTGTTTAATTTTGTATCTTTCTGAAGTTTTATCCCAAAGCACAGGTCTATTTTCAACCAGGGAAATCAACATTTCAATATCGATATCAATATCCATATTCATGGGTTTTAAGTTTGATTTTAAATTGAGAATTGAAAAAAAACGGAGCGAATACCGGCGTTGTCAACACACTCGTATAGACTAGCGTGGTTCACTGCAACGTGCCGGCGTCCGGTGTACCGAGGGGACAACGTACGGCGATCCGGTGTTAATCAGTTAACGGATGGTTGTCCGGTGCATTAACAATCAAATATACTAATCTATGCAACACTGTGCAACGGATAACGGTCCGTTGTAGAAAACGGACCGTTGTCCGTCGCCGTTAACAAGAGCTCTTAACGTTTTACTACAAGTAACGAAAGCGCCACCGGCCCAAATATTGTGACGATAATAAATAATNGTACGGCGATCCGGTGTTAATCAGTTAACGGATGGTTGTCCGGCGCATTAACAATCGAATATACTAATCTATGCAACACTGTGCGACGGATAACGGCCCGTTGTAGAAAACGGACCGTTGTCCGTCGCCGTTAACAAGAGCTCTAAGGAAACGTTTACCAATCTGATGTTTGTTACTCCCAACTCGCACGAATGTGCAATGTAAACATTGCACGTGTGTAATAAACCACAGATATAGATAGAACATATAGAAATTAAATAATTTTCTATTTATATATATATTATTATTTGTGAATATTATGGAAATTCTCAAACGTAATCAAAACAATTAGAACGACCGTTGATGAGATATTAAGAGGGCGTGAATGGTCAACCTAACTTGACCAATTTTTGTTTATACATGTCGACATATAAATAATTAAATATATATATATGTATATTATGTCTATACTTCGGAGTCATGAATTAACATGTATATCTTAATCCGTGTTCGGAATAAATTTTCTTGTACAAAAAAAAATTAAGGTCAGGTTATAAACACATAAGAATGTTCTTCAAAGACCATTATCTAAATCATAGTTATAGTATATTACTCTATAATTTAACTATAATCAATTCCCTCAAATTATAAATCCAATGAATCATTAAGAAATTCAGATGTACCTATAACATTAATAATGTTCTTATAACTCATATCTCACTACTTTTAAACCATACTAGGCTTAATATTTTTAGTATTTAAAATTTAAAATGATTGTCTTGTATGAAAAGACGTGTTATATAAAAAATGATATAATCAGATTGACAAACTGATCTTTACAAAAATAAATAGATTCACCAAAAAGATTGGGTTACACAGATAAATAATTTAAAAAATTGATCTTTCCAATGATCAAATTAAATACCAAAGTTTAGGCATAATAATTTGTTGTTCTTCCTGATATAAGAAAATAATGAAATCAATCTTGTTTAATTATAGTATACACAATGGATAGGAAAAATGCACAAGTATAGGAAAAGTAAACAAGAAAATATTTTCAATAACGCAAAGTAATTATTTTATAAAAATCAAAAATACTCTGTATTGTGGTAACGGATCTTGGAATAATTCATATTTTTAAGTTTTAAATATTATAACTAATAGCATTATTAAGTTTAAAATAATATGCTATTTGATTAAAAAAAATATATATATCTATATAATATATACAAAATAACACAGTAATACAATTATGTACTATTTACTATCACATAATACCTATACATTAAAAGTTTGTGAGACCAATATTTTTTTTTTTTATTTTGTATATTCTACAATGAAAAATTACAGTATTTATGTTTTCTCTATTAAATTTTGAATACATAGATATAAGTCAGAAAGATAAAGGCCTCACAATTACTTTGATCATGTAAACCAATTTAAAAATATAAAACCTATATTTTATATTAAAAAATTCTCATGTGATACTTCTTTTGATTGAGATCATTAATCGTACTTTTTTTTTTAAATTTATGTTAAATGATCAATTAAGTAGTTTTGACTAAATTAATAGATAATAAATTATTAAAAATACAAATAATTATAAACTAGTTAATTAGACAGTGGTAATTAAAATTGTCAAGTTTCTATACATAAATTATATAAATATATAATTTTTCATACATTAAATATGAACAATATGATATACTGACACATTGAAACAAAACATTAATATCAATTAAGCTTAAAATTAAAAAAAAGTAAAACTTATTATTTATATAAAACAATAACATTTTAAGACTTAAACTACTTGAACACGAATTTTTTTTTCCACCAAAAAATGTGGAAAAACTTTTACATTTTAATGAAACATGACTCTCCTTACATACAAATTAGTTCTATAGGATCATATGATAATGTCTTAATTTCAAACTAAATATGCCACATAATATCGGTGTGTGTACACATATATAACTTTATATAATATTTCAACAATATTTTATTATGATTGTATATGCAATACATATTTTTAAATACTGTTAGTCATGATAAAGGACTGATTGTTTATAAAAACACATTACGGCCACTGAGTATGATGTGGCAACTAATTTTCGTCATACATCATCCTCAATATCATTTTTATAAAATGTTATAGAAGCAATATGCTGATTTTGCATAACTTCGAAAACCATGTCTTGATAACCATAACAAAATGTTGATCCAAATGGATTAGTTGAGTTTTCAGAGGATCCACGATTCAATACGACAGGTCTTTCACTGTGTTTTAGTCTGTCAGATATATCATCCCATTTGGTAAATGTATTTACAACAATTGGCTTTGATTTTTTATCATTATACTTTTTACAATCACTGGGTATATTGTTGTAATTTGATTTTTCAGAGTTTAAAGCAATGCTAAATTCACATCTATGGTAACTTTACACAAATAACCAATAATTATTAACAACAAAACTTTAAAGATATTAAGTACTTTGAATACTTACATATTAAAATTATAATGACCAGGGAAATTGGTGTGTACTATAAGTTTTTTAACTTTATGTGTTTTTGCATCAAAAAGGATATCCTGAAAATTATTTTATTTAGAATTCTATATTGTTAAAATTTGTTTAATTTGTAATAGATACTTACAAAACCTAATGTAAAATAATTGAAAAAGTAATCTGATCGTCTAGGAACAGATATGTGTCTATGAACGTTTGGTGAATGAATTTTCATTTTGTCTTCCGATTTATAAAAAACTTGTGAAGGGGCACCCAACATAGAAGTTACATCTTGGCATGTCATTCCAAAATTAATTTCTCGATTATAAGAGACTTTTCGACCACGGTTAGAACCTAAACAGTAATTTATTTATTTTTAAATTTAATGAAAATAAATTACAGTCATTTAAAAATTCTGTTAACATTTACCAGAACCTTCCAAATATAGTTGAATAATAAATCCATTTGTACTTTTATGATTTCTTTGCACTTCTAATCGTTCTAAATAAGTTAATCCTTTGTAGCATGACATAGGATGTGATGGTACGTTTAGAATATCTTGACCGGGAACTGGATTTCCAGAGAATATAATTACACGACTAACATTTGGTGATGTTCCACTAGCAAATTGTAATGATCCTAGTCCACACTGAGCACTACAAGCCTAAAAAAAAGAAATTGAATAGGAAATTGCAAATAAGTATTAGTATTAATTAAATTTTCAATGAATTATATACCTGAAATTTTGAATCTACATTGAAACAAAAAGAAATTCCTCGAAAATTTAATGTAAATGTTTGTTTTTCAGCATCAAAAACACCAGGGTGAGTAGCACCGAATGTATGTTCTACTTGTTGAATGGTAGGCATTACTTCTGGAGCATTGAACAGCATACCACTGTTTAATAATTAAATTAAGTACAAAATATAAAATGAAAAAATAAGGATTTGCGCGAGTTAAACAAAAATATTTATAACTAAGAATATAATTGAATACTTGCCAATATTTAAGTTTGATGTTTTTCAGGTTAACAATTTCAATCATCTGAAAATAATATGGCACAACATTGGCTTAAGTGTTACATTATTATATTATAGATTGTATACCTTTAAACGCTGGAACACAGGATGAAACAAAAACCGAATACCATCTTGAGGAAGGTCTAAAATGAGATCAATATCTAATGGGTTCTGTAAAATTATAAAATTATACAACAAGGTTCAATAAAGAAATGTATAATATAAATTATGCAAGTACCTTATCACTATATACAACTTGAACACCTTTTATAATGCCAACTTGAGACTGTATAATTGCTACTGCTTGACAAAAATGCATACCTAAAATCAAAATTGTGTTAATGTTAATATTTTTATTTTATTACTTATTTGGATACTAAGAAAAAATGTCAATGTCATTAATTTTAGATAAATAAAATGTCTACCAACTGAAGCATTAAAAATCAAGAATCTATTTTGTACATGTATACTCTAAATTAATTAAGTACAGAAAAAAATATGAACACAGAATTCTAAACATAATTCCGAAATAATTTTAAATGATAATAATTGAATACTAAAGGAATATTTAATACATAATAAATAAACCTATGCTATCATTTTTCTTCTACTATAAATGGACTCAATAATAAATCGATAGAATATAGTACATTAGGAAACCCAACAAATAAAAAAAAACATTGCAAATTTTAGCCAAATACTTACAGTAAACCATTGAACTACCTGGTACCAATTTTATATTAAATTAACAAATTATCTACAATAGTTTAATAAGATGTCTTTGTTAAAATGTTAACAGCAAAAAAATTTAATAATAATCAACAATTTGTTGCACAAGGTGTATACCTAACTATAATTTCTGTACTTTCCAGTATTTGAACAAAGGTACCTAGGTATCTATTAGTAACAAAAATGAAACAGTTATCCCTATCTATTTTTCAAAATAAATAAAACTATAGTCAATTATCATAGAGATAATATTATGCGTACTTATTAAATATAATATTAATTGCAATGGTATTTAAGACATAATTTTGATTTTCAAGGACTCTAATTTAATGAGGACGTTGGACATTATAATGAATAGGCACTTACCTAAAACAAATTCCCATTGTTCACATCCCAGAGACCTTTCAGGTACCACGTCCAACGTTAACATTTTCGTTATTGTACTTGTACAAACTAAACACTAAACACTATAATATTTTATACACTATGGACGGTCAAAATGTCTGAAGGTTTATGACATATTATCTTTAATAACTATTAACTATTAAACACACACTGTTCTGGTGTTAGACAGAAGAAAAAATATTATAAAAACTGGGTTTTTTTTTTTTTTAAAACGACTTTCATAATAATAATAATAATAATAACAATAACGCAATGAATGTTTATACACGAACCGAGCGTATTTATTTGTATTTTTTTTTTTAATAATAACTAAGTCAGCTGCTGCAAACTGCGAAATAGCCTATTGAGGAAATAAACGAACAACACATAATCACTACCTAGTGAATAGTGATCGGAAATCAGCTGACAAAATATAAACACAGAGTCGATCAGTCAGTGGCCCAGTGGGTGGACATTTTACTGTTGTTTTTGTTATTGTTTTATCTGTAAACAGCTGACCTTCGTTGTCCCGTGAAGGGGGTCACCGTCGTTCCCGACGGCTTAGGTTATTAATAATTTGGGCGAAGTTATATTATTTTCCATTTATTTTTCTCTTCATTGGTTTATTTTGTACTAATTTTTTTTTTCTAATTTTACCGTCGAGGGGGGTTGGCCATTGTTATAAATAAAATAATGCAAGTGTCTATAATTATAGTATAGCCGTATAGGTACGTATTTTAATAACGCCAATGAGGAAAACGTAAGTATTGGCAATAGTACGTGTTGGCTGTTGTTTATAATATTACTATTGACTGTCCGTTTCGTACGCGAAGGTTGTAAAAACTGAAATTCGTCGAGTCCCAACCTTTACGTCCATACCATTTGTACCTACCCAAAGTTTTTACGTTCTCAAAATCCAATCGAAACGTGAACATAATGTTAGGCGTAGGTATTTATCCAAATTATGGTTAATGGTTGTTCGCATTTCACACCACAGAATGAAATAGTACATTTGTTCTGGGTTTCATTTAATATTATGTACCTATGTCGTTATAAATATTCCGTTCAAAAATAAATGTCTCTAAAAACGAATATTTGATACCTAGTCTTATATAAGACTACTATTATATATAAATTTATGTATACGTAAGTTGGCAACGAAAGGTGTGTATGCAGTGTGCGTACGCTGTACATGCTGATGTATGCGCCAAAGGCCAAATTGTTATGTTGACATGAAGTTAATTCCAAACAACTTTTGCACGCGTTTGTACAAACGATTCGACGTTCGGATAACAAATTGTTTATATTTTGCGCGTGAACAAATTTTCTACCTACCACAAATCTTGCTCCAATCGAAAAATAACAAGTCGCCTTTATAAGACGTATCTTATACCAACTAGGTCATTGATTGATTTTCCCGTGTACTAAGGTAGTAATTTTCATAATAATTGAGCAGAACTGCAGGTGTATGAAAACGAATGTTTACAGGCGTTATCACATTACCTACTGACCTATATTAAATTTATACGAATTATGTTTACCACCGGATATCATGTTCCAATCGAAGAACGATAAGACGACTATTTTTGGTGCGTTCTGGTTCAATTTAGTGAGTAAAAGGTTCGTGTTTTGATTTTCAACCAGTTTTCATAATAATAGAAAAAGACCGGAAAAAGCGTAGGAAATGCGATAGAGTGGTTTATATTCGATTATAGTTTTTCGTTGTTAATCGGTTGAAAATTATCGTATAGAGCTGCAATTTTTTCAGAGTACTTTTCTAGAAGTTGTCAAATTTCAAAAAAAAAAAATATATACATACACTATCAATTATATATAGATACTATGTGGACATACACGTAATAGATTGTTTGATCAAACAGAAATGCTTGAAAATTTAATACGAGGTTTATTTACGAGTTTATTTAAATACGAGTCGTATTTAATGGTAAAAATAAATTTGAATATAATATATATTTAATAGTTTTTTTTTTTTTAAGAGTTCTATTGAATTATTAAGAGATCTATTGATTTTACTATGATGTGTGTGTATTTTTTTTCTGTCTGCGAACAACTTTTATACCAGAAAACTTGCACCGAAGTATTGACTAAAGCACCTTTTGTGAAAGGTGATTTTCTTTAGTTGGTGCATGGAGAGGTCTTTTTCCAAAGGATTTTCGAAATAATTGGAAAAAACCGAAAGAAAATTAAGGTAAAATAGTAAATATTTATAGCGCGTTACCGTTTCCAGCGTGTTATATTTAAGTTTTCTACCAGAAGTTAAAACTTAACTAATGTTCAATCGAAAAATGACAAGAAATCGATATTTCGCTACTGAAAAAGTAAGTAGATCGTTTTTCGATAACTAAATTAAATAGTTTTCCAAATAATTGGGAAAAACCGACAAATTAAAATTAAATTAATATTTATGGCAACGTAGCGTCCCGGTTTAATTATTTCAACATGTTCAACTTGTTTTCTACCAGAAATATTACTTCAATTCAAGTGGTCGGTTTCGTTCCGTTTAATACATAGTCATCTACGAAGAGTCGTTTTTTTAACACTTAAAGTATTTTTCATAATAATTGGGAAAAAACAAAAACAGACGAAATATACAGTTTTTTTTTTTTTAAATTACGGCATAACGATTTTATTTTAAATTTTTACGGATTATGACCACCATAAATATTGCTCCAATAGATAAACGACGAGATCTATTTTGTTGCATTTTTAATCTAGATCAAGAGTAAGTTTTTCGGTTTTTGATTTTATTAATAATTGAACATAACCGAAAAAAAAAAACGTTGGTATATCGGGGAAATTTCACGAAAATGCTTTTATTATTTTCAATTTTATTTTTTTTATAGTGATTCAGTTAAAAATATTCATGGAGACTGAAATTCTGTTAATTAAATATCCGTTTGGACAGATATCTTATATTTGCTTTTTATAGAAGTGGTAACATTTGCGAAACATTTAGTTTTGAGCTATTTATAGACATTTTAATATTGCGAGTTTCTTAGGTAATTTTTATTTGGTAGGTAGATAGATAAATTGTGAGACTTAATAGAAATGTTTTTCGGATAGGAGGTTCATTATAAGTCGTAATTAATAGTAGAAAAAATAAAAACCAGTTTAATTAAATATATTTTTTTTTTTTATATATGTTTTAAAATAAAATTTTTATGAAAATCGTAAATATTACAGCCTTTTAAAACATGTGTAAAAGAATTTCGCTCCGAAGCGTTTTTCGTTTTCAATGGTCTAATGTTGGTTACAGGTTTAAATTTAATAACTATGTATCGCCTTTTTTCACTACTCACCTATAACTGTGGCTGCACCCGTTCCTAGTTGTTCTTTTTTGTTTTAATTCAGTTAAAAATATTAGTTTGAAAAAAATAGAGAGCGGACATTTCACAGAATACCTTTATTAGTATTTTATAGACCTGTTAAACGATTTTTGATGTAGTTATAAGGATTTTGTGTTTGTTGTTTTTTTATAATGGTTTTAAAATCATAAATATTACCTACGGCATTTCAAAATCATTTTAGATTAGCAATTGTTTATCATTGCTTACAGGTATAAATTAAATAATTAAATAATTAATTGTATTTTCCTACCCACAGATACATAAAACCTACCTTTACCACTTCCTACTTGTGGCAACAATGGCACACCCATCCACAGTATCAAGCTCTTTTTTAAGTATGAATTATAGTACCTACCTGTATGATTATTTGTAACTAATATTTTGGCAATAGAATTCCAACTTTCCAATTTTTTTTCTTCTTAAAGAAGAGATGTGATAATTGAAAATGACATCCTATTTAATACGATTTTCAGGCTTTATAATTTAAAGAAGGTATTTGTCATAACTTTGAAACTTGGTCCGATCATCTAATTCTGATAGGTTACATTATCATTATCATTTTAAATAAATAATAAATATCCAAGAAAAAGAAAAATAGAAAATCTATGAATTAGAAATACAAAATGTATTATCATACCTATAAAGTATATAATGTATTTGATAAAAATAAAGGTTGTTTTGTTGCATTATTGAGAATAAAAAAATACATTATTTTTAACCAACAGTTAAACCAATATGTTATAAACTATGAATTTATGTAATTCATATATTTACATAAAATAAAAAAAATACTGATTTGATTAACTATAGAAGAAAAAGAAGTCATTTTTTTTGGTCTAATTTTTTATTTGATATTTAACATAACAATTTGTATCCATAATATGATGTGATATTCATGAGTGTATAAATACAAATACAATTTTAAAATGAAATTAAAATAATATATATTAAAATTAAAAGCATATACCTAACATAATTTATTATTAAAACACACAGTATTGTTAGTATGGGTATTATATTATAATATTTCTATTATTTTGTTCACAGGAAAAATTTACATAAACTAATGTTATTATAAAACACATTACGAAAAATTAAAAAAAAAAACAAGGAGACTAGAATTAAAAAAAAAAATTAATAAACATAGAATTATTACTTATTTTAGTATAAATCAGATAGAATTGTCATTGACTGTGTTTGAGTACACATAACCTTGGTCCTGTAGTATAGACAATCTTTTTTCCACTGCATCACGATCTGCGTTAAATAGAAGTACATATTATTTTAATTTTATATAAATTGCATACAAACTATTAATAGTGTTATTACATGTTATTAGTATTTCTTTATCACTTGGAGAATTTACTTGTTGGGATAAACTATGTAAGAGGATTTGTGCCGTCTGATAAGATTTAAAATAATCATATGGAGTGTTACCCAGTTCTTTTAAAGCTGCTTTAGCACACTAAAATAAGTTAATCATAAATATTAAATTTGTTCGTTTTTTTTAATATTAAATTTTGAATTATTTACAATGTCAAGAGCATATTCATATAGTAGCTTCTCTGCCGTTGTAGTAGCTGTAGATGTGTTGTGTGGCATATTTGGTACATTGATTTGTTTACAGTCATCCAAAACTTTATGAAAAGTTTCATTTAATTGCTGTACCACTATAATTGATAGTGTAAAAAAGATGTAAAATGTATTAAAGTTAAATACATATTTCAATTAAAGTTAATTATTACCATTTTTAACATTTGTTGAAGGCTGTAATCGACCAGCTTTAAGTTCAGAAGTTGCAATACTTAAGCTAGAACTAAGTACTTGTAATGCTCTAACTAAAAGTACTAATCGTTCGTAACGTGGTCTTTTAGGAGAAGCGCATTCAACAATGCATTCAACCAACGCTAATACAAAATTTAGTTTGGCTAATGTTTCTATATGTTCTTTCTAAAATAAATATGTCACAATTTAGATGTCTTAAAAATCACAACGAATATAAAATAATAATACAAGTTTACTTCTAATATTGTTTCTTGAGGAAGTTCTGGGAAAGTTATATTTCCAAGTTCTGAAAAAAAAAAGAATTTTGCTAAAGAACTATTGTACAATTTTAATTCATAAATTAATTATACTTATATATACCTGGTAAAGCCATAGCACGATTATTATTACTGAAAGGTAAACCAACTGTTCCCGGTTTTTGGTTTGTATTAAATGTAAATTGTTGTGTGTTTAAAATTGGCGAACTTAGAACTAAAATGAGTAAACATTTAAAATCAAAATTAGTTGTACATAAAAAAAATATAATAATAATAATTTACCAGATTTTTTTAAAGGAGAGCTTGTAGGTGTAATATTCCATGTATTATAAGGTGGAGTTTCTGATATTCTTCTTCCTGACGGGGGTGTCCCAAGCATAAATTGAACCTATATATTTTAACAAAATTTTGGTAAATACTAAAATCATGTTCATTATATTTATATAAATGTAAAATTAGTTTTATTTTTAATATTATTTATGTAAAAATTATCCTTACTGATGGTGGTGATATAGAACAAAAATCAGGTCCACTTATATTCTTGGAAGCTCTTGCATTCATTGTAATTGGCTGAGATCTGGGTACACACTAGAATTGTTTTTTTTTTTTTTTTTAATAAAAATGCCTTTAAATTACAACAAAATTTAAATAAAACAATCAGTTAAATTGATTGAAAAATTTGATACCTTTTACACACCATAATTATTATCAATAATATCCAATAGTATTTTTGGTTTTATAACATAAACCATAATAAAAATTATGAAGTGCAAAGAAATAAGGTAAATTATAATATATAAATTAATTTTTATAGATAGTATTATCTACTATTTATGATGTACATCAATGTTTTAATTTGTATTTATAATATTATTTTCGACGCAATGGATAACAAATAACTATACATAAAATTATTATTAATCGTTTGATATTTTCTTTTAATCTTATCAGTAAAACTTTTAATGAAAAAAAATGATGGTATTGCATCATTAATCTTTTATTGCAATTAAACTTCTATATAAATACTATATAGGTAAGAATAATGGGTAATATTGTAGACATTTGAGTATAAAATAGAAAAGCTTTTGAAGTTTTATTAAATTTTGTATATAACTAACTTTTATTGGAGATCGAAGATGATTATAGTCTTGTTGTGTTTGTATAGAAAGTGTACTTGGTCTTGGAGGGCTAGCGCTTATTTCTTTGTCTCTACAACATGTAAATAATTTATTAAAATTAAGAAATTTTATTTTAGAGAATATGTGAGAACATACTGAGGATATGCTGGTATATTTGAAGGTACAATTACATATTCATCAGAAAGATCAGGACTGGCCGAGTATTGATAACCTAATATAATAATACAAGGTAAATTAAATAAACTTGAAACTGTTTGTTGTTTAAATGCAATTGAAAGCAGTTATAAATGCTATGTTACCTTGATCAAAAATTGAAGGTGTTTTGGGACTGTTGGCAAGAGGAGATGGCATGGTTACTGGTGGAGGTTTCACTTTTAAAAAGGGATGATCAAAAAACTTTTCAAATGATATTCTGTCTTTTGGATTTCTTTTCAAAAGACCTAGTAGCAAATGTGATAGATCTGGTGATGTTCCTGGAGGAATCCTATATTAAAAACATCAATAATTTAACATCTATATACAAATCATTAATGATATCAAACATACTTTGGTATTAAAATTTGTGTTTTTTCATAAATTTGTTTTAATCCTGCAGGTGAATTGGCATAAAATGGAGCTTTACCAGCCAGACATTGAAATAAGATTGTACCTAAACTCCATAAATCAGCTTTGGCATCATATTGCAATGACATTATTACTTCAGGTGCCTAATATATATATATATATATATATTAATTATAAATTAAAATATTTTAATCCATAAAGTTATAATATCTATTTTCAATAGTTAATAAAACTATTATATATTACCATATACATTGGAGAACCACACATAGTAGCTGCCATTACACCTTCACCCAAAATTCGTGCAAACCCAAAATCAGCTGAAATTAAGTTTATAAATATTATCTAATAATTTAAAATTTGAAACCATTAGTTTTAGTTGGTAGGCAAATTAAGTTAATTTACCAATTTTTAGAGTGATATGATTAGGTTCTGGATAACGAGTTTCTCCTGAAAACTTCAGGAGGATATTTTGAGGTTTTAAATCTCGATGAAGTATTCCTTGTTTATTAAATTCATACATTGCTCCGGCTAGAATACAATAAAATTTAATTATTAGATATTTTTAATCTAAATAATACATCAAGAACTTACCAAGTTGTCTAAGAAATATTTGAATTGTGTCCTCACTTAAACATCCTTTAACTAAAACATAGTATATTATACAAATATTTAATTTTCTATTATTGAATGAAAAAAAAATTGCCTAATTTTAAGATCAAATAAAATGAATAAAATACATTTGTATACAAAATAAATTTTACTATAACATGTACTATGTAAAACTTAACAAATTTAAAATTTCAATATAAATGTAATTAAAATATTAAAAGATATTTTGTACATCTATTATAAGATTCAATAGTTGGATTAGTTTAATATTTTGAAAAATACCATTTAAATAATCTTGTAAATCACCGCCATTGCAATACTAGAAAAAATACAAAATATACAAAATAATATACATCAATACTTACATTAAATAAATGCAAATATACATACCTCCATGATCAAATGAAATGCATCCTCACTATCCTAGAAAAATGTTAAGGAACAATATTTATTACTAGATCAATTGAATGTATTATAAATTATAATAATATGTAACTCACTAGGCATTCCAGAAGATGTACAACATTATCATGTTGAAGAATTGTTAATTTCTAAAATAAATATTTTTGTTATTTATTAATGTGTATTAAACAACTTATTATAATAAATACAATATACATACACTAATAAAATGATATGATTCAATAACATACATAAGCAGAGAGTTTAGGAAGAGAATTACAAATCTCACAATATATATGCAATATTCTTGTTTATATAACTGTAAGGTTCTTAAATTTTAAAACGAAATTGATGTATACTTTTTATTTAACTAAACTATTATCGATAAGGCAATTTTGTATTTAAAAAAGTATATAATTAAGCAATTTATTTATTGGTAAAATATATGAAATACATTTAGTTTAAAAAAGCTGATATTAAAAGAAATAATACATATTATAAGTATAATAAATAATAATGTTAAAAAGTAAGTAATAGTGTACTTATTTTACTTAAAAAATATTATACATAAATTTAAGAAATGTTTATTTTTACAAATATGATTAGTTCTTACCCTCAAAATATCTATTTCTTTCTTCAATAGGCTCTGCGTTTTAGGTATGGTCTTCTTCATTACAGTTTTAATAGCTACATCTATATCGGGTTTCTGTTTAAAGTAATAAAAAATAATTTTAGTATCTAGCTAATATATTTCAATACAGTGAATAAATTATACAGGTACATTAGATACAAATTTGTCTTTGTTAAAATTTAATAAATGTTACCTTTCTGGACCGCCCCTTGAAAACAATAGCAAAAGCTCCAATTCCTAATCGATTAGCACTTTCGTATTCATAATCACCAATGAATTCCATTTTATTTGTTTAGTTGAATTCTAAAACTAATCAATACAAATTATTTAGATTATATGTTGAATATAAATATTCTAATTTAACTATAAACTTAGGAAATTAGTTTACTGAAAGGTCAAATTGGCAATCAAAAATCTGATATAAAATTGTACACACCTGTGTATTAAAAAAAGTTATGTTGAGTTATAGCACTAAACTTTAGAATCTAGTTTGGGGTTCAGTACTAATTCAATTTCAACACAACCCTGGAATATCCCAAAATAGTTCTAACATGACAGTAATGACAGTGCTAATTTGTACTATAATGAAGTATTATTTGTTTTTACAATAATTAAACCTAGATGTTATTTTTAATTATTTTGTTCATGAATTATTAGTTGTTAATCTATAAATAATTTTGTTTTATGGAAACTTACCCTGAATGTAAGTTATGTAAATGCGTTTAAATTATTTGTTCTTTGAAAATCTTTCTACAAATTTCAAACAACACTATTGAATTGTTTAAATTATACCTACAATGTTTGACATTTTAAAAATAATCTGTATGTTGTATATTTTATATTTTTAAATTTTAAATGCCATAACTATAATTAAGAAACATAATACAATGGTCATTTAAAATTATTAAAATTACAGAATAGTAATAATTAAGTTTAGATTACAATATTGACATTCCATTTCATACACCTCTATATAGACTGTAATATAGCAGTATTTCACTACTCTTTAGCAGAAACTTATCACAATTTACAATCACATAGTAATTATTACAAGAGCTGATAGTTAATACGAGGTCATAAACAAGATGTTGGGAACATTTGAGGTCATTTTTATCGTTTTGAAATGAATTGATAACAAAATATTTTGACTGATTAGAATTTTTGGTTCGTGTTTTTTTTTGACGTGAATAAATTTTGAACAATTCAAATTACACGATTCTACCTCATAAATGGGTTTCACTTTACAGGTATATTTAAAATAATTTTTGATTGTTAATAATACTTTGGATGATGGTTTGTAGCTTAATAATATTTTAGTTATTTTGGAGGTCATGTACAATTTTATTTTACAGGCTTATTAAAAATGATAGACCGTGCTAGTCAGTCAGCCTTTTTACACTATGTATCATCTTGTAAGGGCCATTCAACGCGATGGCTTTCAAATCAAGAACACCTATACTTGTTTGACATGCTCGTTTATCCAAAGACAGGTAATATGTTTCATATATTATTTGAAATGAATATTAACAAATAAATTGTGTACACCAATCATAGATTTCTCAATCAACGTTAAAACCAAAATCACATGTGGTTGCTACAATAGCTGTTGATAAATCCTTACCTATATTAGATGTAAGACAGCCACCAACAGTAGAAACTGTGAGTAACGCTAATGAAAAAGTTAACAGTGACAAAGAATGGACGGAATCAAGAATACATTTGAAAGATTTACACCAACATTATTTGAAACTATCAAAAAGCCGTCTGACTAGTAAATTTATTTTTTTTACCAAATTAATTTACAAACTAAATTTGGAACTCTTAATATGTTAGCTTTGGTAGTTGTAACAACAATGGCTGGTTATGCAATGGCGCCTGCTCCATTTGATTTAACAACTTTCATACTTTGTAGTGCTGGTACTGGTTTGGTATCAGGAGCTGCTAATTCTATTAATCAATATCATGAAGTTCCATTTGATGCTCAAATGTCTAGAACTAAAAACCGAGTACTTGTACGTAGCATATTAACGTAAGTCTTCATAAATAAAGAAATTACCTCAAAAAGGTACTAAAGAAAATTTAAGTATAATTTAATATTTACTATTGTACAAATTCATACAGGAGTTTCATAAATAAAAAGTTGGAAAGGTAGGATATGTAAACGTATTTAATTTATATCTGTACGCAATGATAAACTATTACTAATCAAAAACAATTATGAACGGAGTTCGTTTATATATATCTTAAAATGCTATAATTTTTCACAATTTTCGTACAATAAAAAAAGGAGTATTGTTTTTTTTTTATTTTATAATAATGTTGTATGATAATTTGTTAACAGATAAATAAATATCACACATCATCGTAAAACCAATAATATAGTCCTCGATACACTTAAAATCAAAATATGAAAACTAATGGTCATACAGCAAAAGGGTCTAAGCAACACGGCTTCTTTATTGGATGGAGAAATACGTGTTTTGTCCATTGCACTTGCACAAAAACAGCTGTAACCACTATTTAATGAATAATTTGAATTTTAAGTTTGGGGTATAAATGGTACTTTTTATTTTGTCTTCTCAATTGTAAGGTCTAAATGATAATAAAAGCTAATCAACAATGTGTATTCATATTAAGGACGTATAAACAACAGAAATGTATTCAATGAAAAAATTCTCTATTCCAACCTGAAAAAAGTTATTACCAATTTAAAAAAAAAAAAAAAAATGTTGGTCACAAATACATTATTTTTGACTCCTGAAAATGATGAATTGTGTTGCTTAGACCTTTTGCCATGTCACCACATAAATATGGAGGCCCTTTTTTTATGTTGGCTACAGCTACTACTAACCCTATCTAATTAATACAAATTTGATGATGTGTAGTGATACATAAATGGTATTACTTAAGTAAATTGATTATTAATGTATACATTGTGTTGTACAACATAGAATAATTTTTTTATTAGGTAGAAATTATTTACTATCAAATAAAAACTTATTTATTTTTTTATTATTTATGTATAATTTTATAGACCAATACACGCTCTTACATTTGCGGCAGTTAGTGGATCGTTAGGATTAGTAACTTTATATTATGGCGTAAATCCCACAACTGCTGCTTTGGGTGCTACAAATCTTTTTTTGTATACATCTATATATACACCAATGAAGCGTATAAGTATTTTAAACACATGGGTTGGTTCAGTCGGTAATTAAATATTTATTATTATTATTTTTTAATTTATTGTGATTTATATTGTTTATAATGTTTTAGTTATTAATTGTTATTTTATTTTTAGTTGGAGCTATTCCACCATTAATGGGATGGGCTGGGTGCACTGGTGGCGTAATTGATTCTGGAGGTTTATTGCTTGCTGGTCTACTGTATGCATGGCAATTTCCACATTTTAATGCACTTTCGTGGAATCTTAGACCTGATTACTCGAGAGCTGGTTACAGAATGATGTCTGTTACTAATCCAGGTTTAAATTATAGATTATAATATTCTTAATTAAAATTAAACATATGATTAAATTATAATGTAAATATATATAATTTTTTTAAAATTAAAACCAAGGTTTATGCAGAAGAACAGCATTACGTTACACTATTGGAATATTTGGTTTGTGTTGTGCAGCACCAATGTGTGATTTGACTAACATTTATTTTTCAATTACTGTTGCCCCGTTGAATGCCTATTTTATGTACTTAGGTATGCATAAGTAAATTTTGTTTTTGCTCATACTATTAAAACTATTAAAATAATATTTATTTTAGCTTGGAAATTTCATCAAAAGTCTGATAGTAAGACTTCACGTAACCTATTCAGGTTTTCTCTAATTCATTTACCAGCATTAATGATACTATTATTTGTAAATAAACATAGTTTATGGTCAGGAAATAGGTATGTATTATATATTTATTTGAAATATATGTATAGCTACTTGTAATAAAATATGGTTTGTATTTTACAGCAAACCAAAAGAAAATAGTGAAATGATCACAGTTAATAAGGATGAAAAAATCATTAGTTCAATTTTTAAAACTCCCGCATCGCTGTAATTTATTTTATTCAAAAATACAATAGTTACTTAATTGTTATAATTAATTACTTTCATTGTTGTTGTTAAATACATAATTAAATAACAAAGTCTGTTATTATGAAATAGTAAAAATATACAAATTTAAATCATTTTTTTTTCAATATATGTTTTTTCATGTTTTTATTAAATGTGAATTGTGTTTTAAGTAAGTAAATACATATGTATTTATTTATAAAATAATGAATTCTGAACATATTTTACATTATAAATACCTTCCTTGTTAATATTTAAAAATTAAAAATACCAATTTTTTTATTACTTAGGCCTATGGTTTATTAGAATTTTTACTAATTGACAAATAGCTTAAAAAGTTTCTGAACTTATACAATTTGATTATAAATAAAAATAATTAAAAAATTTTCTAAAGGTGCAAACCTTGAGAGGCATGGGGGCACTAGTCCTCATTAATTTGATAAGAAGGTGGGTAGGTAATTTTGGTCAGTGGTCATTTTCAGACTTAATGATGAATTATAGTCTTGTAGATACAAAAAAGTAAAACCTTTTGTTATACCAAATGTTATGTGCCGTTTCAGTATACAAATAAGAAAACAATATAATATTGTAGCAGTTATAATACAATTATATGAGTAGATCAGGCTTAAACTGCAATACGCCACACCAGTGCCAATTTCTGAATGCTTTTATTTAAATTTTTGATTATGATGAACATGATATGTCAATAAAAATAAATACAAGATTAAATTGCTGGGCAATCTGCCAATGTGAATCCAGAGTAGTGGTAGCTACACTCTCTCCCATCTCTTGATCGTTTTAAAGACTTAAAAATTACTAAATACTAAAATGTGGTAATTTTATTTTTGAATACATTTTTAAAACAATATTATTTTCTAGTTTTGTACCACTTTACATACCTATATTAATATTATATTGTGATAAACACATCATTCAACTCGTCATATATTCATGTAGGTATTTGTAGGTTATTTATGATTTTTGAGGAAACCCTTAGTTAATGAATTTATAAGAGCGAAATTAACTAATTTTTTTTCCCGAGGGTGGGTGGGTATTTTGGTAACTAATATTTTGTCCCGATGTTATTCAAAATGATTTGTACCTCTGAACTTTTATATATCTTATATATTTTATATTAAAATATAAGTATTGTTTTTATTACAGAAAACGTGTTCAAACTTCAAATTTAAATACCAAAAAAATTTTGAAATGTGTTTTACATTCTCCAGTTCAGTTTTATTTTTCTAGTACTTGCTATTTATTACTGCGAAATTTAATAAATAAGTTAAAATTCATAAAAAGGTACAATTTTATGTTGTATTTATTGTTATTTGCCCTAAATTACTTTGTTATCTAGCATTTTTTATTGTTATTACTAGCTGATTGTCATATGCAAAATAAAAATAAATAAATACATTTTATGTTTAACAATAATTTATCAAATTAGATTTGAACAAATTTGATGAATAAGTCTTATTATTAGAAGCAGAACCTAAACAAAGTTAGTAATGAAAATCTGGTAATTCAGTAATTAAAAAGCATATAAGTATTTATGTTACATAAATGTCAATTTTACATTAAAATAAATTAAAAGAATTTAGGAAACCTTTGGTGGATTGTATCTAATGTCTAGGAATGAATATCTTATATCTTATAATTTGTTATCTGCAGATACAAATAATGTTTTATTGTTTTACAATTTTTAATTTTTTGTCAATAATTTAATAGAATTTTATGTTTGTTATTACAACAAAAAAGTGCTTTCCATTGAACTGTAATATTGACTAAACAGTGAAGGTTATAATATATTAGGTATCTACACATTATCTTGGCTTGAATCAGTGGTTCAGTTGTTGTAACATATAATTATAGCAAGTGGATCAATATATTATAATGTAGGTGTATAAAAAAAAAACTATTATTATAGATCCCCTATATTGATATTATAGTGTAGGTACAATAATACTATATTGGGAATATTTATGTGCCAATTTTTCATTTCAAATTGTTAACTATTATTCACTTAGTTTAATGATTTAAATACTTACATTGAGTCGTATATGTTACATTACTTATGTAGGTAAGGTACTTGATGAAAAATGCCATTGATGAATACATTTTGTACTTGGTTGCCGTTGCGTCTAGGAAGCATTATCGTGGGGTTAATATCTATGGTAAGTTTTATTTTATTTTATTTAAGTATAACTAACCTAATAATCCTATACTAGGGATCAAGGATAAAATATTTATTAAGTTTGCTATTTGACGTATTTTTTTTGTTTATTAATATTGAACATTGTTCAACTGTTCACTATTGTTGAGTTACAAGTTTAAAAGCTATGATGGACAAATTATTATTGTAAACAAATTATTTTAATTAAAACTATTTTGCTAAATTTAGAGCCCTTATATTATAGTAACCCCTTCAATAGTTATCAGTGCTCATTGTAATATCCTCAAATTTCATAATAACTGAGACCTCAGATTTAAATTTAATTGTTTAAACACATTTTATTTCTTAGTTTCACAACCATAGATGGGTATACATTATATATTTATATAGAAAAAAGGAACTGGACCCAATTAGGTATCAAGATACTTCATTTTTGTTATTTAAATACAATACCTATTATATTAACTTTAATAATTTTAATAAAATGAATGCAATTGAAGAAGATAAATCTATCAATTTCTCCTGTCAGTTAATTTGGTAAATAATAGTGTTTTCAATAGTATTAACTATCTATTTGTTGAAATTTGTAATTTTAGAAAGTTTAAAACCCATCTAATTTATTTCCTGTAGTAGGTACTCTCTACTCTGTGGTTTTAAAAAAAAAATCGGTCTTTACATTAATCAATTATTTCTAATATGATTAGTATCTATTGTACATTAGTTGCAAGTTCTGTTATCCATGTTTTTGTTCGTTAAGATTTGTTAGGTTACCTTCCCAATGATTTTAAATTTGTAGAAATACTGTGTCGACCAATTAAAGTGATTTATAAAATTTGTAATAAACGACATTTTCTATGTAGTTTAGTAAAGTACTCTATATAGAGAGTAGGTATAGACTAGGTATCTAACTTGAATAACAATTTACTTAATTTAAAAAATTTAAAATTAATAAAAAATTCAAATAAAGCGCGTATATAAGAAGGGGGTTAGGGGTTCAACTCCCGCCAAAATTTCATGAAAACTATGATGAAAGTAATATTTTTAAAAGTGATTTTTATCAATGAAAGTTGAATACAATTTTGGTTTTATTTTAATTTTATTACTAGGTAGGTAGTAGGTTTTTATGCAGTTATTAGGTATTGTCATTTCTAAGTTTTTGTGGTTTCCCCGTTTTTTAGAAAATTATAAGCGATACGGCGATATTGCATAGTCCGTATTATTATCACATTATCAATTACGTTATCATTTAGGCTGTATTCCCTCAAAATATATTAAATGTAAGATTTAGTAATAAGTATACCTAAAAAGCTGAAAATGAATGTTATAAAACATTGACATTTTTAATGAAAAATAAATAATTTTACAATTGAAATTATGTAAACTTCTTTGTTATGAAGAGTATGAAAGTGTACAACTTTAAACCCCCTTTTCCACCGAAATATTTTTTTGTAAACGCACGTGAATAAACTTATATACGTATCTATCTACCTATAAATATTAGTGGGTAGCTTTATCGTCCAAAATGAAGAAAATAATGGTATAATTTTATTATTGGTATATAGTAGCCAATTAGCCATATATTCTTCATTCTTTCTGGCATTTACAATATACAACTCTATTAGAGTCTGCCACCATCACTATATCTCTCTATCTCCCTCAACCATGCACAACTACCTTCCATTCTTGCACCCCTAGAGTTTTTAAGTCCTCTTCTATTACGTCTAGCATCTCTTTCTTGGTCTTCCTCGAGGTATCTTCGCTTTCAGTTTTCATTCCAATAAATGCTCTGATGGTTTCTTTTCTTCTTTTTATTATATGGCCCAACATCTACCTAAATTCTTTATCCTCTTATGCAACTTGGGGTTAGTGCTGATCCCAGTTCTTCTTGAATTTTCTTGTCTATTCGTTCGACCTTGTATCCTGAAATGGTCCACATATCATTATCTAAATCTTGTTTTCAAAAGTTCTAAGTCTTCTTACTATCACACTTGTTGTTCATACGACCATACCTCACATCTATAAGTGAACGTAGGTCTAATTATTGTCGAGTACAGTCTTAATTTTGGAATTTTGGATTTAAAGAATTTAGACAGTGGAAGAGAAGCTATTCTGCCTTTACAATCCACATACTTATCTTACGTGACCGATCGTTATTTTATACTGAGCAGTATTCCTAAATATTGTAATTCTTCAATTTTTTCAAATGCTATAAAATCACGGCTTGAGGTGGTACACTGTTAGGAAGCTCAAATTATTATTTTTTTCTTGCTGCGGCTCTTTCGAAAGCCGTGGTTAGATCTATATAGCAACCTTCAGTGATTTACTAAGAATATTCAAATGATCCATAAAACCAATGCCTTATAAATGTTATGAAGGATATTCAAATAATTTTAAAAAATCAATAGCTCTTTCGCTACACTCGAAAGCTAAAAAAAAAGAAAAGTTTTCTTATGAACGAATTGTTAAAAGTATTTTACTTGTAAAATCGTAACTGTAGTATCAACACTGTTAACAATATTTTTAGAATTGTCTAAACTGTGCATCTTAATACCGATTATCGCTAGTGGTTTGGTACCCACTAAACATAATGCCTATATAATCATAAAATAAAATCTTTAATATAAATACGAATAAATCATGCTCAGGATCGTTTTTTGAATTTTATGTATATTGCTTTTAAGTGGTATAATTATAATAATGTATTAATAATTAATAAAAAATATAGTTTATACACATACGTGTATGTGTATTGAGTATTTCAACAACAGTGTGTTTCTCCTATTTATAATTTTGTTTAATGGTGAGCGAAGCGCAATATAAAGATATCATGTACCTACGCTTTTAAATTCGGAGCGTAACGAGGGACATATTGGTGTATTATAGTCCATATTGGACTATCATATGTGTGTTTTTTTTCTGTCTGTAAATAATTATTGGAACCGAAAACTTGCTCCGATCGAAAAATCCCAATAGACCTTTTTTATTGCTGAGGAAGTCAATTTTGATTTTTTACATAGTTTTCGTAATAATTGAGCGAAACGGACAAAACGTAGAACGGGATAGTTGACGGAAATAAACTTTAAATTTTATTTTTAGATTCTGAGTGTAGTGATGAATGTATTGGTTTTATTTTGTTTTAAATACTGTGATAAAAATTTCTACCAGAAATCTTGGTTTGATATGTAAGTGTGGCACCTTTTATGAAAGAAAATTTTGCCTAGATGATACTTTAGAAATTGTATTAGTTGTTTTCATAATGTCTGAGAAAATCCCAGGATAAAACGTAAGAAAAACGGGAAAATTTACGAAAATAGAGCTTTTATAATATTTTCAATTTTGTTTTTTGTTGCGGTTCAGTTTAAATATTCATAGAGATTTCAAATTTAGATAGAAAACTTATATTTGTCTTTTCTAGATATGGTAAAATTTCTGAAAACATTTTGGTGATTTTTAAACTATTTATAGGTATTTTATGTTTCTAGTTTTTATGTAGCTTATAGGCATTTGGTAAGTACCATATGGATATAATTGAGCTAACAGAAGTGCTTAAAAATTCAACACGTGGTTCATTAAAAGTTGCATATAGTGGTTAAAATAAAAGTTGATCGTAATGTAGTGGTTTTTTTATAAGAGTTTTAAGATCAAATTTTGCCGAAAATCGTAAATATTACGGCTTTTCAAATCACGCATAAATGAACTTTTCTCAGAATTGTTTTTCGTTAGCAATGGTTTATCGTTGCTTACAGATTCAAATTAAATAACTATGTAATCTACATTCCCGACTTTCCACCTACAGTGGTGTACCCAACAGCAGTATTAGCTCATTTTTTTATGAGATTTGAATTTGAATTTAAATTCGATTACCATTGAAATGTGATTTAAATGAAATATGGATAATATAAATACCCGCTATAACTGTATTCGTTTCTCAATAATTTTATTCACTGTGGAATTTATATTTTTAGTTACAGTCAATTGTGATGGAGATTATTTGCATTCTCAGTTTAAGTATGTCGGATATCATATCTCATGAAATAAATAAATTGCTTCGCTCAAACAATATGGTGTATGCAACAGAGATTTTGAAAGCTGTTGAAAAAGGTTGGATATCTTTAGAATACATATTAAGTTGGTTAATTATCTACTTATAATATTATGGATGAAATATATTTATTGTCTTAGAAACTCTGAAAGTTCAATAAAAATGGTTGGTGTTTGGTAATTTAAAAATAAATAATAGTTTAACATTATACTATTTGCACTTATGTACGGATTTAGCTAGGCATAATCTATCTACATTAGCATATTATATTATATTACGACTAATATAGGTACGTACTATAGTAGACAGTGGCGTAATCCGGATTTTTTGAAGGGAAGGTGCCACATGTCTATATTAAAAAAAAACACGTCTTTTACACATTTACATTACTTATACACGGTTGTGGGGGGGGGGTGTCCGGAAACCCAAACACCCCAATGGTTGCGACACTATATAGTAGGTACGGAGCAATATTTTGATCGATCTTGGTTCGGTTTACAATTACAAAATCCGGATTTCGAATCCAATCCGTTTATTTTTTCTAAAATGGACTACGTACTAAAAAATTAGAAACTAAATAGTAGATACCATCAAAACGAGACAATTTTGGACCGTTTAACGGATATTAATTGATTTCAATAAATTATTTTAATTACGAGTATAATCCAGATTGATACTCAAACTCCGGATTGACACCCATAATCCTAATTGATTATCATAATCCTGGATTCGACGTTTGTTTCAATCCGGATCAGCATAAGTACCTACCTGAGCATTTGTTGTACTGTGCTATTTATATTTTTGAAACCAATTGTGTAGGTTATATATTATTATGATTTTATTTGAGTTATGAATATAATGAAAGGGGATGGAATACATATTATTAAAATTATATACTAAAAAAATATGTATTACCTACTTACATATTATTTAGGTCTATTTAACAATTTTCAAAACTAATATAACTACAATACAAATTATAGATTTAAAAAAATATCTCTATAATATAATAATTTAAAAACAATACACTCTGTATAGGTACATGTACATTAAATAAGTGCTTGTTTTTTGTTTACAGATCCGCGTACTTATTTGTTGAACATTATGTTTTACTTTTCACTGCACACCATTAGTTGCGGTGCATTAATATACGGGGCTTTAAAGGTAGGTATCTATAATAATTGCAAGTTACCTATTTAATATTAATATAAATAAAAGAAAGTCCCAATTTTTTGCCCAGTGTAATCTCCGAATCCGAAACTGTGCCAACTCGATTTATACGAGTGCATGCGGTTTTTTTTGTATTTTGTAGATAGTTTTTCAAAGAAGGTTTAGACATGGTTAATTGATTAATTTTATTGTAACAATGCAAGAAAAATTCAATATTTTGGAATATTAAATGCGTACTCTGATATGGTCCTGTGGTTTTTAAATTCATATTAATTTGATTGCCACGGGCAGTGGTGTATACACGATTTTGGTAGGGGGTATAGGGGTTCGATTCCCCGTCGTATTTCTTTTTGTAGATAGATATTGTAAAAAATAAATACTTAATTCAATGTTGTAAATTTAATTAAGACAAAATTGTTTTCAACATACAAGTAGTATAATGTATATAGTATATATAATTGTGCTTTTAGTTTTAATTAAAAAAAAAAAATAGCCTATAGTAGTATAGTAATACTTAATAAATTTAAAAAATGATTATGTTGTTTTTTTCGGGGGATTTTCAGAGTTCAATATTTTTCATATTACCATTTGTAATCCTGGAACTCATAAGATTGATCGCCGTCTTTTATATAGTGTTAACATCGATGATTCTGATAAAAATTAATGTTTTAGATTTTTTAGTCCTCATTTTGATTTCTGTAATTGGTGTATTTCTTTTACGTAAGTATTTAATAGTATTATAATTCATAATAGTCTACTAGGTGGATCCAAATTATATGCCAAAAAAAAAAATTAATAAATAAATAAATATGAATTGGAATATTTAAATTTTGAATTGCAATTTAGCCAATTATACAGAGAGATTTGTCCGAATAGAGTGCCCTGTATAATTTTACTTATCACAACTTAATTTTTGGTTATCGCGGGTGTGGTTAAAAACGTTTAATTCTTTAATTTTATAATAAACTTATAAATGTTTTAATTTTGCAATTGTTATAATACTATATCACAAAATCACAATATTATTTTAATATTTTGTTTATATTTTATACGTATAATATCGTTTGTATGTATTGTCATCTGTAACGCCATTAAATGTGCTAATTGATTACATACGGTTAATATACCTAATATATTAAAGTATTTATTTTTTAATTGGCAACATATGCTATTGTTTAATTTATGGAAATGTCACTTTAATTTAATTTTAATTTAATAACTACTAGTTTAAAGTTTTAATTAAAAAGTTGGTGATTTTATGATCAAATAAATTCTATGTATATTCTTATGAATAAATAATTATAAATATTTTTAAACAATTTAATTTTAATATTTTGAAGTTGTGATAAAATATTACGTGGTACGCAGTTCAAATAAACTCCTATAAGGGGTGGCACGCATTTCGGAGAGATCCCTTTAAGAAATAGCATGTAATTCGGAAAATTTATTTTGGCATGCAATTCGGATGCAGCCAGTCTAAATTAAATTAAATTATTTTATTGAATTAATAAATAATAAGGTATGTAGGTATTTTATACCTATTTACATAATCTGTAATTTTTACAATTTTTTATCTGTCATTAGAAATTTTGATCTATTTATGGTGTTGTCCTGTGAGTCTAGTGCAGTGTTTGATACTGGTAAAGAAATCCCAGTCACAGGAATCTTTCAAGACGAACAACATTATTGGGTTACCAAAGACAGTCGTAAACAATCAAGACGTCGTATACGATCCGCTTTCCGATCATTACGGGTGGAGACCATTCAGACCGAGCTACAGTTATCCTTATGAGAATATGCCACAATACGAGTACTAACTGTATACACTGTGCAGAGAACAATAGTATTAATATCATCCTACAATATTAAATAATAATAATTAGTGTAAAATACGTGTAAAAGTACCAAGTAAGTAGTGTACTACGGATCCCTTTTGTCAATGTTAAACCGTTTCAAATATTTAAACTTAACTCCCAAGTGCAATGATTCGGAAAATAATATTATGTTAATTTATGAGATTAGCTCGTGTGAACTACTGAGTGCAAGATTTTTTATTTTTTTATGTTAAACAAGTGAGATGATTATATTTATCTCCGTCTAACTGATCAGTAAAGGATAGTTACTATAGGTCCATAACTAATATTTATACTGATTTTACCAAATGTAGTTAAAAAGAAAAACCGGATAAATATTTAAGCATTATTGATTATCCGGAACGCAGATACACCTGCACTATAATATATAGCACACTACGCATGATAAAATATATCTGCATTATATTTACTTTTATTTTTTATTGTTTTTGGTAATAAATAACAATTTTAATAGATTTATTTAAATTATTAAATATGTTTTTTATGCATCTATGTATTTTAAATATTTTAAATATTTTATTTTGATACCTTTTATTTTGGGGAGGGGAAAGGGCTGAAATAGTTCTTATCTTTAAATATTAGATTTATTATATAAAATATATAAGGAAAGTATTCAATAATTTTAGAAAGTCGATTTTGATCACTTCAATCCACCCATGGGCTCCCACATAATGTAATTTTCGAAAAAGGGAAAAACTGAAATCAGGTTTTCAAAACATACATTTAAAAACTAATGTATATAGATATCTGATATATGCGTATGAACATTAAAACTTAATACACTGTACACAAATTTAGGTTATATTATACGTATAGTAATAATAGGTCCATTACGATAGGGTTTGAATTTGGATTTGGTGCTGAGGGAGCCATTAAAAATAATATAAAAGATATATGGATAAATATAACAGACACAATATAGTGAAATTGTTTCTATTTTTGGAAAAAAGTCGGTAATATAATATGTAATTTTTTTTTATAATTTACATTTACTAGTTAGTATAGGTAATATAATAGGTACCAGTTCTATTCAAAATACTTAAAGATATAAAAATTTTAAAATTTTAAAATAAAATATTAAATACTTTATGTATACCTATCATTTTAGATTCTAAATGTATCAAAGAATGTATTGGTTCTACTAAGATGTTTATTTTTTTTTTTATATACTGTGTACGAAAATTCGACTATAAATCTTGCTCAGGTATATACGCCCGGCAAAATTTCTGAAAGGAATGTACCCAGATGGTACTTTTAGGAGGTCATTTTATGATTTTCCAAGCGGTTTTCATACCGGAAGGGAGGGAAAAACCAGGATAAAACGTAAGAAAAACGGGAAACTTACGAGAATAATGCTTTTATTATGTTTTAACTATGTTATTTGTTGTAATTCAATTACAAATATTCGTAGGCTTGAAATTTAGAAAAAAAACTTTTGCCTTTTCTAGGCATAGTAAAATTTAAAAAAAATTAAGCCATTTTTGAGGTAATTATAGACATTTTAATATTGTGAGTTGAGTAATTTTTATTCGGTAAGTACTCTGAGGTAAAAGTGTTAGACTTAAAAAAAAAATTGAGTTTAATGTAGTATTTTTTTAATTTTTTTAATTTTAATATCAAATTTTAAGAAAAAAATATGTGGAACAAATCTAATTTTTCAGTTTTTTTTTTTGAACATGTATATTGCATATGTAGATTTAAGAACGATGGTGAAGTCAGAATTAAGTGGACTGACTAAGTTTCGAAATTATAGCTTTTTGAAGTTCTGATATTATATGTTATGTTAAGTACCTAGAGATCCAAGCCATCGCTTCCTCGGACTATTTTAATTGTAAAATACCCCGTGATTTGTTGTGCAAACTTTTCTACCTGAAATCTTGCTCCGATGTATCAAGTGTAGCTTATTTTCTGAAAGGAATTTTTATTTCCATGTTAATTTAGAGAAGTCTTTTTTTGATTTTTCAAGCGGTTTTCATAATATCTGGGAAAAACCGGGATAAAATGTCAGAAAAACGGAAAATGTACGAAAGGTAGGTATTAGTAAAAAAATATTATAGCCTTTCTTTTTATGTGCAACTTTTCTACCAGCAATATCGTTCCGATTTAAAATGATAGCACTTTTTTTGAAAGGAAATCTGATTGGGAAGGTATTTCAGGAAGGTAATTTTTCGATTTTCCCAGAAGTTTTCCCAATAATTGGGAAAAATCGGAAAAACCATGAAAAAACAGTAAAATTTTAAACAAATTTTAATTTATAATTAAGAAAATGTATAATGCTTATTTATTTATTATTATTTTACCATTATATGACATATATATTGATGAAAAAGTATCACTATCAACTGAACTGCGCTCAGAATCGTTTTTTCGTTAGTAATGGTTTATCGTTGCCTACAGATATACATTAAATTACCTATAACAGTGGCTGCACCCGTCTCCACTATCCTAGAATGTATTTTTTTTATTATAAGACGTGTAGTATGAATTTAAAAATGGGATAGTTAATATTTTATTTTATTAGGCATTTCATTTCTACCTTAGTGATAAAAACTATTCTATTGTTTTATAATTTCTCGAGGTTTTTTTCTTTACATCGGAATTGGATCGATTCGATTGTATTGATAATACATATACCTACTCTTCATAAAATTGTATACACATTACACACTGTATCATTTTTAAAACGTAGATAGGTTCTTATTACATAGATTTTCAAAGTACCTAATAAACAATAGGCAATGTATCGTGACCGTGATTATTTTACAGATTTAAAACCATTCATTCTACATAAATGGACCATTGGAAACAATAAAAAAAAAAAATAAATTTTGAAAATCAATCGTATGCGGTTTCTTCTGACACCTAGTATAATTATTATGACCAATATGACCTACATGACTACATATATCATTCTCTCTTAATATTTTGTAGTTTTGTATATCATAGAACGGGGAAAGATATTATTATTCGAAAGACCAGTGAGTATTTCTATAGAAAAAAAAAAAAAAAAAATGATATACCTATGTCTCTTGTAATACAATACATATCAGTATTGGTACAAATAGGAAGAGGGCTTGGTGGAGTTTAGCCCCCAAATGAAGAAAAAAAATATTTGTGCTACTTGCAACTATATGCACGTCGGTATAAATATTAATTATAGATATATCTCAAAGAGCATTATTTATTTATTAAACTTTCTAATTAATAACTAATGATTTTTATATCTCAACATTTACAATAAACTTTTGATGTTTCTAGTAGCTATGATAATATTAATGTTTCTTGTAGGGTCTAAGGAAACTTAGCTATAGCCTATAGTATAGGTTATAGCTATAATATGTGATTTAATGTTGTTAGTGAGTTATGCAGGAATCAGTATTACAAAGTTATGGAAGGGAAATCTATTTATTGCTATCTTCTTTTAATATTAGTAAATCTTTATGAGTCGTTATACTTGTATAAAACGTATACTGTAGTATATATTAAATTTAATATTAAGTTAAAAGAAAGAAAAGTCATTTTTAATGCGTCAATACATCATAACATAATATTTAACAAATAGTCAATATGTATGTAGGATTAAATTATTTTCCTTTTAGTATTCATTAGAAAATATTCAATTTAGGTATATATTATGTATAACCTACTAGGTACCTGTATAATACTTATATTATATAAATTGGAGTATAAACGCGTAGTTTTCTTCGGGTAGCGGGGGGGGGGGTTGCATTAACATAATTTAGACGACTAAATCTACCTAAATCATAAAAATTCCATTGATATTATTATAAGTTGTATGTTTCGGGGGAAGAAGGTAAAACTCCTAAACCCTAAAAGAGTTCAGAGGACACGTTTAATTTGACTTTTTAATAAAGCAATAATTGTTTTTACCAAAATATTTATCATACCATTATATTCGTTTTTTTTTTCATTGTTTGGATTGAAAAATAAAATAAAAAGGACTAAAAGTAAAAAAAAATTAATACAATTGTTAAACTCAATGTAATCCGTGGGGCGCTCACCCCCGACACTTCCCCTACACACATTTTAGATTCTGAGAGGAGCGATGGTTGTAAAAACATTACAATAATGTTTATTATTATTATTTTTTTATTTGTGAACAACTTTTCTACTAATTTCACCAGAAATTTTGCTTCGATTATCAAGTGTAGCAATTTTTTTGAAATGTTTTGATTTTCCCAGCTATTTTTATAATAAATGGTTATCATCGGAAAAAATATTGGAAAACGGGTAAATAGGTACAATATTAAACAAATATTATTAAAGAAAATATGTAACTATTTTACCATAATATGACAGATTATAGGTATATTGTTGACAAAGCAACGCTATCAACTGAATTCCGCTCAGAATCAGTATTTCGTTTGCAGTTAGCAATGGTTTATCGTTGCGTACAGATATACATTAAATTTTCTCTCTTCCAACTTATCACCTACGACAGTGGCCCACCTATCGTGTGGAGTAAGTGCATATCTTTTTTTTTAAACATAACTCAACGATTTACGAAAATAAAAAACTCTATTTAATAACTTTTTAAGCATTTGAAAGACGTGGTACAATGCGTTGAAATTTCAAATTTCAATGAAAATACCTTTGTACCGTCCCATGCGTTACATTTAAAATAAATAGTACAGGCACTATACAATTTCTAAAACATAAGGTGAGGTTCAAGCACAAATTCAGTTTTATTTAAACTGAATTCGTTATTATTATTTTTTTTTTTATTATAAATGCACCGGTATTTAAAATAATAATAAACGAAAATTAAGTTTTAATTCAATAACTAGTTATAAATATTTTGTTAAATATTATTTAGGTTATTCAAGTTATTAAAAACTAATGTGTAGGTTTTATTTTTATGTTTTTTGTACCTAAGTATTAAGGATTAAATATAAATTGTTGCTGCAGGTCTTACACATCATTTTCACGCTTCGTAATTTTTATTGTAGGTATTCTATACAGTTTTTTATGTACTAAACTATACATATATATAGTGTTTTTACCTATTGATATTATAGGTTCTTTGAAGTTCAATGATTTAACGTGAAAAATGAAAATTCATCAAAAAAACTCGTTATGGAAATTAACTTTTTTTAATCTATAAATGTTAACAAAGAAATGATTAAATGATAAATACTTAGAAAAAAAACCGTAATATTTCTAAATATATAAATACAAATGATCAAGTATGATCATATAATATAATAAATACATAATCGGATAAATTATATTAGGTAGGTCATTATTTATAGTACTACAACCCACAGGTAGGTATTATAGTAGATTAAATTGCCAACAAATATGTAGCATATAGATATCTACTATCCAAGTATCATATCAAATAAATTTCAATAGTTTACTACCAAATCAATACCCGCCATTATTCTAAATATAAAGCTCGAAATAAAAAGCACAACAATTTTTTTTTCGTTTGTTTTTTAAATTACTGTAAATTTTTTAATAATTCATAACTCAAAAAAACACCTGTAGAATTCGCTCCGAAATGTTGTTCTCTATACATTTCATTATAGGTACTTTTACGCTAAAATCAAGTTTTACTTAGTCTGTGTAGGCAATGTTTTTGCATGTTGCCCGATAGATGCGAGTGTGGTGTCTCTATTATTAGAACATAAGATATTAAATTCGTATTCTATACACGTATAGGTATTTTTAATAAACGTTTTAAACAAAATTGTTCAATACATTTTTTAGGTGTAAACTTTTGTACTGGAAGTATTTTACACTGGTCAATTCGTATAAAATGACGTGTTCACATAAAGAAAAAAAACCTAGATTTCTACTCATTTTAATAAAACGCATTTCGCGCGTTATATCTACAATCAACGCGGACAATCGCTTTGTCACGCGCACGAGCACTATTAAGCTGTATACACAACTATTAGGTGCACGTCGATTAAGATAAAATTAGGTTTATCTGTCAAACAACGCCTTTTTTGTCGGCACACACAGATCCGTCCTTCGGATTTGGGAAGCGGAATTTTCGTATTTTATTGTTATTGAAAATTCGTACTTTTAATTTTTCGCGCGCGCGGCCGGGGTCAGACTCAGACGGCCCCGGGGGTAGGCAACATGTACCCGTTGAACCGAAAATAGAAAATATGGCGATGAGATAGTACGATGCACCGTCGTAGCCGTAAGCAATAAGTCGTAATATCGAACCGCAGCTTTTATCTATTTCAATGTGGATTACAGGAATATACGCTAACGCACCGCCGTCGGACGCTAACGCTGGCCGAAATCGCGACATTTTTCCAGTCCGTATCTAGGCCGATACGTATGTACATGACTGCAAGCAATAATAGCCGGTATACCTGCCTGCCTACCTACCTACCTACCTACGTACGTACGTACGACATCTATACGCGCCGATACAGACGTGTACAAGAGAGAATGTCGTTTGCCCGTCACTCTTAAAATCGTAAATAAACGTATTATTTTAACGTGGCGAGTCCGCGACAATAATAAACGGTTATATTACAGTAACGCGGGAAATACAATATAATGATGCGCCGCAGAATGCGTACACAATTCGTACGGACGCACATTAAACGCGTCTAAAAGGCGGACTGCGCCTGTAGCGTACGCCTATGCAGACGTTATTATTTATTCGGACGTCGCGGGCATATTGTAATATTTATCGTATATTACGGGCGAGCGTGCGCGCGTGTGTGCAATATACGCGTCCGGGACACCATATAATACGATAATAATAATAATAATAATAATAATAATAACAATAATAATGGCAAGTATATAATATGCGTACGTAAACGCGTATACGTTGTAGCAGGCAATTTTATGTTCGTACGGGACACGGCGTTGCCGTGCCGAAGAGCGCACGCATCGCGTTTAGGCCGTACACCGCCGATCGCGCCATGGAAATTCGGTGGGGATAGCGGAACGTCGCGCGGGCCGCTCGCAGGACGTCGCGACCGGCGGTTTTCCGGGCCGCGGAGGACTGCAGTGCGCTGGGCGACCGAACGGGTCGTAGTATTTACCACAGGTGCCTACAATGTCTTGTAGTACGTCTGCGGTTTTACACGTTACCGTAACGCCGAATCAAGACCGCACCGGAGCCGCAGCCGCGTTCGCGTTTTAAATGTTATCCGTGCACGGCCGCGATTGCTGGAGCATATTGAGTGTTTGCCCGTCCGTACCGTTTTCCGTTTAGCGTCCGATAATACCCGCGGTTGATATACAAGGACGAAAGCGCCGCGAGAGAGGACGAAAGATGATTTTGAACTTCTTCGAGATTTGTTTTTTCGTAATGGTGATAAAGGTAAGTCTGTGCGCATCATTTGCAACAACAACATCGTTTGATTATGATTACTGTCGTCGTTTAAGTCACTCGCTTTCTGCGTCGTTTATACCTCGATATTAATTGTAACGGCAAAGTTAGAAAAAAAAAAAAAAAAAACTAGACCACCAACTTTGGCGATGTTGACACTACGGACATATCTAAGACCCAATCTTCTCGATACGGCTCCTCTTACAATAGTCAACTACACTTTTCATTTACAAATTTTACATATATATTCAAATTTATCATAACCCTTAACATTATTTTCCGTACACACGTGCATTGTCGGTAGGAAACCTGCGTATTTTGTTCTGCTCATATTAATTATAAAATATAATATGGATAAAATGTTTGGTCGGTACTTCGAAATATAATAGTATAATATAAGTAAATATTCGTATACTCGTACTGGGCGAAGATGCGAAGAACTAAACAACACGACTTCGCGGCGTATTACCAGACCTTGCTCTTGTCTAGTATAATAATGATAAATTAGTGTACGAATAGAAAATAAAGTAAATTAATAATTATATATTATAATAATTTAATACCCAATTTCATTTTTTTACGTTGATCGGTGTATCGAATAATCGATTATTTTCAGGTAATTGTATTTTTTTCCAAAGTTATTATCCATATACCTTCTGTATTGGCCACTTTAAATTTGATTTCGTTTTAAAAATCGATCAATAATATTTAGTAACCATTAAAATAAGTCTCTAATGGGAACAAGTACTCCATAATTCGTTCAATATGACTATACAATATAGATGACTTACAAACCACAATAACTGCACGTTACGTTAAATTAGCGTAGGTTATAATCTTAGTGGCGCATTATTGTTTTCAATTTGAATTATTACCGCACTGAAAAACGATTTCAGTAAGTACAACGCTATTGGTACAGAAATAAAAATTTAAACGTACCTATCCTACTTACGATTTGTTTGGCCTTTTCTTGCAGGTATTATACTGGGAAATTCTAAACAATTAAATATTTTCTTGAATGATTTCGGTATTTTATACTTTTTAGAAACTCTCATATCATTATATGTCAATTATATACATGTATATAATTTATAATTCGCCCAGGAATTGAGTTACGGTGTATTATGTTGAAAAATTGCCCACAATTATAAATATTTGCTAACTACGAGAAATTGTAACGGATATAATAATTGTATTAAAATACAAATCATATTTATGATATTATAATATATAACTGTTAAAATATATTCTTAAGATGCACATTCATGCAACTATAATAATAATTGTAAGAATATGTGTGAACAAAAATATTATAATTATTTTAGTGTTAAACAATTTGGAGTAAAAAACGCCTATAGACTTAAGTACATCACTATATTATTATTATTTTACCATAATAGGACGCATTATTTAGTTTTTAATAGTCGCAACAGGATATTATTTATACAGAGGAGATGAAGATCTCAGCACCGTTTGAGTTTAAGCTTTTCGTTTAGAATTGTTATCGGTGTGCAAAAAAAAAAAAATTAATTTTTGTCCTTCGACAATAACGTACCACCTACCTAATTCATCATCGAGGCATCTGTAGTGGAATCATATTCATGATCATAAGATGTATTTTTTTTTTTTTTAATTATAGATAGTATTACTATTCAACTTGAAACGAATTATTTTTACAAGTGTTTAACCTAATTTTAGTACATTTTTTTTTATTCTTTGATTTCTATTATCATTTTTTATTGAAATATCTCTATAATTGAATGTATCTACTTGTATAGCGCGGCGTACCAATACACACAGCCATAGAATATAGCAACAAATAATGTAAGAACTATTGTATACCGCGTATAAAATAAATATCTGTTAATCTTATATTCGGGCATTGTGAATCGTAGACGGCACTGAAGACGGAGACTAGGACAAACTGGCATAAACGTATAAACGTTACATTTTACTTTTTTTTTTTTTATTGTAGAATTAATTTTCGACCAGACATCACTTGACGGGATCGTCTGTCTCTGCCTAGACCGTTTGTGTAGCAAATAGATCAGACGTGACAATGACGCGAAAAAAAAAATCCATTGGACATTGAATAGGTCGCCGGAAAACCACGACATCTTTTCACAATTATTATAAATGATTCTATCGCATAGACGCAATTGATCTAAATTATTATATTAGATTTATTTAATAATACGTCTGTACCTCTCGAATAGTTTTGTTGATGTATTTATGTACACGTATAATAGGTACCTATATATCTATTAATGATATTATTATAGTCTATATAGGTATAGCTAATAAATTGAAACATTATAAAATAATGCTATTATGTACGAATTGTGAGTTAAACGGTATCTATGGATTTGATATTACGATTATTTGCATTGCATTTGTTATAGACTAGTATTTGTACTAATCAACAGTTAATCGATATTTATCTATAGATTCGGACGCTTAAAGAAATAATTTCAATTTTATTTGTAGATTTTTTCGTTTTAAAAATGTAGACATTCTGTTCGATAATTTGATTTTTTTTTTTTTTTAAATTATGTTTATTTTTATACATTTTGTTTGTAAAAGGTAAAATTTCTGAGGTTGAGTTATTATTCTTATTATTAGTTTTTTTTTTTTTTTATTAATCTGCACTATATGAAATTAAAATAATTTTTTTAAAAATAAAATTTAACATTATTCACGAAAATAAATTATCGACGTTAACGTAGAAGTTTTATATTTTTGTTCGGTATATAGATTACCTATTATATTGTATTATACCGTATGCATTGTGATATTGTTCGAATAATATAAACGATATGGGTACACGATATTGATTTAAACCAAATAAGAAAGAAAGAAAGAAAGAAAGAAAAATCACGATTTCAAACAGATCGAAAAATATATATTGTATGTGCACTGTGTGGCTATAACGGCATTTAAGTTAACGTTCGTGTATAATGCGAGTAAGACTTTCCCGCTAAAATACGGTATCACGTGAGAAATGTGAGAATAGTAATAACACAAAGTAAGATTGTTGTTATTAGATTTATGTTTGTTGAGTGACGGTGCACATGCGATGTTACAATGCGTAACCATATTTATTTTTTTTTCGTATAATGTACAATAATATATGTAAAGGCGTAAATAATCTCGTTTTCGAATAGGTTATGATAAAAGTGGAACCTATATATATATATACATATATATTTATACAAACACATAAGTACCTACATATATCTATTATATTTAGAATACCGTATTATAACTGGTATTGGGTATTTAGTTTCCATAGTATAAGAGGTATAAGTTTCGTCTTGAAAAAAAGAATTTTTGATTTTTTATCCGTCATATTTATTCTGATAAAATATCCATCAATTAGTTTAAAAGTCTAATAATATCTGCATGTTGTCAAATTAAAGTTTATACAGCTTACCTATATAGATGTTATCATTGATTTTATAATCACTGGTATTACGTTTATGTTATTAATGGTATTATACTTGCAATACCATTATTATTTAATGTAATGTGTTATTTTTAATAGTAATACGTTTTACCTGTTCCTAATATTATAATTTGTAACTAGTATTACTCCTCTTGAAATTTAATAAACATTATCGGTTATTAATTTTTAATTCAGGGAATATAACTAAACAATTATATAATATAGGTATATTTAAATATAACTGAACGATTGTTTTCATTTTTATAAATGCATTATAAAAATAAATACCTATTCTTAATATTTCGTAGACAATTTCTATTGGTCGAATTTAAATTTCAGGAATTTTACTTTTAAATTGTATGATTTAGTCAGTAAGTACCTACCTACACAACACTAAAATAGATATATTTCTTAGGGACACTAGTAGGTGTAGTCTATAGATGCCTGTATATAGTATAAACCGACTTCCGTTTCAAAATTACTTTGAAATTATAATAATAATGAAACCGTGTACTTGGATGTGTATCCTGTCTGCAGACTCATTTAATCATTTTGATTTAATACAAGTGCTTGATTTACGTACACTGTATCGTGACATATTTTATAATTGCAAGTGAATCAATCAACCATTTATACGGTATATACATATACTTTTACTTTTGTTATTTTTATAAAATTGTTTTTTGTCTATTTTTTTTTTTTACAGTTTCTTGGGCATACTTGTAGTAGGCATATACTGTGAAACGCACATAAAATAATATAATAAATATACATTTTATTTTTTGACAAACACCCGCCATTTGTATTATACGGTCTTTACGTCTAGACACATATTCCCAATCGCGTGTACACGTTTCACTCTAAACGATATATTTTTTTCTCATTATAGTCATATTATTATATTTTGTTTATTTATGTTGACACTTTCGTTTAAGTTTTTATCGTTTACACGGAAGAATGTAACCTAAATGCACAGAACAATTTATTGTTACATACAATTACGAATTTATGTATGTAGTAAACGTATTACGACTGTTCGGAATAAAAATAGGATAAATAGGTAACAATAAGGTCCGTTTATTATCTAGGTCCGTACGGGTGTACCTATTGATGAAGAAAATAATACATATTTACATTCAGTAGCGCGCACAGGATTTTTTTTTTTCGGAGGTGTGCTTATAGTACCAGAACATTAACCTTGTAAATATAATATGTGAATCGTATAAACTGGTTAGATAATTTGCACGAAGGAAGAAATTTCAGAGGGATGAACTCGAAATTAACTTAATAAAATATATACATAAATATAAGCAAATAAACGTATAGATATTAATTAATACAAATATAACAATAAGTATATACGTACAATATACATACATTTAAATACAAATTTGAGTATATCAAAAGTATAATAATTTTTGTTCAAATATACATTATTAGTGTTAAAATAAAGAATGTAAAACTAAATTTGAAAATATATAACACACAAAATACCTTTAAAAAATAAACACAATATACGTTATTAGTTATTATTATTATTTTTAAAATTATTATTTTTAAAATTATTATTTTTAAAATTATTATTTTTAAAATTATTATTTTATAGAATTTTCCTGGACCAATATATGGAGTAAAATTGGGTGAAACTTGCCTGTCTAATCAAGAGTGCGGTACAGAATTCAGCAGATGTCATCAAGAGTCTGGAACTTGTTCTTGTCTACCATATTACGCACAAGTGAACAATACGTGTTTGCAGTGTAAGTTTTTTTTTTTTTTTTGGAAATTATTTATAGGTGTTGTTGTTTTAATATTAATATAAAATACCCACAGTATATCTGGTTTAGATATGTATATAATATATAGGTAATAGATAAATTATTAAATAAAGTTTGAAATTAAAATCAAATTATAGATTACCCTCATTCGTTTACCTTATGTTTACGTAATTATTTCTAATTGTTTCACCTATATTTAAACGTCAATCAAGTGAATACAGAATTTCAACCCAAATATTATTCTAATCAGTAACCATAATATGTTACCTGATAATTTTCCTCTTAAATAAACCATGTTCATAAATGTCGGTTTTCATTTATGATACATTCTTGGTTGTACTTGTGTAAAACCGATTACCCATGTATAAGCGAAAATTTAAAACGACTGTGTGTATGCTGTTTTCATTATATATATTTATATCGTAGATTTTTCTAGTAGTAATACATATAAGTTCAAATAATAATAATAAAAAAAAAAAAACTGGAACATGAGCATACTTATATTGTTAAAAAAAATAATAAAATTTAGTATTGTCTGTTCTATCGTGGCGCCTGCCGTAAAAGCCTCGGGCGTATTGGTGGCTAATTAAATTATTACTATTATATTATGTATGACCGGTACCTATACCTATATAGGTATATGATTTATACGTTACAGATCATTTGGAAGAAATACCGTATTCTATTATGATATCCAAAAGTAGTCCAATTAAAAAAAAAAAATATATCTATATATATAATAAAAATTTTATTCTGTTGAATTTACAGCATCACTTTTGGGATTTGAATGTGTCGTAGACGAGCAATGTTCGTTGAAAGTGGCTAATAGTAGATGTTTTAACAATTTTTGTGAATGCGATTCAAAATTCTGGCAGTATCGAAGACATACGTGCTTACCTCGTAAGTAAATATTATATTTTTTAATTATTATTTTGTACCGAGTGTGTTAGGTTAGGTCAATATATAGGACTCGGATTTTAACGCAACTGTATATTTATATGCATTTAATCGACTTAAAATAATTCTCGTTTGAAATGTCGATGTTGGAAGATTATATATAAACGGTAACTAATTTTTTTTTATATTTGCATATTTATGGACACTTTTACTATATATTATAAATATTTTATGAATACTATTGATTACATTTTTAAAACGTGGATAGGTGCCTCTTAAAAATGCACAACTTAAAAACATTTTTTATAAAATTTATAACTTTTGTATGATATGTTGCTATATTCATTTTTTAGTCATTTTAAAAATTAAGCATTAAGTTAATTTATTATGCCTGTACAGTTTTTAATTCTTGGTATAGTAAATTTATTCATAATCTCTTAAGTATTTTTATATCAATCCCGTGTTTTAAATTAAAGTAAAAAACGTAAAATAATTAGTTTGTATTTAATATGGTATGCGATTTCTTTTATTTTTCAAATAAAATAATATGTTTTATATAAATTGTGCATATTTTATGTGCAATTGAATATTTATTTGCAAATATTTGCATGACCAGTATATTGATAAAAATAGGTATCAATATAACTTAAAAGACAGCTGCATAATTACCATATATATGTAAATAACTATTGTAGGAGATTAGTGTTTGAATATAATTACAATAAAATATATATATATATAGGTAGGTACCTACCTATGTAACAACTCGCGATTTATTTTTTGTTAAAAAAAAATAATAATAATAAAGTAAGTACCTAATGCTTCTAGTGGGATTTTCAACGGTTTTGTTAAAATTGCTTAGTCGTTTTTCAAAAGATTTTATAAACGGAAACACAAAAAGCTATATTCCTATCTAATTAAGTAAGGTTTTATTAATGTATATATATATATGTGTATAAGCAATTTTTTATTATAGTCATCCGGATCATTTGAAAAACCGAAAAATCCGGATTTTCGATTTCGGACAGAAATATCTGGATTTTAAGGATTTTGAAATTTGAGTATTTGATTTTGATTTTTTTTTTTTTAATATATATATTATATATATTTTTGTATTTTCTATGTTAAAAAAATTTGTATTGAATTGATTTAACAAGATTTAAAATAACAAAAAACAAAAATGTTTATAACATACCTATTTGCATAAAATATATATTACATAAAAAAATCCAAAATCAAAGTTTCCAAATTCAAAATCCGGATTTTAAATACATTTTTTGATTATAAATTTCAAATCTGGAATTATCTGGATATTTTAACTTCGGCAAATTAGGATTTTTTCCAGTCTTATTATTTTGTCCTTAAAAGTAATAGCAACAGAAATAAATAAAAATTAACTAAAAAAAAAAACAACACTACAATAACTTAATTATTACTTGATGATAGATCAAGCACCTATGTAATATTTATCCCGGCATATTAACTTAATATTCTTTTCGTTTCGGTTAACATTTAAAAAAATCTAATATATACTGTACTTAATACTTCGACGGTAATCGTTATTATAATATTATATACAGTGTCTTACGAATATCTGACAAACAACAACCAACAATTTTTTTCTGTTCAATATTTTTAACTTTTCTTTTTAATAATAATAATTACCAGAACCTTATATACGTACTGATTCTTTTTTTAATTTTTTTTTTTTGAAAACTAAAAATAAAAACAATTATTTAAAAAATTCAACATTGCAATGAATTCTGTAAATTTATGTGGAAACAAAATATTGGTGTTATAAATGGTTGATATAATGACGAATCGTTAATTTTCTAAAATTTGTTGAAGTTTAAAAAAATCATTAATAAAATTATTTTTTATGGATACATTGGTGAATCGGTTGATATTATTTAAAGTAAAGGCAATGGAAATTGGAAATTTCAAAGGATCAACGTCTTGTCCTTAGGTAAACGTTTGTTCCAAAATAAATTTATAAAATGGCTATCTTGCAGGATTTTATAAACCAATTTTTTTAAAAAATTGAAATTTGTATTTTCGGTGATATTCCAAATATAAAATATAAATATCAAATCGCAAGGCTGTAGTAATTATTGAAAAAAAAGAAAAGAAAAGCCAATTGTACGGAACAAAAGTTACAGGTCAAATGTCCGTGAGTCACTATGCACAGTCAAATAATATTATGATATCTATCTAACTAATTGATATGTACGCATCGTTGAAAATAATTTAACTTGCTTCCCCAAATATAAAAATCCAACGATGACCGATTAAAATAATATATCTATATAATATGCATCACATATTGTTTAAAATTCAATTCCCATTACACGACGATGTGATGCACAATCGTATGAGCGCGCGTATTCTGTATTCGTATCGTATTGCAGGTCTTAATTGAGCGCGCCGCAATGATGGGAAACAATACAAATTAGCATTGCATGTAGACGTACGGGTTCCCATACGAACACACAGAAATATATATTCATACGCGTGAAAAACGTATACCTATATAATAAATATAATACGCGTATTACTACGATTTCCCCGATCCTTTGGTTCATTGACGTCGCCGTTCATTAACATATAGGAACCCGTTAGATTTCGTTTATACGACGCTTTTATATAATACAAAATAGACTGTAGATCCACGTCAAGAAAAAAAAAAAAAAAAAAATTAAAAAAAAAAATAACACTCAAACGTGCCATGTGTGTATGTATAATGTAGGTATATACATAAAAAAAAAAATATATATAATATAGGTACATCATATATACAGATTATTGGAGGTCATTGTTGTCGAGTATTACGTGAGAGTTTATATTGTTCTTGACAGCGTTATGCGCGTGTGCGCGTGAAGGGATTTTTATATTATGTTTTCATTGAAAGGAAAAACGGTATAATACACACCAATATTTTTCCGCCACATATTTAAATTCAAAGTGCAATAAACTCCCCGCGGTATAGTGATAATATTATTATTGTATACGTAGCGCGTCTACTGGAAAATAGAATATTTACAGCGGCTTATATCACAAATATGTGTTGCAGGTATATTGTAATACAATTTGGTCCGCCAGACGGTCTATTATATAGAGGTTTTAACAAAATTTTCTCAAGTCGATAATATGATATTATTATGTATGGTCCAGACCGAAGGAATGCTATTATACTATATATAATATATTATAGTGGGATATCCCGCTTGAACCATATTTTCGAAATGTATTATCCGTATACTACACCGTACGATTTAACTCTCAGTTAGTAGGTGTTAGTTAATAAAAAAAAAAAAACCGTACCAAAACAACAATACAACATTATTTACGTACACACTATAATACATACGTTATTTAATATTTAATTTACACTTGCAATAATTTATCCTTGGTAACGTATTACATCATAATGTAATATATTAATATTATAATACGGTTTTTTTTTTTTAATTCGGGGCGTGGCGAGGGATCTATTGATCTATTGGTTTTACTGTAATGTGTTTTTTTTTTCTGTCTGTGAACAACTTTTCTACAAGAAAACTTGCTCCGAAGTATCAAGTGTAGTACTTTTTCCGGAAGGAAATTTTCTCTACTCGGTGCATTAAAATGGTCGTTTTTTGATTTGGTTTTAAAAATAATTGGGAAAAACGACAAATATTTACGGCGCGTCACGGCGTTATCGATTTCATTGATTTAATTTTTGCAACTTATGTTTTCTACCAGAAATATTGCTCCGTTCGAAAAATCAAAAATTTCGATTTTGTTCCTTTATACATATAGCCACTGAAAATGAAAGTTATTTTGTGACATCCAAAGTTATTATAATAACTAGTAAAAACCAAAAAAAAGATGAAAAATACGATTTTTTTTCAAACTATGGCACATAAATTTCATATTTATAATATTTACTGCTGATGTTTTCTACCAGAAATATTGCTTCAATAGAGAAACAATAAGAAATCTTTTTTTTGAACTTTTAATCTTGTTAGCAACCAAGAAAATTATTTTTTGAATTAATTTGTAATTTTTTTTTTAATAATTGAGCAAAATCGAAGGAACGAGAACATTTACGAAAATAATTATCTTTTAATTAAAATTTTGTTTTTTTAATATAATTCAGTAAAAAATATATGTAGTGTCTTGAAATTTTGATATAAAACTTATATTTGGTTTTACTAGATATGGTAAAATGTTTAAATTAATCAGAACTATTTTTGAGCTATTTATAGACATTTTAATATTGTGAGTTCTTTACGTAATTTTTATTTGGTAGTTACTCCGTAGATAGAATTGTTATTATTCATTTTCATGTAAATGCTTGACAATTTGACATAAGGTTCATTATAAATCGTACTTATTGGTAAAAAAAAAAAATTGAATATAGTATTTTTTTGACAAGATTTTTAATATCTAAATTTGAAGAAAAACGTAAATATTACGGCCTTCCAAAATACATGTGTCCGAATTTCGCTCTGAATCGATTTTCATTAGCAATGGTTTATCGCTGCTTACATATATAAATTAAATAACTTAATGTATTCTACCTTTCTTACTTTCCACCTACAATAGTGGCACACCTGTTCATAGAATCAGTTTTTTTTCTTATATGTCAATGTATAAGTGAATATATGTATGCACGTGTTGTTATGTGTTTAGGTACCTTATACATATCATGCTTTTGTGTTTTTTTTTTATGCCCGAAGAAAATAATGACCGATAATATATATTGTTACAAAAATATTGCTACATATAATTGCTAAAATTGGACTTAGTTGTTAGTTTTTATTGCTGCAACTTGTTATTTATACCATGTATGTATGATTAAATAATTAGATATGTTACACCAATATTTTTGCCAAGTAGCTTAATTATTGTTTAAATACCCACATAATATTAACCAGTGTAAACTATAATATACTTGTTCTTGTATCTTGGTGAAATAATGGCTATTTCATCAATATATAATACTAATAATATACATTGACGTTTTCTTAATTATTTTGATTGATATTTATTCACAGCGGCCAAACTGGGAGAAGTGTGTTACAGTGACGCGCATTGCATGTTATCTGGTGAAAAGAACAAATGCGAGTTTACTATACCCGGAGTGTTTGGATTTTGCGTGTGCAATTCTGACTTCCAAACCGACTGTCCGCCCAAAGGAAAAGATTCGACTATAACGAAACCAAATAATTCGGCATTCGGTAAATTAGATTTAAAGAAAAAAGTGCCGTATCTAAAACGACCTTGGCAAACGGGCGATCTTCGACAAACCACAACAACCACAACTACCTCAACAGCTAGACCGTTGCGACCAGTCGATAGGCCACCATTGCAGATGCCTCCATTAAAACGGCCCATGTTAAAACCAAATCTAACAAATAACGGCATAAAGACCACCGTGATTCCGGTGACGACAAGCACACAGTCATCTGCAGTGTTTCTTAGTTCTTCTACGACCGCAGTACCACTAAAACACACCAGCACGTCGAAGCCAGTTTCATCGTCGTTACCCACACCGTCGCCCATCAAAATTTACTTGAAAAGTCCACCGAAAGATGCTCAAAATAAAAGCCAAATATCCGATAATAAAGCGCCCGTAAAAGTCCACAAGAAACCAATTAGTAATAGTAATACAGGTAATATGGATTGATATTCGAATATTATTGTTTAAAATTAAACGTACTCGATAAAAATTTGTATTACAATTCGTATTATAATTTTTTAGGTATAACGTTAAGAAAAGGAGAACCGAAAAGACGTATAAGTCTTGGATTTCCTTGTGTTAGTGACGTACAGTGTATGCGAAACGATGAGAACTCGCGATGCTTGCACGGTATTTGTGATTGTCAATCGAACAACAAGACGAGCGATCAGTGTTCAGCAAAAACTCGTGGTTGTTTACAAAATACATTCCAAGTACGTAAATTTGATATATAACTAGTGTCGATAAAGTATTATTAATGATCACTTTTAAAAAGGCGCCAAAAGGGTAATTATATAGATCAGGAATGAACAACTGAAAGTCTGTATACCTACATAGTTAGTTTTCTTGTTTACATTACGTATTGATAATTGTTATAACTCGCCACACTAACTATTTTTTTATTGCTATATTATTTCGTGAATTTATTTTGGAATTCCAAGACAAAAATAAACCCTTTAGTTTAGTTTGTTTAAATATGATTGCAGTATATTTAATGATTGTTACCTATATTTAATTTGAAGTCGATGTTTTTTTTTTTATACGTATAACACATAAAAGTTATCTGTCCCTGCATAATTATTATAATATAGATGACGGGTTCGAGAAAAATTTAACAACCATTTATAAAACTACGTTTTAAAATTGTACGTAGTATAGGTAGGTATTTGTTGAAAAAAAAAAAATATTATCTCGCGCGTGGGTTACATTCCGATATCTATCACGAAAAACTCATTATAATTAAATATTACAATGATTTTTTTAGTGTCGGTCGAGCGGTAAATGCATCAGTTGGTTCTTTGTGTGCGACGGTCGATCAGGTGACTGCGGGGAAGATGATAATTCGGACGAAGAATGTTCGGGAAATCAGCAATGTCCAAGTACAACATTCGCATGCCGGTCTGGCAATGGTCTCAGGAATTTATGTGTTTCCAGGTCGACACGTTGCGACGGTGTGAAAAACTGCCCGTTCGGGGACGACGAAGAAGGTTGTAACGTTATCGGACACAAAGGTATAAACAACAACTTTTTTTATTTTTGTAACTAATTAACGGTGCAGATCCAATTATGAATTGTGTATACATATTTTCGATTTTCTCCCGTTTGCAAAATAAATCGGAATATTTTAAACCGAAATCGGAGCAAAATTGCTGTTAGAAAAGTTGTCCACAGAAAAAAAACAAAAAGATAAACATCATTGTAAAACCATAAGCTTCTTCGCTCCACTCAGAACTAAAATCCCAAATTGTGAAGTACTTTCAGAAGGGGAAGGATAAATACTGTTAAACACCCTACTATAATACGAAATTAAACGTATTCAGAGTTTAACTTTAATATCATTATTGTACTGAATGAGTGATTTTTTTTATTATTGTTTTCTTGGCGCGCAGGGTGTCCGGCGTACACGTTCCAATGCGGCGACGGTCAATGTTTGCCCGAGTACGAGCTGTGCAACGCCGTGGTCACGTGCGCCGACAAGTCGGACGAATTAGACGGCCTGTGCGGCGGCGGTGGCGGCGGAGCGCCGACCATTGTGGGGAACAGGACGTTCGCCCGGCCGCCGCAACCGTTGCCGCCGCTCACCCGGGTCCGGGGCGCCTACCGGCACGGCCCGGCCGAATGTCCGTTCCGGTGTAGGAACGGCAGGTGTAGGTCAACGGCGGTGCTGTGTTCCGGCCGGGACGGATGTGGCGACGGGTCCGACGAATCGGGCTGTTCCGTTTGCAGTAAGTGTCTAATGATATTAAGAGCGATGTTATAATTTAGTAGTATATTACAGCAGCACATTAGTTGCACCTAAATTATCTCCCTATAACCTTTCCTTATAACCTAAGCTATTTCAATTATTAGATTTTTTTTTTTTGAAAATATAATTCTAACATTTTATCGTGGGTATTATTCGCAAATCGTAATGCAATTATTACACGCTTTTTATTTACGTACATTTTATAGTAGGCAAATCAAATCGAACGTTTTGCAATTTATAAGTACCTAATAAATATGTGATACGTCCAATATACCAAAAAAATTTAAAAAAAACACAATGGATAAAACAAATAACAGTGTGTACCGATGTATTATAAAAATATAACAATAAGTTACTTTATTTAAATATTATGGAACGATGCGAAAGAATAAGACAACAAAAAAACATAAATAATAAATATAATAATTATAACAATTAGATATGTACCAGAAACTATTAATGCCAGAACTATTAATATTATATCTGATCCACAGTTATCATTCAAACATTTACATGATAATATGTATTTATATACGGTCATTGATATAGAAACATCGTAGAGCTAGAATATTAATTTTTTGGTCAATATTTCAACAACTTCAAACTAGGTTCAAAAATAATTACTCATAAATAAATACAATATAATAATCGTACTAATTTCTTATCATATAGTAGGTAATATAATAATAACAATATAATCCACGCCTCTACGGCCGATTTCATATACATTTTTTCAGAAAGTCTACAGCTAAGTTAGCCTACTTTAGGGTTATTATGTCTCTCGATTAGCCATTCATTCTCACTCATCCCGGACAACAACCATATAATCCAACTCAGTGGCGTGCCCAGAAATTTTCAATGGGAGGTCATGTAACAAATACAAATCGTGAATAAAGAGTAAAATCATCTTCTCTACCCAACTCGACTATGGAAATTCATAATTTAAAAGCCGGATCCAAAAAAAAAAAAGCCAATTTCTATTCAATACTTCAAGCTTTTCTTCGGAAATCGGCTAAAATGTATGAGTTTCAATGTTATATTACTCATATTTTGTTGTATTTTTAAGCCAATGAGAAGGATATAACTCTATACCTCCCTTCCTCCTGTGCATGCCACTGATCTAACTAGTTATAATCTCTATGGTAATGACATTTTTTTTTTTTTTTTTTTATGGACAGTCTATGAAAAAAATAGCTTTAAAATGATACACGACTGTTATTTTTTGTCAACCATATTTTTTGAGGTGAAATACTACCCACTTTTTGAAAAAGTGATAACAAAATGTGATATTAAAATTCATATAAAAAAAAAAATTCTACATTACACTCAGTCTTTTTCACACAAAGTACGATTTATAATGAACCTTCGATTAAATTTTCAAGCATTTCTGTTTGGTCTAACAATTTTATTCACAGAGTATCAACAAAATAAAAATTACGTAAGACTTGCAAAATTAAAATATCTATAATTAGCTCAAAAATGGCTAAAATGTTTTGAAATTTCGAGTCTCTAAGCATATTTTTAACTAACTGAACATCAAAAAAACAGAATTGAAAATAGTACATTTCGTATAAATTATCCAGTTTTCCTTATGTTTCTTCCGGGTTTGTCTCAATTATTATGAAAACGTTTTGGAGAAACCCGTGGAAATGACTTCCCTAAGGTATCACTCACATAAAATTTCCTTTTAAAAAATATGCTACACTTGAAAATCGAAGCAATCTGGTAGAAGAGTTGATCACAGATAAAAATAAAATAAAAATAATAAACATCATCGTGAAACTTGATTTGATCAGATTCTGAGATTTAAAATAAAGAACAAAAACAGTTTCTTCTACAAGTATTTATCGAATGGAAGAAACTGTAGGAAACAATATCCAAATTTGAAAAAAATAATCAATACTATAGTTACAAAATAATAATATAGATTTATTTTAAAATTTTATTATGTAGGTACTAAAATAAATAAATGTAACAATATAATTAAATAAAAATAGTAAATAGAAATGTATAAATTGGGCGCTTTTGTATGCTTTTTTTTACGAAATAACTTGATACAAAAATTTGACTACATTTAATTTTTCTAAAGAATAATTATCTATATTTTTTGTTGTTAATTTTATCATTAATGAGTAGTATACAGTAGTTTATAAGAAAACCATACAAATTTCCCATTTTTTTAAAATTTTAACTTTAATCCGTATACATTATTACTTGAGGCACTCGTGAAAGTTGAATTATGTGTATACGTTTTTAAGCATATCATTTTTTGAGGTCATGGACTAAATATTGAGGCGTTCTATGAAAAATAGTAAAATACCAATTTTAAAAGAAATAAGAACCACCCTATAGTGTATATTCTGAACACTTTGAAAACAAATATATCATAACCGGGAGTCTAAATATATAATAATTGTATTTTTACTGTACTTTTTATCAGTTTTGTAGTGTTTCATTAAAAAATCGATTTCACTCTTCAGTGTAATGTAAAAAGTATATGGAAGAAAAAAACCTAATGACGACGGTCGTCTGTAACTTTTGTGTTACATCGGACACAAATCCTCGATTTTGCTAATGCACAGATTATTAAAAATAATGGTCGCCATTTTTAAGTACTTTAATTTTAATACCTATACCTACGCATCATTACCCCTAAAGTGGCATTTGGAACTTGTAGCGTGACTAAATACTTATATTAGTCTCCGGACATGGTTTACGTTCTATTTTACTATTCACGCTGTATTGTTTTGTTTCGAGTGCGTTCCAAATGGTTTCATTGTGCGCGCTTCTTATATTAGCCTCGTATGTGATTCATACTGTCACTATAAAAACAGTGAACATTATAGTAAACAGTTATTTTATTTTACATTCGCAGCTAAAAACTAAAGTATCACTTTAAATGTGAACGGCACAAAAATATAATATACCTAAACCAAACCTATATGTAGCTAGGTATATATACTATGTGTAAATATTTTTAAAATGTATGAAAACCGATTCGTCACAAATATAAAATATGTTCGATAAAACGATTCTAGTACGTGTAGTACTCAATAAAAAATATACACCTGATACCATTATTTTCCAAATATTTGTTTTCACATTTTAATTTTAACTTTTGTATTAATACAAAACAAACATGTTATCTTTTTCGAATAGTATTAATTATAATTAATTGTCTATTGGTACTAATGTTTTATTATTATTACATTAACGAACGTAAAAGTATTGGAAATTTAATGTAACAGCTTTAGAACTCCAGCGGGAATAGGGGATTATAGTTAGTGGCATTAAATACAATTTTTTATTTTTGAAGGGCCAACGAAATCCTAGGAATAGGGAAACCTATCCGGATACCGATTCAAACATTTGCCCACACCTCTTCAGGTCCTATAAATAATTGACATAAATTTATCTAAAATTATCAATTATATAAATTGGCGCATTCAAGTTGGGCCCCGCGATCTAAGATCTACACTAATTGGGTCCCAGTTTTATGCGGGTATTATACTAATTTAGTTCCGGGTTCCTGGCAGCTAGGTATAGTAATAATCGGCTAGTACCGTAATATTAGTAATAATTATAATAGTTTGGAAAAATAAAACACAATATTCATTCTAACATCTATCAGTTTTTACAATTTTTAAAAAGTACTCAAATAAATACGATTACATTAAAAAGATAAGTTAAAAAAAAAAAAAAACGAAGAGATTGTAATAAGAATAAAACAGAATAATCACTGGAAAAATATATCCTTAAGTCCTAAGTCTGTAAAAGAGAGAAGGAAAATTATTTATATTGCTTTTAAACTTTCGGACCCAAGATCCAACTACATAGTATATTATCTACCGATGGCCAGGATCCAACTATTATAGTACCCAAAATTCATTGAGACCCAATCAGTGTCCAATCAGTATCTATTAAAGGTTAGTTTAGGTTTATACCTCTAATTTACATTTATACCTCATTTTAAACATTAAACGTATAACACGTACAGTTACCAGTTACCAGCGCAAGGGTGTGGGTAGGGTTTATATCTCATACTAACATTAAAATTCAATAACTGTATTTCTTTAGTAATTTTATCTTGAAATTAAATATTTCAGTCAAATTAAAAGGAGAAAAAGCTTGATTTATGGAATACAAATTTGCTTTTTTCATTAATAATTATCATTGTTGTGTTAAGTATAACATAAGAAAATTCTATTATTTATTCACCATAATTATTCAGAACATCTCTTCTATTTAAAGAATGTATTAAAAATGAATTAATAATTGACGTATTTAAAATATATCAGACATAGTACATTACACAACCCCATGTATACATATTGAAGAATAGTTAAACGAAATCATCAAATTGTTATGAGCGATTAATAATTATTAATTATATTAATTTTATCGCCAAGTATTAATTAACACTGTGTGATAAATTAATAAAAACTTCATTACAAAACAGCATGAATGTTCAACGTATATACTCTCAACCTATACTCTCCCTAGATGGGCACCCATTTGAACAAGGTGAGCGGATGCTTCCATTGATATATGGGTTTGATGCGATTAGTTATGGTCATCTACAATATTTTATAGATTAAGATCTAAAGTGGTTGAAAAAAAAACCTTTGTAGTATTATATTATAATTTACTGTAAATTGCAATATTATTTATAATAGAAATTTAAAGGCACCTCTTATGAAAAAATACAATTGTATAAAAAGCTTGGGTAATTTTTCATGATGTCCATAATTAAGTAAGATATGTTGATGGCCGAATTGTATATTAAACCGAAAGATAACATGTTGTAAAATGATTACTTTATTATAGTTTATAACAATATTTATATATTCATAACCGGGTATAGTCTTATGTAATAATTTATGTTTCTACGAATAAGGATAAATAATTTTATTGTTTTACATACTTATTTGGAATTTTGTAGGTAGGTATCTGTTGCGAATATTTGAGAATGTTTAGCTGAACTTATTATTGGCTAAATTATATTTTGATATATTAAGAAAACCAATTATTTAAACTACAAGTAAATATTTATTTTTAATTTGAATGTATTTTATTTGTTCTAGAATGTCCTGCAGTCTCATAAGAATCCTTTGAATTTGCTCTTTTTAGAATATTATCATTCTGTATTAAAAGTAGGTACCTATATGAAACTAAGTGAATGTAATCATTTTGTAAATAACTATATTTTAAAACAAATTTAATATTATATTTGTTTTTTAGATGTTTAAAATTTTAACTTGATGTCTTATCATTATTTAAAATAATATAATATAGAAGTATTGTTGTATTATTGTATTACCTATATATAATTTTATATTTACACATGTATACATATATATATATATATATAATTATTATTTTTTATAACTGTATCGAAAAATAAATTATTTATTTTTATAATAGACTCAAATGGTTTAGTTTGTTGAATTAAATCTTTTTATTTAGTTTACTTTTAATTTTTTAATGGGTAATTAATTTTAAATCTATACCTATATTATTACAGGTTTTTCGAAAATATTAATTTTTTTTTTATCTCGTTAACAGATAAATATGAATTAGGTAATATTATTATGAACTATAGAAATCAAAATTGTGTCTTAAATGTATTTCTCCAACCATTATTATTAGTATCTTTTTATATAAAATATAGATAAGCCACTTTCTGCAGTCTGTTGAGGATCTAGTTTAATGTTTCCCAAAGGGTGTGGAAACTCGAACTTTATTATATTAGAAAACCATATAAATATAAAATATAATAAGTATAAAAAGAAAGCTGTTCTGAGTTGAGTTCGATTGATAGTGTAACTGTGTCATATATTATGATACAAAAATGGCATAACAATTAAACATTTTCTGTTTACCTGTTTTTCCGTTTTTTTTTTTCGATTTTTCAAATTCAATGAGAAAACTTCTAAGAAAACCGAAAAATTATATCTCTTAAGTACTTCCCCAGTCGGATTTCCTTGCTACTAAAATTGCTACCTAAAAAAGTACCTAATATAAAATTTATTTTATTTTATTTATTTATTGTAAATTTTTCTGTTTTTCCTCAGTTTTAATTCGGTTTTTCACACCTGATGAGAAAACTCTTGAGAAAATTGAAAAATTACCTCCTTAAAGTATCTCCCTACACCGATTTATTTTCAGAAAATGTGTTATACTTAAAAATCTGAATAAGTCTTCTTCAAAAAAAAAGCGTAAATAATATTAGGATTACTATTTTTTAAATGTGATTGAAGTCCATTGTAAGTACCTTAATATTTGCTGCACCATTAAATGCATATGTTACTATATTTTTCATCAAGATACCCATTGACATAACATATTTTCTAACAAATTGTATAATGCAGTTCTACTGAAATCATGACAAACAACTAAAGAAAGAAATCTTTCTTTCATAGAATCATTTACCAAGTAGCGAACACAAATTGCAAGTTGGTCTATAACACTGATATCTTGTGTACTATAAACCATTATAGAGAAATATTTGCATGTAAGAATTTCTTCAATGATATTTTTTTTTTATTGAATGACCAATAGATTTAATTATTTTATCATTAATAAAATGTTTCGACATAAACGTAACCAATGACCCTACCTTTATTGTTTTTATTTTTTTCACTTACTTAATGGATTTATCAACATGATCGTTAAGTATTTTGTTATATTTTGCCATTAATAATACAAGTTCCAAAAAATTTCCATGGTTTTATGTTCGATTAAACAATGAATAAACACATTCTTCTTTTCCTCTGTATGAAATTCCCTGTGTTCCAATAAATAAAATGATGTCAATTAATCGTTTTAATATTTCTCTGTAAGATTTTGAACTTCTTTTGTATGTTCAAAAAAAACATTATGATTTATAAGATTACCAATATCATTGCTAGCAACTGCACGTAAAACTGCTAAAGAAGAGTTTTCATAAATTTTAGATTTTTCATGCCTTTTAATATCTTGGAACAAATTTATATTCTTCTTTATACAAGCTAAATACTTGTAATGAAATTTGATTTTTGTCCAAAAGTTGTTGAAAATGCCATACAACTTGAGCAATATATATATTGTGTATCAATTGAAAACGATATCTATTTTCTATTCATAACATCTCCATCAGATAATATTCTATTATATATTCAATTAAAGTCTACACTTTTTCCATTTAAAGGTATCGGTTGTATTGGATAATGATTCAAAAAATCTAATTTGCTTTCTACTGAACTAGAATTTGTCGGATGGATAAAAAGTGATAAACATGTTAATAAATTATGGTTTTCAATTTGTGAAATATTACTAATTTCAGTCTGTATATTATCTGACGTTTCCATATTTAAACCAGCATTAACTGGACTACCATGATTAAAATTAGATTCAGTACCCCTACAAAAATAGCATACTATACTATACATGCTTTATGAATAATCTGGATATTAATTTTAAATTAGTATAAATTGTCTTATTATTACCTAGTTTTTAAGTAGTATAATTTGATTTTTATTATAATTATAACTAATTTTATCATTGGTTTTTGTGTTCTTTTATTTAATAAAAAAACACTATTATGGTCTAAAAAGTTATTTATATTAAAGCAAATTGATTAGGGTGATTAATTAAAGGAAATTTCACTTTTATTAAATTAATAACTAGCATTCAATGTAATTATTGTTTCATTATTTGCTCTTCTATCTTCAAAATTAAATTCATTCATATTATCATCTTCACATATTTCATTTTCATTCAATTCATAAAAATACTATTAATATATTCTAAATTATATTATAAAGCAATAAATAATACTAAATGAAAACTAAATTACTTAAATTTATCTATAATAAATTATATATAAAATAAATTTAAATAAGAAAAAAGAAGAATAAAGAAGTTTTCATTCTTTACTGTTTATATTAATTCTGAATTAATAAATTAAATATTATCATATTCATACATACGAGTATATAACAAATTTGGAAATTAAATATTTTAATTTTTTAAAAAAAATAACTATAACAAACCTTTTATAAATACCTACTACTACACAAAAATATCTTCATATACAATATACCTTATACATTTATTTTAGCTAAATCAATATTTACTAATTTACTCAAATTAAATTTAAATAACAATATAATCATTGACTATTCTATAGTTTAAAGCATTTAAATTATATTATTTTATTTAAATTAAATAATTACCGTGAAATTAGAGTGGTAACTTCTCTAATACATTGTTTTCATCTTGTATGTCTGATGCAGTATTTGATACATTTGGAATTCGTGCCATTTTGTCCATAACTGAATGATGTGTATCCATCTTTATGTAATATAAATTAGAAATGATGTAAATTTTAGATACTACTAAAATTTAATTAACTACATTTACTTACATAGCCACATAGGTACAAGTTTTGATTTGTGATGTAAAAAATAAGACAATAATAATAAAAAAATAAATGGGTACTTAATTTTATATTTAAAGTACTGACTTTCTGGACTTCACCTATTTTAAAAAACATTAATTTTTTCTGTTTAGGATGCGAGTCCATTTTTTCTAACTGTTGTTTATCTTTAAATCGACGTTTTTCTGCACTTCTTTTTACTTTCGGTTTCATTTTATACTTTATAGTACTCGTAATTAAAAAAAAATATTTAATACAAATAAAATTTGTAAAACACTGAACAAATCGCTGTTGGTTTAATTAATAATTAGTGCTGACTATTGACTATGGTTTATCGTCTATGACAAATATTATATGACCGCAAACGGCACATATGATAAAACGATAAAATCAATACTCAACATATCTAGGTAATCTATAAATAAATCTTATATCGGTCGGTTGTTCGTAAATATCAGGATTTCCCATGTTTTATTAGTTATCAATATGGATAATTAACATTATAATATTTTATACAATTTACCCCTGTAATTCCACTTTTACTTATTTGCTATTATTAAATTATTTAGCTCGCGCTACAACCGCCGAGTATAAAATACAATTAGTAATTAGTACCTATTGAAATACCCATATAAACTACATCAGGAAATAAATTTTATTTTCAAGATCATTCATCCATAATAATTATAATTTATATTTATCGAACTACGACACAATTATAAAACCAGACTAAGATGATAAGATAATAAGAAGTACGATTTACTTATTCTAACTTTAGATTTAAAAATTAAAAGTTAAAACGCTCTACGGACACTATTATATTCAAACGTTTCGTCGCATTTAAATATACATATATATATAAAAAAAAGTATCGACAATGGATTCAGTCAGAATTGAAACATTTTTAAGAACTGGTAACAGCTTAACGTTTATTTTTGATATAATGGTTACCACTGTTACTGGTATCTGGTTATATATAGATACCAAAGTGTTTATGTTAACCGGTCAGTTACCGGTAACCTACTTCGCACAATAGGTGGTTCATTGTTGTAGGCAAGAAGTTAGGAAGGTAAAATATAGAGGAGAATTTAATGTATATCTGTATGAAACGAATAATCTTTGCTAACGAAAAACGATTCTACGCAGAGTTCAGTTGTACTTGTTTTAAAAGGCCGTAATATTTACGATTTGAAAATAATACATTTCGTAAATTTCCCCGTTTTGCTACGTTTTTTTTTTTTTTTTTTTTTTTTACAGTTTTTTGAATTTATTATGAAAACCCCAGAGAAAATTAAAAAATGACCTTTCTAAAGTACCACCCCAGTCAGATTTTCTTTTAGAAAAATACTCCACTTAAAAATTAGAGAAAAATTCCTGGAGAAAAGTTATTCACAGGCAAAAAAAAATTCTCATTAAAAAAAAGTCTACATTATACTGAATTTTAGATTTTGGGTGGAGCTAAGAATGTTTTGGTTTTACAATGATGTTTATTTATTTATTTTGTATTATTAGGAAATCTGACTGGGGTGGCACTTTATGGAGGTTATTTTTTGATTTTTTCAGCTGTTTTCATAATAAATTAGAAAAAACGTAGGAAAACAGGAAAATACGTACAATTTTAAATAAATGTTATTAAAGAAAATATATAATTCATATGTAATTATTTTACCATAATATGGCATATTATATACTGTTGACAAAGCAGCACTATTAACCAAACCCCGCTCAGAATCGTTTTTCGTTAGCAATGGTTAATCGTTGCGTAAGGATATACATTCAATTTTTCTTCTACCTCTCAACTTCTCATTTACAACAGTGGCTTATCCATCGTGCGAAGTATGTCCGTATTTTTTTTCTTTTTACCACAAACTACAACTTATAATGAATCTCTTATTAAATTTTCTATCATTTCTGTTTGGTATAACAATTTCATCTATATATAATACCTACCGAACAAAAATTACATAAAAAAATGTAAAATTAACATGTCTATAAATAGCTCAAAAATGGCTACAATGTTTTGAAAATTTTACCATGTCTAGAAAAAACAAATATAAGTTTTCTTTCCAAACTTCAAAATGTTTACAAATGTTTTTAACTGAATCAAACCAAACAAAAAATTTAAAACATAATACATTTCATAAATTTTCCCGTTTTTCCGGGTTTTTTACATTCATTGTGACAACAGTTAAGAAAATTAAAAAAATTACCTCATTAAAGTACCATCTCGGTCATATTACATTCCAAAGAATGTGCTATATTTCAAAATTGGAGGAAAATTTCTGATAGAAAAATTGTCCACAGGAAAAAAAAATAAACATCATTGTAAAACAAATACATTAATATTGCTCCGCTCAGAATCTAAAACTAATGAATTCCATGTTGCACTCGTACAGTTCACTTCACTGAAAATCGTACAAGAACAAGAGCAGTTTGTCGGACTCAGCATTTACTGGTGTTTTTTACTTATTATAATGTTTAAAATATAATGTTTCAGTGTAGTAAATATTTTTTATTTATCGTTTTCACATTTTCGTATTACAAAAACAATCAATTTTTGTAAATAAAAAATTTCAAATAATCAACATGGTATTTTTACAAATATCTGAATTTGAAGATATTTATACTTATTGTCAAGTAAACAGAAACCGTTATTGCGTTTATATTCTAGTTTTGCTACGTTTTTCTTCAGGGGCGTATTTAAAGGAAGGCCTAGCCTCCCTATAGGCCATAGAACTATTCCCCCCCCCCTATCGACAATTTCTTTATTTGTATTAAATTACCTATATTATGTTTGTAATATATTATTTGTATTAGGTATAATATTGAAAAAATCTGAAAGTACTGACAGTAAGTGACTCGTCCCATACGGCCATACCTATCGGCGAACATTGACGATAGTCACTTTTGTCGCTTGTGTGTACGCGTTTTTTCGTACTATGACTAAGAAAAATTTCACCATATGCTATATTTTTCCTTATCAACCAAATCATATATTTATGCAATGAACTATTAGAAATTTTTAAAAGATTTAAAGTAAATATTGATGTTGATGACTTAAACAAACAGAACTTTTGAAAATACTCTACTTAAACATACTTTTTTTTCTGCAATCAGAACAAATAGTATTGATGCAGTAGATTCAACAACAAAATAGTTTTGGTGAAGTTACTCATACTATAAGTTTCTTGATATTATAAATAAAGAATTGGATAACAGATTAAAAGGTGAAAATGTATGTGTGGAAAATACTACTGATCATTTTTTAAAACTAAATATCATTGATTCTGAATAAAAATTCATCACTACCAGACATTATACTTAATATTGATTCCAATATTTATTAAAATCAGAAATGATGGTAGCAAAAAAATGTTTATCAAAAGAAACATGGGAACTTTATAAACTAATAATAAAAGTTGCAAATGAATCTGTGTTACCAAAATTTGAGAAAAATGTTAAAAGTAGCATTATTAATACTTCCGTTATGTGAACAACACTTTTTTGCTATGCGAAGAATTAAAAATTGGCTTAGATCGTCTTTAAAATTGTATCAAGTTAATTGCTAGGATTTATTGAACATCGAAAAGAACATTCTAGAAGATTTAAATAAAGAAAAAATACTTGAGGATTTTGCTGTGCTATTAAGAAATCAAAAAAAAAAAAATAAGGCTATGAATAACATTTTATTATAATTACTAATATTTTTAGTTTAATATTTAGTATTTTATGTACTAACTGTATTTAAATAAAAAATAAATATTGATTTATGTTATCATTCTATTTAGTATATAAAATATTTCTCGTGGCTTTAACTGCATCCTCTATTACACTTTTAAATTCAACCCTGTTTTTCTTCATTATTAAAAAAATTATATGGAAAATCAAAAACTGACCTCCCCGATGCACTAAATATACAGAAACCATTTTATATCAGAAACCATCCTGAAGTTAATGATCGGAGTTAGATTTATGGTAAAAAAAGCTGTTTACAAAAAGAAAAAAAGAAACCGCATAAGTGTAACAATAAAACCAAAACATTTCTCACTACGTTCAGAACCTAAAATGTCTATTCGTTAAAACTGAAATGTACTTACCTATGTTTATTATTATATTTTTTTGTAAAATGATAGGAATACTTTTTTAACGCGATCTACAGTAGATACATTATTACAAGTATTATGATTATGTTGTTTATTGTTGTTTTTACATTGAGATAAAATCGTATTCACATAAAAATACGAGTATACACAGTGTTTTTGATGGCATTATAATGGAAGAGACTATGAGAGTCCTAACTGTAAACTATATATTGTATAGTGGGCATACCTATAATTATATTATCTACAACGATTTTACTGACACCCTAGACGAATTTGTACTGCTATAATATTATTTTGCTTGTACGAAAACTGATGGATTTGAAGTGAATTGTAACTTTTGAGAGAGTCGATAAAAATTACCTACATTATATTTTGATTTAATATCGTGACAAAACAAATCGTAGAATAGGTATAATTCATTGTCATAAATCCGCCCAATAACTACCGGTGATCGTTTATAGGCGTAATTATGGAAATCGTTTGCATCTTACGGATTATGGTTGCGTCTAATCGTTGAGAAATGGTTGGTAATCATTTTAGAAATCTATAATGTAGTGTAATCAGTTTTCACTGCGGTGGATTTACCCATGACAAAATATCTTTTTACCACGGATTTACTCTCCGCCGTAAAAGATAAGCTGGCATACCTATTTTAATTTATAACATGCATGCATCTTATTACTGTTATTATTACATTGTATTACTATTATAGGTACCTAATGTGTACTTACAAATAAAAAAAAAAGAAATTTCAAATGGGTATCGTGTAATAAATTAGTGAACGAGTCTTATCTTTATGGCAGGGATTAAAATTGTGTATAATAGGTACGATAGGTAAATAATAGAAAATATTAGGTGTCCAGTATGAAATTAAAAATTGTATAGCGGCTATATTATGATATTTGTGTTCGAATTTAATTTTAAATTTTTTTGTACTTTTAACACCTAATTATTACTGAAAAAAAAAATTCTAAAATTTATCTTTATTAAAATTTTAAATAACAATAAAACTGATTCGTAAAACATTGACAGATACCTATTACATATAATTTCATAGATGATAATGGCACAAAATAGATTAAAGGTACTTTTATTATTGATGTTTAGTTCATAGGTAATACACTAATACATTATTAAATAAATTATATAATGCCTATGTAATTATTTTGCCATAATATTGTATATATTATATTGTTGGCAAAGCAACACTATCAACTGAACTTTGTTTAGAATCGTTTTTTCGTTAGCAATGGTTTATCGATTCTTACAGATATACATTAAATTTCCCCTCTACTACCTTCCCGATTTCTTGCCTTGCCTTCGCGTGTGAAGTATGTCAGTCTTTTTTTAAAATTATTTTTAGTTAATTTATGTATATAAAAAATGTATATATATATATATATATTATACATACTACTAATTTAGTTTTTCTGAGAAAATCTAAAATTATAACTTATTTAAGGTAAGGTAAGCACTATTTTAATTTATAATCTAATCTTAAAAAAAAATTGGCTATTTATCCTTATATTGTGATACCTTATATACATACAGGAAAATGTAAATTGAGATTGATTTGCAAACGGTTCCTTCTTTTTTCGTCGTTGTGCTGATCAAAAATTTCTCCGTCCCTATCAAATACTGAAATGATTCTATTGCGGTGGAGGGGGTGATTATACCTGTGAGATAGTATTAGTTTGATATAAAGAGAGCATAACAAAAGAGCATATATTTAAGCCTCTGCTTTACGGTTGTTGTTAAAATGTTAAACATATTTCAGAACGAAAGAAAATCCAGTCATTAAATTAAATTGATGGGTGGGTTGGTGAAATGATTTTGTTAGATTCATTCATGATGTAAGTTCACACTATCACTGCTGAAAATATATAACCGACCTATATAGTTGGTGTAGCTAAAAAGATTTTTGCTGTAAAAAAATGATTTATAATTATAAGATTTATACAAATGTTATCTTTGGATGGGCGATCAACCCATCATACAGAACCCCTATATTTTTCGTTTTACCTCAAGTATGAAGAATGTTCTGCACGTCACTACCAAGTAGAAACTAGAAGTAAATCTACAATTTTTTGAAACGAGCGAAATATACGCTCATTCTGAATTAATACTTACCTAAAAGTTAAAACATTACAAGTTTAGTTTATCATATCAAAAATTGTCAGTTTTCGAGAAGAACAAAAAATTAAACAGTAAATAAAATTACTGACCAAACCCAATAGTTACTAACAAATAGTTTTACTTGTATCAATAATTATACAATATTGAATATTTATTATTGCATGCCAATAATATTGAATTAAAAATTTCAAACTGTTGGCGCCATTTTTATTTTTTATCAGTGTGTCCAACATAGATCTATCTGATATTTGTTTACATCAACTCCCCCTTCATATATTCCCTAGCAGCCGGACACCGTGGAAATATATTTCGATATTGCCATGAAACCGTGCACTACTGTGTATTGTTCTGACATTGTGTTTCAGCCATTTTTGTGATCGTTCTTCTAGTTATTGCTCGTTCATACCTACTTTTCTAATTTTTCAAATTTGTGTAATTATTCGTAACTTATCTGTCTAACCAATCTACATTATCAGATTGTCCGGATTTATTTCCAAAGAGCCAGTGAACAATTTCTCAACGCTTCACAATGGATGTCAGTTTAGATGAATTAATCAAAAGCAAAAGGTCCGCGTCTCGTGGTGGACGTCGTGGCGGCGGAAGACAAGGCGGCACCCGTGGTGGTAGCAGTAGACGTGGTGGTGCCGGCGGAGGTTCAAACTTTCGATCAAACGGATCTGCTGCTGGTGGTGGTGGTGGTGGTGGCGGAGGAGGACCTATGCGCAGAGGTAGATCTGTTGGAAGACGTTCCAATGGGTTTAGTCCCTATTCGAAGGTGAGATACATGTGAGAGTTTTCCACCTTGGCAAATACCGACAGCCATTTTTAGAAAAATTGTTCACTATGAGTTAAATATTATTGTATTTCATTATATGGGGGAATATGGCTTCATCAAAAGAAAAGTTTTATACACTCAATCGAAAAAAATATGTAGGTATATCGTATAATTTATAATGTGAAATAAAATTTATTTTCACCTCGACGAGCACGGTATATTATCATAGGTACCATTACTGGGCTTAAGGCTGGGTTTCTTTGGTTATAAAAGAAAAAAAATATCGAAATTGACAAATACATATTTCTAAAGGTGAATATTTTATGGTTTTAAATTATTTAATATTCTTAAATATATTGTTAAATATGCTATCGGTTGTTAGTGGTAATTTTGAAGTTAGACATTTTGAGGGGACTCTGATTAGTTTGACCTTGTGGTTATTGATTTCTCTCCATGTCCCTGTGCCTGTGTTATATATACTTTCCTAAAGTAAAAATATTAGTAACTGCCTACTAACATAAAGTGCATTTATTTTCATAATATACAATTTAATAAAATATTTATTTTTTTTTTGTTAGGGTGATGTAAATGCGTCTTGGACTCATGATATGTATGAAGGACCCAAAAGACAACAAATGAGGGGTGGTCTTTCAACTACCAACATTCATAAAATTGTTATATCAAACTTGGACTTTGGAGTCACATCTACAGATATACAGGTTTGATTAAAATTACATGAAACTAAATTATTTTTCTGTACTAACATTTGCAATTAATGCCTGTTTAGTTTTTGTACCTATCTAACTTGGTAATTTATTTTACCGTTTTATTATCATTTAACATACTTTAACTTAATGTTTTATGTTTGGTGAAAGTTCATTGAGTGAGTTATCTATTATTTATTTGTCTTATAAATTGTCAATAAAAGAATATTACCTACAATAGTGTAATATTATATAAAAGTATAATGAAAACATTTAATAACTTAAAACAGGTTTAATAGAATGAACAAATAAAACATTCCAAAAGCTTAATATTTAAGAAGTTAATAATAAATGAACATTGTTAGAATTTGAACGAAATTCTGATATTTCAAGAACTTTGGTGAAATTAATTTCATTACATTCATATTTTATCTGTTTATTTTACAAGTGTTTTTTAATTTTATTTAATATGCACACTGATGAAATATACTAATAAATATTTTATCAATGATATTAAGTTAGGGTAGAGTCCCCTCATAGCCACTTATAGCCATTTCCTTCCTATGACTAATAATTTTTATTTTATTCATGAATAGTATAATTTTGTAATTTAATAACCCAATAGTTGATTTGTAATCATCTACATACATTAATTAATTTACTGAGTGATATTAATTATTACAAAATAATAGATAGTGTAGGATGATCATAGATCGATTAAATCCAATATTAATTGATACAAATCGTTAAGATGTCATGATCATAAGGTGGCAATTCCACTTTAAATGGGTGCCTCCTAAATAAAATAATTTTTTTTTCAAATTCTAACCTAGTATGTATTTTTTAATTGCATTAATAATTAAGTTTTTTTTTTTGTCTAGTTAGACAGAGATAAAACTACCATTAATATTTTGTACTATAAAATATTTATTCACTAGGGTAATCTATTTTGGACAAACATGGAAAATTAATAATGGGGTATAGTGCAATCATAAGTCAAACTAATAATTTTTGATGATGAAATTTGTTATAATATTAATAATTTATTATATTTACCCTTTAGTTTTGATATGTCTACTTTTTATTCTGTTTGTGAACAAGTTTCTACACTAGAAGACTTGGTCAAATTATCAATTACAATGTTATTGGTAGTAAAGTTTGTCCGATTGGTGAATATTTAAAATTATTTTTTATTTTTTCATATTAGCATTTAATATATTTTTCAATTTCAATTAATCATAAAATGATTAACCAAGCTTAACTCATTTTTTGTTTGAAGTTATTTATCATTAAATTTGCAATTTAAACTAAATCACTTTTATTTCATCCTTTCCTAATGTTTTTAAATATTTTACCTTCCAACTTCCCACCTACAACAATGGCCTACCTATGAGCACGTTCAGTTGTTAACAGTTGAAATATATTTTGTTTTAAAGAGGAATTAAATATAAAAAATATATTTATACTAATTTAATATCAACTTAATTCATAAATTACAAATAAATTTAAATCTATTATGTATTTAATAATATGATATGATATATTAAACATTTAATGTAAATATATATTTTTTAGTTGCAATATTTCTAATGCAAATATGCATAAGTAATAATAAAATAGAAATGCCTGTGAATATTCTTGAGTATTTTCTATCACTTAAGAAAATTAAATATTTCAAAAAAATGGAGGGGGGGTTAGGGTAATATGAACAATTCTCTTAAACAATACAAATCTAAAACGGTAAACTACACTTATCTCTGGTTAGGTTCCATTTTATTATTAATGTTAAATAATAAATTGGACAACATTATTTTTCCAGGCATCTTCAGCCGATGGCAGCTTGAAGATACCTAGATAGAATGTTCACCACATGTTAGATCTACTATTGGTTCAATACTTGGGTTTCATTTGTGTAAACAGCCGTCAAAGAACGACCCATGGACAGTGTTTTCTCTTTAAAATTTCTATACCCGACTACTCAAGATAAATTATTACAAAAGAATTCCGTTTTATGCTCAACTTAAATGAAAAAAAAAAAATTCTTTTTACTTAACTTTTATCCCGGGAAAAGTACCTACTCATACTACCTACTCATTGACTACACATGATATTTTGTAACTCAATTCTGAGTTTGTGAGCTTGATGTTTTTTAAACAGTTACATTTATCATAGTGTCTTAAGTCGTTATATGGCAGTCACAAGTGCTTCATTGAATTATCAACAAGCATGGATTTTTTTTATCTAAGTAATGCGCATTATGTTTTGAAAAGTACTGTTTACACAGGTACACCAATTGTTGTTTAAGCAATTCATTTTTTTTGTTTTGGAAACATCAAATTTACAACAACTGGAAGTCAAAAAAACTACTACATCAACTATGCTATCAACTAATGTATGATTCTACTGCAAGACTCAAGATAACATTAAACAAGAAAAAATCTACATCTCTAAACCAAATAATTCTCATCTTAATTCAAAGATTTCTCCAAAATTATATCTACATTTGGTGTACCTGTTGTTAAAACACAATTGCATTAGGTTAATTAAAAAAAAAAAAAAAAAAAAAATTATTCCTTTGTATTGAATTAATCATTCAATAATAACAAGGTTATTATATATGTTACATTGTATGTTTAATGAACAAAATACTAATTTCTGAGTATTCATATTTGAATAGTTGTGTTTTATAATGACAAATTTAAAAGGTACTATCGGGAAATCAATACTTCTTATTGAATGTAAACTAATTTGGGTGATTTTCTTGATTATAAATATCTTGACTATTTGAAGGTGATCTTGAAGGTTTTTGTTGTTGTTGTTATTGGATATATGCGCCTATTCTCAGGCCCAAATTTAATTTTTTTAATTAATACTTTGTATTCAAGAATGCTGTCGATACATTGGAGATATTTTGATATAGTCTACAGAAGATTGAAGTTCAACAAATACAATTAAATAATGTTAGCATATGCTTTCATGTGAAATGGTTCCACTGAAAGAATCTTTGATAAAGCAAATCATTATAACTAACACAAAAATATATACATTTACTTATTGTAAAAACATTTTTAAGATGAAGAAGATTTTTTTAATAAAATTACTGCAACAGGAAATTTAAGATTAATATATTTTCAGAAAACGTTTTCTATTCAGTTAAATATTATTTTTCTATAGCTACAAAAGAATGGCATGTAATAAAATTCATATTATTTGCAACAATTTAAATAATGGAAATAATTAAAAAGCAATTTTGTTTAAATTTTACCACCTGAAGAGATATACTTTATGTATTTATAAATGTCCATTGGAGATACAATTGAATATTCAAATCTTAAGAAGACTGTTATACATATTTTAACTACAATTGATGAAATATATAACTCGTTGATATCATGAAAGTTAAGAGAATTCTTAGTCAAGATTATGAAATGTCAAAATATGATATAAGAGAAAACTAAATTACACATATTAAACCAAGAAGCTCTGATTACAATACACATCATCATCTTCATCAACATCATCATCATCATCAACTTCTCCCAATCAATAGCAATCTTCAGAAGCTACACGAGTCATTGATTATTTTAAGGTTATACAATAACTTATTGCTGCAGTCATATCTTCTCAGTAACTAGTGATTTTAAAAAAGTAATCCAAACTTATGTTTATTTCTTGATAGTTTTATGATTTTTTGGACTTATATTCAAACATATGTCATGTAATTGATTGTTTTGTTATTGCATGTTATACGTGTTTATATTATATTTTTATTAAAATATTAGATTCTATAAATACTTTTTTTACAGGAATTATTTGATGAATTTGGGCCATTAAAGACAGCTACTGTTCATTATGACAGATCCGGCCGATCATTAGGAACGGCTGATGTGGTGTTTGATAGTAAAAATGCTGCATTAAAAGCAGTTCGGCAATATAATAATGTACCTCTTGATGGTATTTATTTTTACAAATATTTTAGTTGTGTACGTTATAATTATTAAATTAATTAAATGATTTTAGGTCGCCCTATGAAAATTGAACTTGCTACAGACTTGTCAACTGTTGCTAACCTTGCTACGCGTCTCAGTAGACCTGCAACACTGCCTGTTCGAGGTATTCGTGGAGGTGGTGGTATGTACTTGTATTGCAATGTTTTCTTTATCATTTAGTGTTATTAATGTAATCTAAAAACTGCCTAAATAGGAATTCGGGGTAACCGAGGTAATACCAGAGGCGTCCGCAGTAATAACCGTGGTATTTCCAGAGGAAGAGGTGGTAGAGGAGGTCGGAATACTGAAAAAAAAATGCCAAACAAAGATGAATTAGATGCACAACTTGATAGTTTCATTAAAAGCAAAAATAATTAATTATATGTATAAATGTATGACTTATTAATTCTTATATTTATAACAATTAAAAACAAACTGTCTTAATTAATTATATTTCAGTAAATTAATAGGAGTGACTTATAAATTATATTCTTTACAGTTATAACTATAACCTTATTACACTCAATAACTATTTCCCCATTATTTTGTATATTATGTTTAAAATCGAAAAATATACTTTTTTACTGTAATAAATTGGGTTGATAAACCTAAGTAATAAGAACATTAATGTGTTTGCATTTATATTGATCATATCAAACTCTTCTTTCTTTAAAAATGATGTCTACACTGGCTAATGATTTTAGGTTTTAACCTATATATATAAACAACAGTTAAGGTTTTGACTTGTAACATCACTGATTGAATTAACAACTCTGTCATGGTATAGAAAAAAGCTTGATTCTTTAGCAGCTGGAGACCCATTAAAAGAAAAAACAAGGAATAACGCGTAGGATGTAAAACATTTTTAGCTTTTTTCAAATACTACATATTATTTAGTGGCCAACTTCTGCGAAACTGACTTGGCATAGAATGTTTGCATTTTTTATAGTGCTATATTATTAAAGTAAATTTAAAATACTTTGGAAGTTTGAATTAAATATTTTTAAGTCATCTTTTAATATTTTTCTAATTATTTTTGTTGATTTTTGTATTGCCTTGGTGGCACAAATAAAAAATTATAGTTTTTGTTATTAAATCTGGATGTTGCAGACAGAAGTACTCTTGTTAAACAGATAAATTACCAGGACAGCAACAATCAACTTTAATAATAGTGAGAATGGATAAACATGTAAATTGTTATGTGTATTTGAAAGGAATGAGAAATTAGGCTAGTATATACATATAATTTACTAACCATCACATTCATTATTACTCAAATGAAATGCTAGTATTTACTATAGTTTATACCAGTTCTATAGTATAATTAAATCATAAACATAAATTCAGGGTGTCTCATGAGGATTCGACAAATGCAATAACTTTTGTTCTATTCAATATTTTTGATATAAATTTTTTTAAATAACTAGTATTCTTCAGCACTGCTACAGTTTATATATGAACATTTTTTGTTTAGTGGAAGGGGGACAATATAAAAAATTAAAAATTCAAAATAATTTTTAAAAAACTTGGCAGTTGAAACTTTTGTTAGAGTATGGTCTTTTGTTTTCTACAATTTTTTGAAAATTTTCTTTTCAATCAATAATATTGTAAAAAAACAAATTACCATTATTGATTGATAGAAACTACCTAATACCTATAATATAATAACTGATTAAATATTGTTATATTCACATTTGCAAAAAATTTTAAAATTTAAAAAAAAAAGTTTTAACCACTAAAAATATTCTCAACAGCTATTTCATAAAAAGGCTATTTTGAAGTTTTTTAAAAAAATGTTGGTAAAATTTTAAATTTATTTTAAGTCCCCCTTCCCCTAAAAAAATATATCAACTAGCTCTAAGGCATACTAATTATTTAAAAAAAAATGTGTATCTAAATTATTGAATAGAACAAAAGTTATAGCATTTGTTGAATCCTTGTGGAACATCTGTACATATTGAGCGAATCAATGTTTCCCTAATATGCTGATAAAAATACATTTATAATATTTATAGGGGTTCTTTTAACCTTTATTTTTATTTATTTGGAAAAAAATTAATTTTTCAAATTAAAATTCAATGTGTTTTATTTAGATAGATTTTAATGCTATCAATCTGAATAATGTAATGAACAGGTAAGAATTCAGAAAACATTTGAATTTAAGCGTTAAGTGTCCATGAGAATTGGTCAGGCCCATTTTTTTCAACGCATTTTAAAATTTAAAATTTTTTAAATTAAAGACTGAAATAGTGTCTTGATTGAGTCTGAATTCAATTGAATGTTCAGTTGATATTCAATACTGGATATATTGCAGAAAAATTGGTCTGAAGTACAATGCTGAATATGTGTTAAAAAGATTCAGAAATTGATAAATATCAACTCATTAAAATTATCGATTTGCTTTATTATTTCATTTAAATGAATATACATTACATTTTTAATATTATAGTAATCTAACTAAATTTAAGTGAGTTATCTATTATAAATAAGGTAAACCATTTTGGCTTGGTTAAATTTGAAAAGCTCTATTTATCACAGATAACTTATTTTTTAGTAATATCCTGAGAATTTTGTATTTGTGCAGACAAATTGTACCAAACAAATGTATACATTTTAATTAAATGTTTTATGATAATACAGCATGATGACAAATATAATTTCATGTTGTCATTAAACATCTATGGTCAGTGTTATATTGAAATATTATTCACGTAATAATTAGCATAAAAATTAACAAGGTGATGGATCACAGATGAGAAATTTAATTTTAAAATAAACCTATTTAACTAATTTACCTTTTATCTATTTTACTCTAATTACATCCATAGTAAACAAGAAAAACAAAATGTACATTTAATGATTTATCAATTTATTATTGTGTTAATGAAATTATAATTTATGAAATTTGTACTATTCAACTAAAGACAAATATATATATATATATAATTATTTTTCACAGAACTCATTTTGCAATAAAAGTACAAAATCCAATTAATTTTGAGACCATTTTATAGTTTAATAATAAATTAAATATTTTATTTACATACAGATTACAAATTTTGAATTAGCATAACATTTTGTCTAGGTATATCAAATAATTAAATCTTAAATTTTAAAACATAGCAATCGAGTAATAATCACATAAATATTTGAATAATCTACAGTCAGTTTGTATTCAAGGAGCTATAAAATAAATATGAAATGTAATGATGATAATAACTGATGAAATTTCACCCAATATAATACAATATAAATTTGAATCCTAAACTCTAAACCCTAAAGTCTTTTTAAAGTTTTCTTTTTATCTTTGGAAATTTTCTTTTTATCTAATGATTTACTACCCGCATGTTTTTTTGCTAGCGGTCCATCACTTGATCCATCTTCTCGTCCTATCTTCATACTTTTTGGTATCTGAAAAGCATAATAATTAAAAATCATATATATTTAGTATTTGTAGTTTTGTAAAGAAGTTATAGATTTTCAACAAGTAAACCAATGAAATAATTAGATGTTATAATAAGGATCTTGATTTACATAAATTTGTGCATTAGTATTTAATTGGTTTTAAAATTAGCCAGCTAATATATAGATTTTAATATTATGTATCTCATGAGTTGACAAAAATTGATAGATGTTGTGAATTTAGAATATTTAAAATCATGCATGTTAAAGCAAAAAAAGATTCTATATTATGACTTCTTTTTATCTACTAACCAGGTTTCAAACAAGTTTTTAATTTGGACATGTTTAAGGATATAAATTTTAGACTCTAAATATAATAAAATTATACTGTTCATTTCATTAGGATTGATATAATATTATTTTTATACATGTATAATTTTAGCTACTAAATTATAAATAATGGAATTTCCATTTTTATTATTCTTAGAAGAGGCATATATTGTACATTACTACACTGAATGTTTTATTATTAACCTAACCAGCCAAATAATCAATGCAATTTTTAATAAATACAGTATATTGTTTTTAAATTCATTCACCCTATAAATATCATTATTTGTTGAGATTGAACGCAACACTTTTCTTTTTATTGTAAGTATATTAAAATTACAGACTCAGTGGCAGCAACATAAGTACAGAATTTTAGTCAAACCCAAACAATCATGGACACAACTTTACAACAATTTTATTTTGGTCTAAACATATCTTTAGATGTTCTTCAGTATATAAATTTAACTCAACACTTAAATTAAGTAATACATTTTTATTAATATCACAGTTTTTGATTAATATTTCTGAATTTAATTGTATAGTATTTAATTATAATTTTAGTTGGGTTTAATGAATCCTGGGGAATCATAATACAGTATATTTAAATATAATTACTGTGTATAACATATTAAATGCAATAATATTAATAATAACAATAACTAATGCATTATTTAATAAACCAATTGTTTGCTATTGAAAATATTAAAGTATACCTGTGCATGAATTTCTGTTATCATTTGGGCTCTTTGGAAATAATGATCATATTCTTCTAATAGAAGTCTTCCAGCTTCTTCATTTAAAGCAGATTCCGCATTAGGTACAATTAATAAACATTTAATAGTCTAAATGCAATAAAAAAAAACAAATTTATAATAAAATAATTTTTAGTTTTTATACAGAACATAATTTTACTTACAAGAAGGATGTGTTTAATTCCTAAATCAGGTTTCCAATCCCTTTTTAAAGTGTTAACACATATTTCACCACTGCTAGCAACATTAGGATGGAAAATTTTGGTAAGAAAATATGCTTTTGGTGGCGTATGAGGAAAATCTTTTCCTAACACTAGCTTCACATTAAATCGGCCACCTGTGTATGGTGTACCGGCTGTGTAACAAAAATTGTTTTAATATAATATTTAAACCAATCGTACTTCTATGGCATATATTTTTAATTACTTACCAGGACCATCAATGAATGCTTGTATGTCGGTGACATCAGAATCATTAATGACAATTCGAATGCCTTCTGGTGGATCTTTTATTAACTCTTCTTGTTCTTTAACTATCCTGCGTATAGTTTGAGGTGAAAGGTTTTCGACATTAGATATCTATAACAAAACAATGTCAAAAATAGTTAGTAAAACCTTAAACCGTACGTGCTACTTACAGAACTCATAATTGCTGAATTTATGGATAAAGTAAATGTTACAAATGTTAAATGATGTTTTGAAAACGATGAACGGGTTTGTTTGAATTACCTACTTTAATATTTTATAATTTGTAATAAGTTACTTTGGATTATCTAATGTTATTATGATTGCGATAACATGTATTGTAGGAAAGATTCAAAACAGAACTATTGTAACAACAAAACCAAGCGATATCAGTCTTGGTTGTCACGTATTATGTGTGGATTGACACAGACAAAGGTGGCCATTTTAACGATTTACCTCCCACCGTTGGAGAGTTGGCCAATGGGATAATCATTTTTTGCGTTTTCGAAACCTAACGGTTTATATGTTAATTATTCTTTGAAAATGTACTTGAATGTGGACCCAAAATTGCATACGCGTTGTTTTATTAAAATTCGACTATTCAACAGCGCGTTGTGTAATTAGGTTGTCGTCAGTGACGTAAAACAGTTGCAGGAAAAACGTACACGGTACCTTATAGATATATATTTTATTCTATGGCTGACGTCTTTATTATCTATGCTTACGTTGGCTTATGTTTCTATTCCATGAACGGTATCTTTGCGGGGGTCTACCCTTGTCCCCCGCCGTAATTTGCGGTGGATGAGTGGTGGAGGGACCACAAAGGAATTTTATAGAATGCACCGATAATGGCGTCGAATCGCTGTCGTTCGATGTTTTCGTGTTCAAATACGCGTTCTACGGCGGAAAGTAGTCAGGAATAACATCATTCGATAGACGTACGACGAAAAGTTTACGGAGGGTGAGTAAATTTGTCATTGTCGAAATTTTATTAGGTTAGGGACAAAATTATTTACGAGACAAACATGTCCGCCATCGCCAACGACACGTTCGTTCTTCGTCACTTCCCGTCGAATGAAAGGACTTTTTCGGGGTATTTTTGTGCGAAGCCTTTTATCCATGTACTTGTTTCTGGGACAGGACGCTTTTATTGTCTATCGAACTAGTTATAAATGTTGCCTACGGGCTGTGGGTCGTGCATCGTTTACGTCATTTCGGATGAAATATACAGAAATGGGAAAATCGCAATTAAAAACTAACCATGAAAAATAAATATAATTGGAGGAAAAGACTGAATTTTTTTAGGTTATAGCTGTTGAGGGTTAGGTTTTTGGTAAGAAATTGTTGTTACCATATATTATTGATGATAGATTAATAGAATATTTTAGAATTCCAGGCCAATCCGGAATTGGTAGCTGTTGAATAAAGATGTTCGCGTCGAACGTTTTCTCGTTTTTCGACTCTTGTTCGATGACTCGACATTTATCGTCCACTGATTTAACATATATTTCGAGACGTACTAACGTCGAAATATATGTTTTACGAATACTTGGTTGGTTTGGGTTTAATGAACATTATATTCGGGATCCAGGATTTTGCTCAAATTTAGAAGGCAGATATATTTCTTTTTAGATAGCTCCTTAACTGTTTAACCATGGAAACTGACTTGGTGGAAGAAATTGTGTCCATTCATACTGATAACCAAATACTCAATTCCAATAAAACAGACAATGTTTTATATCCTGATGGTGATTGCGTTAAGACAGAATATTACAGTTCACTTGATTTTGCTGATGCTATGTCTTCTGAAAATTGTTTAGTACAACCTATTGAGTCTTCATATTTCACTAACAATGGTTTACCTAAGAATGACCTGAACCATATGACAAGAGCAGTCATGGAATCCGTGCCATATGCTGATGGATTGCAGTATTTAGCTGCCATATCTTCATTCAGTGATAATTTTAAGGTATTATAACATTTGCAATAGGTACCATTTATTTTAAAATAGTAACAAGTCTTTTATAAACATAGACGGAGACAGAAAATCCAATGAAACAAGAACCCGAGGAATTATTTGAGGGTACTGATGAAGAATTTAAAGATTATTTTAATGTTCAAGAAGAAGTTGTAGTTCAAGAATGTCCTGAGCAAGAAATTGTCACTCAAAGTTGGAATATAGAGGAATCATCTAATATTAATAAGTGAGTTTTTCCAACAGATAGCATTGTAGTAATATTTTTTACTTAATTTATCATATTAGGAGTTCATCGGGACATTAATTTTGTCTAATTGTTATAATATTGTTATTGTTGCATAGTATATAACTTAAACTTGATGATATTTAGGAATATTTAATAATTTTGGTAAAATTAATTTTTTTCATTTATGGTACTGTGAATACAATTTTCTTTAGTTTAATTAATTTTGAATTTCATCTTATTAGATTATATGTTCAAAGAAATATAGTTTTATATTATATTTATTTATCTTTATTGTTTTTAATTTTACTATAACTAATCTGTATTTGATATTCCGAGTTTTTTTTAATAAATATATATTTATTTTGTTTTAGCATATTAGATGCAGAAGTTGAATGTATGTCATCATCAGTTAATGTTGACAATGTTGATATCCCAATACCTGAAGGGGAAGAAGCATCATCTACTGTTAATCCATATCCATGTGATTTTTGTAGTCGAAGATTTAATAGAAAATCACATCTCATGAATCATATGGTCACTCATCAGTCGGAACGTCCTTTTTGTTGTGCATTATGTGGTGTGCGTTATCGACGTAAATGTGATTTAGCAAATCATATGACTATACACATAGCTCCTGATGATCAAGCAGAAAATGGTACACATAATTGACAGTTTTAATTTTTTTGAATATTATCGATTTAATAATAATGAATAAGTTTAAACTTAAGTTATTAATATAAAACTATAATATACTATAGGTAATGTATGGTTTTATTTTTGTAGATAGTCAAAATGCATCGGTTTCAAAAGCAATGAATAAGCTAATGTTCATGGACCCAATACAAAGGCGTAGTGTTACACCCGGTGAAGATACTGAAGATAAAGGAGATAATAAGGATCAAAATACAAAAAGCCGTGGTCGTGGAAGAGGTCGTGGTAGAGGAAGGGGGCGTCCACTGAAAGATCGTCTGATGACACTTGGTTGGAACTCCGAGTTGTTTACAAAACCACACACGTGTAACCCATGTGGAATTTCTTTTACCCGTGAAAAGGCTCTTCTTAACCATGCCCGTATTCATCATATTGATGATGGTGTAAACATTATAACTACTCAAAAATCAAATTCAGATACCTATGAGCTTACAATATTATCTAGTACTGCAAACAATGTCACTTACCCTTGTGAATCATGTGGAGATGTTTTTCAAAGATTTGATTTTTTAAAACGTCATCAAAGGTTAGTTAGAAAAAAAGAAATAATAAAATATAGAAGGAAATTATTTAATAATTACTTGGGTTTGGAATTTATTGCACCTAAAATCCATAAAGAAGCAATTGAATAATATTCAAAAACCTAAAAAGTTGTAGAAGAGATTAAATATCCTTTCTCTAATGATTCTAACTTATTAAATATAATTTTCAACGCTACGAAAATCATTAACTCTCAAAAGTTATTTTTTTATAGTACGTACAATTTTATTTACAATTTATTTTTTTGAAGTGCTTTTTTGACATTTTTAATTGGTTTTTTGTGAATTTTAAGTGCAACAAGTCCCAAGACCCAATAGTTACATTAAAGAATAGATAGAAAATAGTTAAATATCTTTGAAATTTGATTGATTTATCTGTGACATACATAATTATAAATAATAAGACTTAAACTCTAGATTTTGTTAATTTGTAGTACTGTGATATACAATGATATAGTAACTATTAAAAAACCTAGGAGTTATATAATTTAATTTAATGATTTTCACATTAGACAACATATGCAAAAAGAACACGGAAACGTTGAAGAAGAAACATATGAAGAGGCGCATATGTGTATACATTGTGGGTTGTTTTTTAAATCCATGTCAGATTTAGAAGTTCACACTGAACAGCATTTGGTTTCTTCCAATATTGCAGAAGTATGTACTTAAATACATACATTTTATGTATTATATATTTTATTAACTTGATTTATTTAATGTTTAGAAATCAAAATGTTTAATTTGTAATGAAACATTTGATAGTACTGATGAGCTGACTGACCACGTGTCTCAAATGCATAATGATTCATTATCTGAAAATTCATGTAAGTTATGTGGAAAACACTGTAGAGATGATAAAGCTCTCCAAAAACATTTATTGATTCATGGTACATCTGATAATAAATGCATAATGTGTGGTAAAAGATTCCATTCTAGGGCGCGTCTCAAAAGGTAAATATTTTAGCTAATTAATATAAAATATTTTTATTAACATTTCAATTGGTTTTTATTGTATTAAAAAATTAAATATGTAATATAAATAAAATAAAATAAGTATGTTTTATTCTATAGACATATGGTAACACACCGAGAAAAAGCAGTTATTTGTGACATATGCGGAGAAGAAGTTGCTGATAAACGATCGCTTATTAATCATAAAGCAAGTCATGCAAATACTGTTAGTGTTACACAAAATTCATTGACTGAAAAAGTATTTCCTTGTGCAAGTTGCGGCAAAGTGAGTACTTTTTAATTTTTTTATAATTTATAAAGTGTATTTTACAATGACCTCCAAGAATTTCATTTTTTTTTTTTTAAAACTTCAATGATTTTGAAGTTTTTTTTTAGTAACTTATTAAAGAAGTGAAAGAAGAAATGGCCAAAAAAAAAAAAAAAATTGGGATTTCAACTCTTAAAAATTACTATTATTTTAAATTTAAATTCTGGAGGCAAAAGCATTGCGTCACCAATGTAAGATTGAAAATAGGGTAGGGTAGATAAGGTAGTAATTTAAAGTTTGTTATTTTTATGGTTTTGCTCATGATACTCCATGAATGCCTGATCTTGGTTTTCCCTATTACCCAACAAGGTTTCGTTTAACAAATCTTGGTTTATTTTTGTTTTTTTTTTTATTAGCTTTTAGTAAAACTGTGACAGCTAAATACCAACATTTCTAATATATTCAATGAGATGAACCAAAAAAACAATAATTAAATAAACAGAGAACTAAAATTTTGAAATACAAAAATACCTTTTAAACTAAATAGAAAACCAGTAAAATATGCTTTCAATTGTTTCATATGTGTACCTAGAAATTATAGATCTATATTACTCCTTTATTAAATATAAGCTATATCTGAATTAGTTGATTGTTTATTGTTGTGTGGATTGTGTAAAATTAATTAAATTAATAAATCAAAATTTATTATCTAAAATTTAACTTCTTTTGTTTAGGTTTTTGGATCTAGATCATCTCAACAAATACATATACGAATACATACGGGAGAACGACCGTATGGTTGTAGATATTGTGATAAAGCTTTTGCGGATGGTGGTACACTCAGAAAACACGAACGAATTCACACCGGTGAAAAACCATATGCTTGTCCAGTCTGTCCAAAAGCATTTAATCAACGAGTAAAAATCTATTCAAACACTCACTTGTATTCAGGATTTACCCAATCATTTATAATTTTATTATATATTTTCTCTTTAGGTTGTATTACGTGAACACATCAGAGCACATCATGCTGGTAATGAGGCAAGAGGTGCAAATGTAAATTTTTACGAATGTAAAGTGTGTGGCTATTTGTTCCGATCTGCAACGGAACTTTGTTCCCATTTAGTACAACATAGTGACGAAAATACTGCAAAATCCAGAGTAGTCCCTGTAAGTTACTTTTCATTTTATATACAAATAATTAATACTATATTATATAATTTTGTATTTAAGGTTGGACCTCGAAAATACAAACGTCGTAGCAAGTTAGGCAATCGAAAAGATACTTGGTGTTTAGTAGAAAAAGTCTTTACAGTTTTGTCGAGTCAGTCAGAAACAGAGAGTTGTGAAGACGATCCAATGCCTTCAGTTGAAGAGCAAGCTGTACAGTCAATTATGAGCAGTAATGATCAGTCATATAAATGTGAACCTGTGGTTAGTCCCAGCAAATCTTCACTAGTTCAAACCTATAAAATTGTCAACGGCAAAGTGATGAAACATGAACCAAAAACACCATCTAAGGAAGTGTCTCCAGAATCAAAATGTAACTTTACTAAACCAGAGTTTAAAAAACAAAGCTTTATAGTTAAGGAAGGCCAGTGTACTAGAACATGTTCAACTGTCTCTTATTATTGTTCAAAAATGGATCCAGAAACTTTTGAATTATCATTTGGAGAGGAATCCAAAGAGAATGATAATCCAGATGAACAAGATCAGATATCTGTAGTGGATACGGATTTATCAAATATTAAAACTGAGAATGATAATGATGAGTTTGAAGAACAAGACTATGAAAACATACGTAACGTTGAATATACAGATCAAGACGAAGTGGAATATTACATACCAGACAATGATGAATTTGATTCACGAGGAGACACTATGGAAACTGTGAATGATGATTGTTTGATTGAGACTGAACTGGTGTTTGATTCAGATTATGTTGAAGAAGTTGGTGCCAACATTGAGTTAAGTACAGAAGAAATGGTACCTGTATACCTAGAAACTATTTCTTGTGATATTTGTGATGAAATATTTGAGGATAGAAAAGAACTTATGAAACATATTCAAGCTATGCACATCGGGTAAATTCAATTTGCACCTGTGTTGTATTCAAATGTATATTAATTTAAGCCTTAGTTTTTTGATTATTTTTCCTTGGTACGTTTTACCAATTAATTATTTTGCATCTGGACTATTAGGTCAAGATTATGTTACCATTTTAATACTTATTGCGAGGCTTTTGCATAAATATCAAGGAATTTTTTTTTTTTTTTGAAGACCTGATAGTTACATAGCATTTTGTAGATAACTTTGTTATTTGGAAGTATTTCAATCTATTATTAATTTGTTGATTTTTCTTGTTGTATCTATAACTTTAGTTTTTAATCAAATTAAAAAAGTTGTTGCTTTATTATGTTGATGGTTAATGTACTTATGGACCAATTATTCAATGATGAGGTATATATAAATAAACCATACAAGTTTGAATTTGCTTTATCAAATATTTTATTTGGATGTCACATTAAATGTTCACTTAATTTAACAATGTCTCCATTATCATTATTTTTCATACAATTCTAAATGTATGGAATACAAATCTAAAATGTACTTAGGTAAACTAATAATAATTTTTATACTTAAACGTGATGCTTATATTGATTAGGTACAGTGAAAAGTGTTACAAATAAATAAAGCTAGTTTATTTCATTTAAAATCTAAAATTGTATCATTTATACATAAAACTGTTTATTAATTCTTAAACATACTTATTAAATTCCACTGATATGTTGAATTGTTAAAAAGAATAAATGTACAATGTAAATAGGATTTGTAAATACAAATTTATAATATAATTGTGTAATATAATCATGTTAAATTGACACATATTTTAATATTCTTTTAGCATTTCAATTTATATATTATTTTTATCATTAAATAATATTTATCACTAAGTATATATTTATTTTTGTTTATCATTTTTTTTTCACAAGATATGATAAATATCATGCAAGTTATAATTAATTTGGATTAAAGCTATGAAGTTGAGGTATAAATTGACAATAGGTATACATTTCAATTTCATATTATATTAATCATCTTAAAGTTATTTTTATAACAATTTGTTATAGAAACAATACCTAATTTATATCTTACATTGGTTTTTTTTTTTCAGTTAAAATATACTTTGGCACGACTTCACCATCAATTTCAACTGCGATTAAAAAAAGTTTAATTGCTTGTTGAATTTCACCTTATTCGGTCAAAGCTGAATTTTATTTAAATACTAACCAGAAAATTTTTAGGTGCTTAACACTGTTAATCACGATTTAAGTAGTTCTTATCAATATAAAATGTTTGATCAACATTTTTTATCTAGATTTTGTTTATTAATCATTTCTTTGTACTCTAAGTCCTAAATATTATTATCAACTTAAATACAAAAAATTGCTCTGTGCTATAACAGTGCAGATTTTTGAAGAATATTATTTGTTGTGATGCATTTTTCTACGTTATCGAAAGGTAGTTCACGTTTTCTCTTTTTTGTAATAATATTTGCATTTCTATCCATATTAATAGAAAGATAATAGATTCTAGAAAGTATTTGATTTTTGTATTACTGTAGTTAATCCTGATTAACTTTGTTGATCACAGTTAATGTAACCGTGTGGTCAGTGTAATCGTGTTTTAATTGTCCGGTTATATTTAAATCGTGATTAGTGTTATTTGGTGAAATCGGCCCTCAAAAATTATTTAATTTCCATGTATATTATTGATACATTTTTAAAATAGGTAGAAAAATTGTTTTTTAATATATGTATAAATTAATAAATAAAAATTCATATTTGTATAAATTTCAAAAAGGTTACGTTTTCGATTTGAAAAAGATTTCGTATTTGTTATTAGAAAAGGAGTGGATTATTTGGACTACGTAATTAGGTATCTATTTAACATTGATTGGTTCGGTAATTATCATTTGAAAACGTGATTTAGACGTTTTTATATTTTTTATGTGCGTCAGGAATTGACACGCCGGTCATACATCGTTGATAATAGTTTCTCGTCGGTCGTTTTAGGGGTTCGGGTTTGCGAACATTCCCGTTCGCGTTATTATTTCGGATCTGTAGGCATTTGGTATTTTGTGTTTTTATAAAACTAACAGGGACAGCGGTGGACGCCGCGGGCGTTCGAACAAAAAGCGAGTAATAATATAATAGTATAATACAATTTTATTTATGTACACGTGTAGCTAGCAATATAACAATTTTGTCCGTTTACGGACTCGCATTATGTATAAACCGTCGGCGAGAACCTGTGGAAAAACCGCCCGCGTACCTACGGTACAGTTATTTCTATACTGCCTCGGGTACGACACCGGTGAAAATCAAATCGCGAACAATGTCTTTTTACTGAACACGGTTTCACAGGTGCCCACCCACGTATTAAATGTCCGACAGACCGTTACGTCCGACCAGTTTTGAAAAGTTTCGGCGGTGCGAACACAAACGCGCGGTAGACGATTCCGAAACGTTAATTTTGTTTTTTTTTTTTTGTGTCTATAATGTTTCGTATTCTACGCACGCGACGACCACGTTTCGAATATCATATTTAAAACATCTATTTAAATAACGTCGGACGACCCGCCGAAAATAATTTTATAATAATTGGTATTTGTTTTTTTTCCGCGTCCGTCGTTTGTCCTACGGATCGTTCGGAAACCGCGCGCGGATTTACGACGGACGCGAACGTTCAAACGAAATACATGGCAAATAATATTACGGATAACCGATCATTTTTTTTTCTTTCCATTGTAAATTTCGCGTATAATATGATGTTATAGAAACAAAATGCAACATTATTACAGTTTAATCGTCATTTTTAATTCGCGATTCGTACGGTAAACTCGATTAATCGTCTAAAATCGAATAATTAAAAACGAATAACGGTTAGAAAAATAAAAAAAAAATTGAATAAAAAACGCGGCTAGACGCATCTATACCGCAGGTGTCGTGTGAGTACCGACAATTGTACGGCCGGTTGAATAGGTGTACAATAGCAATACAATGACGATCCGATCGGAAAATATACCCTGTACAAGTACTCAAGTATTGGCGTACTTGTCAAGTACGCCAGTGGTGTGATGAGCGCCGTAATCGCTCACTGGTCAAATGTTCAATCATTGGCGTATTTGGCAAGCGCGCCGGTCGTGGGAATGCGGCTTTAACGTTTTATATCGCTAGTTGCTTAGGTATACGTTTTTGAATTTTTTTTTGGCTCTGGGACGTCGCGGTCGTACGTTACGGGAACACGGTAAGTACGGGCGGGTTAATTAAGGAAAAAAAAAAAAACCGCGCAGTTAGATTTACGGATGATTTAGCGCTCGAAATTAAAAAAATAAAACGAAAGTGCGTTTCGTACGGGCAGCGGTGGCGGCGGCGTAAAAATAGTCCCCGAGGTTGTTTTTATTTTGTTAGGTCTCCGGTATTTTTAAACTCGTCTACATTCACGGAACGATCGAAAGAAATCCGTCCGCCGTACGAACGCCAATAAATACTGTTAATATTTTGTCCCTCAAAACGCCGTTTAAAAAACGCAAGACGCCCGTTTTGATTAGTGTACGAGACGCGGGTATCCGCGACGTGCACGAGATATCGCGGGTTATTCGGCGGGCCGTTTTCGACCGAATCGCGGCGAGTAAACTGTTATTGAAAAAACTATACAAGGAAAATCGAAAAACAAACGCCTTTCCCGACGCCGACGCGCTTCAAAAAAGTCCCCGTATAAAGTTTTCGACGGGGCCGAGATTTCCGGTGGAAAAGCTGTCCGCGGACACGAACAGCAAAACCGTTAGGTCGCGATCGAAAAATAATAACCTCCATCAACACCCACCGTCTGGATTTTTGAAAACCGACGACTTTGACCGCCACTCGGACGCCGACTGCCGTATATACACAGAGATTATTACCACAACGTTAAGAAGGTCTGTGTACGGGGTGTAAAAACGAAGATAAATAATTTTTGTTTTATTAAATATTTTGTTTGCATTGATATTTTTTAAAAAAATGAGGGGCGGATTAAACAAACAATTAAACATTATTCTATAATTAAAAAAAAAAAAAAAAAAAAATAAAATAAATTCCAATTAGCCATTTTGTAAAATAGATTTTTAGATAATTTTTGGCGGCTGAAGCTTATTTTGTTTTTTGGTGCGGGGTCTTTTTTTTTTTCTACAATTTTTCGAGGTTTTGGTAAACGCGAATATTGGATATTACGGTTTATAGTCTATAATGATATTTAATCAGTAGTTATCAGATCACGTCAAATGACAAGGGGGGGTTTTTTTTTCCCAAGAGTAATCCTACTTATAACTGATAAAATATATTATTATAGATTACAAACCGCAAAAATATTCACATTTAAAAAATGGCTATTTTGATTTTTTTTTTTTTTTTTGTAATTATCGTACAATTTTAAATGTTTTATTTGTAGTCCCCGAAAAAATAACCAACGTAAACACCAGCGCCTCTGCCGGTCTATTAATTATTTAAAAATAATATAATACATTCGAAATGTTGAATAGAACAATAGTTAATTCGAGTGGCTGATTTTCGTGTTACACTCTGTGTATATTAACACTTTTGGTTCGGCGTTTGAAAACATTGTCGAGAGCTCAATTGTTTTTGTTGTCGACGCCACACGAGCATTTCAAGGGTAGAGGTATACAGGGAAAAAATCAGAAAAGCCACTTTTTCCCCAATTCGCATTGACATACGGTATCTTTGATGCGATCGAACCGAAGGGATAAGAACCAGACAAGTGTTGGGTTGACGAACGACAATGATCGCGAACAGACGCTCTCGCTGTGCCCGGACCCGACAACGGGAATTCAAAAAAAAAAAAAAAAAACCGCAAAACCAAGACGAATCCAATAGAGCCGATTTGTGTTCGAGATAAATCGAGATTTTCCTCGCGACCAGCCGAAATTTCCGGACCGAAGTACATTCGAGATTCTTGGGGACAACAGCATTTAGAACGTACAATAGTATACGCGTCTGTTTTAAATTTTTTTTTTTTTTTTCTTCACTAAAAGCTCTAAGTTTTTGTTAAAACGCATAGGACAAGGGAGATCGGAAAATAACGGTTAAACGACGTTTTAGCACCGTCCGTTTCATTGGATCTTGTCGGAAAGGAAAACACAAATTCCGGCGAAAAGCCATTATACATTTCCCGAGATGTCGCAACGGTATCTTCGCGGGACGCCCCGCGGTAGGTATGTCACGCGTTTACGTTAACGTCGACGCCGAGTGGGGGCTATGATGTCGCCAAGAGTCGGCCGGACGAACGGTCGAAAATTCGCGATTATTGCCCGCGTCGTACGCGCGGTACACGAAATGGGGAATATTATTACGAATTTGTTTTTTTTAAACTGTTAGGTATTTTTTTTTTTTTTTTTTTTTTTTTTATAACAACGAATACGAGCATTTCTATTGTGTTGTCATGTAAAAGTGCGTAGAAATACGAGCGGAAAAACAAAACAGAATGCAACGGATCGGGTGTGTGTGTCGTACGCGCGGCACATTACAATTGGGCGGGCGGCACGTTGTCGTTGCAGCACGTCGTCGATTGGGACGTCATGGTCAGCGCGGTGGACGTGTTCTCCTTGCTGATCAGTTCGCCGCGGCTGACCAGCAGGCCCGTCTCGCCGCAACACCCGTTCTCGTCGTCGTCCTTGCAGCAGCTGCCGCCAATGCCCATCCCTCCGCCGCCGCCGCCGCCGCCGACGCCGCCGCCGCCACAGCCCACGCCGCTGACCGCCTGACACAGTATGGTGGTGGGCCGCCCGGTCCGGCCGGCGCCGCGCTCCGAACCGCCCCGGTTCCGGCGCGGGAACGTGCTGTTCTCTTGGTGCAGACCGGCGTTCACGTCCTTGCCCGCGGCGCACGTGCACGCCTTCAGGAAGCTCTTCTTGAAGTTGTCGCTGAGGAACGCGTACAGGATCGGGTTCATGGCGCTGTTGCTGTAGCTCAGGCACCCGGCCAACAGGAATATCGTGATCACGATCTTGGACTGGCACTGTTTGGGCGGCGTGAATATCAACGCCACCTGCGTGATCCAGTACGGCAGCCAGCACAGCACGTAAACCGTGATCACCGTCAACACCAGCTTGGTGACCTTCCGGTGCGATTTCTTCTTCTCCTTGGACTTGTTCACCGGTCCCACCTGCCAACCGAGCACAACCGATAAATTTGTATTCGTAAATTATGTAGACAATAGGAGGTAATAATAATACATTATAATACTAACGCCGCGTCAAACTTTTCGTTGAATTTATCTAACGGTAGGATTATATTTATCGGACCGCTTAATAATTTTAGAAAGCCATTCGGATTGTGCAAACGGTCCGTATTATATTATAGCGTGGCCCGTAATACTTTCGGTTCACCTGGTTATACTATACGTCGCGCGAACAATTAACCATCGTACAATTTTTTATCGGCAAATATTTTTTAAAATTAACAAATTTTCTAAAATAGGTACACAAATACTTACAGCTGCCATATTAACAGAATAAGACGCTCCGGTTATGATGGAATTTTCTAAACTTTCTAAATACGATTAATTTAAAAAAGAAAAAAAAAAGAAAAGAAGAAAAGTAATGATTTTGGCACTATTATTTAAATTACACAATAATTTAGTCGAATGTCCAGATTCGTTAGCGAAAATAATTGTCGGGCACGCGAGACAAACAACTCTGTATTCCAGAGAATATTGAGAAAATTTCTAATAACTACGTATGCTACTGTTGCCGGAAAATCTATTTATGTCTCGCGGAAATTTTGTAAATTTAGACTTTTTTTTAATAACGGCAATATTTTGAAAATGTATCACGCTCAATAATTGTTGTAATTATATGTCATTGTTTTATTCTTATTATTTATGGATCCTTGCAATGTGCGTATGTTTATTGCATTTGTATGCCTGTACGCATACTTGTAAATCACGTTTAAACATTTTTTTTTTTTTTTACTTAATACAAATATACGTTTTTGTTCCATTATCTATTCGCAAGTTCTTTTATTATTATGCATACGTTTTTACATAATATTTCGGTAAGTTATGTATAAAGTTACGCGAATTAATAACATTTTTTTTTTTTTTATGGTAACACTGTCAATCTTAATATGTGTTAATGCAATTGGAATATAATGCCGTGAATAAATAAAAATTATGCATTTTGTATATTATCACAGGCATGACGAGTATAATATTTTGATAAACCCATAGGCATTTAGCCGAAGGTGCCCGGACTATGAGTCAACGTTTATACTTTTAACGAGCCGAATTCTGATCGATAATTTAGTGCACCGGTCAGCTACGTCAAATTTAAAGGACCGACTAAATTTAACGAAAGTTTCACGAATTATTTAATGGTACATTAGAGCTCATTAAACGTTTACTAGATCCAGCACATACTGCCCTCGTAGTGGCAAGTGCAGTAACTACCAAATCGTCAAAAATGAAATCATAATGCGGTATTTTCATATTCTGCGTCTTTTATTATTAAGGTAAAAAGCAGTAAAAAACGTCATTTACTATCTGAAAAATCGATTTTAAAATTATATAACCGTACGTTTTTGTTTTACGTGTTTTTAAGTACTGAAACGTTACCAGGACAAACCGCTGTGATTAACAAAAACAACGCAGTAAATAAATAATATTTACTGTGTTTATTACTGGTAAGAGATTTTATACTGCATAATAAGCTGGTGGATTAGAATTGAATGCAGTTGGTGCCACCGTTTACTAACTGTAGTTTCTGATGCACGCATTTTGTACGACGTGGTGCAGTTTAAAGTGATTATAGTCTTTCTTCTTCCCACGTGGTCGACAAACTTTTACACCTATCTCTGACCAATACTTTATGAAATGGATTTCTCGATATGTTAGTTTTTCACGCAGGAGGACGTTGAAAGGGCCTCCACGCGATGCCCCCTAGACAAAGGCAGTATGTGGTCACGAACAGATTCAAAAAAGATATTTTATTGGTTTATTACATATTGTACGATTCGGGTGATCGCTATTGTGCCCACTGTTGAAGTATCAAAACACGATCGTCAAATTCAGTATTTATACCGGTTCTCATTTGTATAAACTGTATAGTGCTAGATAGACAGATACGTTCTGTAGAGGTGTCTATTAGTTTTTCCCCGTAGTAAAAAAAAAAAAAAAAAACAAAACAACAACAACAAAAAAAATGTCGTAAATACGCCAACGGATGATTTTGATAAGAAAAAAAAAAAAAAAAACAAACGTTTTCGCGCGCATTGACATGTCCACAGATTTATGTGGAAACGAGAAGTTTTCGGCGAGGAAGCAATAAATCGCGGTGGCCCGCGCCACAGCCCGAAGTCTTAAAGTCGGCGAAAAACCGTTTCCCGGGATTTAGCGAAAAACCGCGGCGGATTCGCCTGCCAAAAATCGTCGCCGCAGCGCCGGGTTATTGGATTTCGGACTTCGGCGCACCGCTAGTGTTCCGGGGGCGACGGGGAAGCGCGCAATAGCGTGGGTATGGCGTCCGGCACTCGATTATGGAGGATTTGTTTTATTTCATTTACACGCGACGTTGTAGTACGACGTTATTATACTTATTAGCAGGGCTCTATGCGTTTAATAACCACAGAAAAGCGTTCGAAAACGCCAAAAGAGCCCCGGAGAAAAAAATGTATAAAGCAAAAATGACCGGAGGGTTCAGAGGGGTTTGAAATGTCCACCGTCCTCATCACTCATAACGGCTCTAACCATTAAATGCGATTCTCTAACACTACAAAAACTACTAAAAAAAATATTTTTTTTATGATACTCACAATCGTAATTAAAAATTTGTGTTGATAATTTTCGGAGCGTTCGGAAATTGTATTTTATAAGTTAGAGCCGTAACTGATGTGAGGAGGGGGACTTTTAAAAACGCACTATCATTTGTTGTTTTTTTATCAAGTGCGTCTTCAAGGCTTTTTGGACGTTTTCGATAGGTAAATAATTATCGAAAAATCAACAAAATTGTGGACTTTAAGCGCATTAAGTCCCGAGATCTGCTTATTTAGTGTGCAAAGGATTTAAATAAATACGAATCAAAATCGTTTTAATTATAAAATAATTTGTAATCGTTCGTAAAAGCGTTGGAAGTCGACTGTTCACCTTTATTGTTTCTAGTGATGTTACGAATATAATATTGTTATTGTAGTTAAACGGCTTCGTCGCTGACATTTTGCGTTATTTCGCGCGTAACACGCGTTGTTGTATCAAAGGCATTCCGCATCATGTTCACTAATCAAATTTAATATATTTTACTTTCCGTCCGGTAGCGTTCCCGGTGGAACGTCTGACTGACAATAGATCATTATGGTCCTCAAAAATTACACAGAAAATAATATATAAACGAATAGAGCAACCGTGCAGTATTAAATTCTCTTAGGGAAATTGGCGGTAATTGCTCCACAAGGCAGGGAGTTTTTCGCGAGTTGGGGCACAGTAATTAATGTGTGTTGGGATGTATGTGGGACGGGGACAGTGTTATACGAAAACGATGAGGATAAACAATAACGACTCGAAAACGTAATATTTCTATATTCATATTTAAATTCGTAATGTTTTTAATACGAAAAAATATTATAATTAGATGTAAAATCCCTTCGTCTGGGGCTTTTGGCGAGACGACCCGCGTGTTGGACTGGGAACCATTGGGGATTTTGTCGTTCCGTGCAAATAACATTCCCGAATATTTTTTCCCCGATTTATACGGCCCCCCCCATCCCTCCGAGCGAAATAAAGCAAGCGAACGGAGGAAAAACAAACCCGATTTGTTGTGCAAAACCACGTCTGGTGGGCTTTTATTTCGTACAGCATATTATAATATAATGCGACCGGGCCGTGTTACTGAAAACGGTTTTTATAATTTTCGAACAACTGTAACAATACATGCAGGTTTTCTATTATTTTTGAAAAGATACTTTTTGTACGTTTTTTTAGCGATCCGCTGTGTAACCATTTCAAGTATAGCCCTGGTCTAAATTCATCCAGACAGTCACAATCGTGACAGTGTGGATTTTTTTTGTTGCTATATTATTACGCTTTCGACAGAAAACAAATGTAAGCGATGAGGTCCGTTTAATCGAAAAAAAAAAAATCTAATTTAAAAACAAAACACATTGTCAACGTCTATACTCAATTTTAAATATTTTTCTTCTTGGGTATAAACACCGGTGAACGCTACCATACAAATGAAAATGCCACTAGTGTAAATTGTAAAGAAATCATACATTTTAAGAGTTGTCTTGATGACTAGACCTAACTATTTAAGACCATTTAAGCACTGACTGTACAAATCAAACATCGAATCCCCAAAATTTGTCTGTGCCACACACCGGTAAAGTATCCATGAAAATAAGGACTATTTCTTTTGGACACTTTTCGCGCGGTTCCTTTCGGACCAAATGACCTTCAATTGAAACGACCCCTTTTATGGTGAATTTCAGTATGAATTTAACCATGGTTTTGCGGAAGAAGGGTGTTTGCTTAGCCCTGTATGCCCCTACGGACTTTCCAAATGAAGCTATGATTAGGGAATTTTGTACACGTGTACGGTATGTGTAGGTACCGAAGTATCAAGGAAGTGCCTTTTGGGAGTTTCAACCGTTTGTATGCTCAAATTCCGCGTTTTTAGAGGATATACCGCGTTTTAAATCCCACGCAGACTACAATATAATAAAACACTGTGCTAATCGCCACTGTTTTGGATTAATTATGTAACATAATAAATCGACTGGGAGAATGTCGACTAGTGACGGAGTGACTCTGCTGCTCACGGGAGTTAATTTGTTTTTTTTTTTTTTATAGGTATGATGTAATTTCATTATGAAACATGTAAATGCTTTAGTTCGACACTGCGTAGTCAGACGGAAAAGGAAATAAACTTTTATTTACGATCGAATTTTAAAACTGTAGCTTTGTTTTTAGAATTGCATAATGTATTTTAGCGTGTTTTATATTGCTTAAACCGGTGTGTCATTACCCCATATCCGATATAGTCAACATCCGAATCCTGTGTGCGTAGGACCGAACTCGCAGTAATATACATATTTATAATGCACGCAGTGTTATCTGCACGTCGCGGGGAATGTTTAAAGCTTTTCGTCACATTCTCGTATTAAATTACATACCTATCTGCATTACGTGGGTGCACGCAATAATATTATTATCACATAATGCACGCCATAGACAGTTTAAACGTAGGTATTATTATCCTGTTCTCGTCGTTTTACAGAACGAGGTTAATACGTCGTTATGATGCCGAATCGACGATGGGAATTATGATTATCGCCCCCCCCCCTCCTGCGTCAAACACGCCCTGCATCATCCGATACTTCATCACATCTATGCACATAATATTGATGATAAAACCGCGTATCGCCGTTCTTCCGGCCGGGTCTGATGTTTGCTTACAGTTTTATACGGGTATTAACAAAATAGACGACTGTCGCATGCTTCATCTACGTATGTATACGTAGATATTTTAATATTATACTATAATAACATTATCGTCATCCATATGAACAATTCAACATTTTATTTGCGGGGGGGTGGGAAAATAAATGTATAATTTTACAGAGCCACCGTATACCTAATACTAACTAATTCCGTACGATTATTTAATATTGAAATTATACACGTGTACCTACTGCAAGACGGACCTTTTCAGAGATTTCAATACGTAGAATATTATATAATATTTAGGGGTGAACAAAACCGTTATACTGGTTTGTATTATATATGACTATTTGCTATAATGAAGTTCAAAAAAAAAAAAGAAAAAAAAAAGAGGGCAGTACAAAAAATGTAGTACGCCGAAAAAAAGGTTCAATTTCTATGTTTTTGTTATCTTTTAGATTTTAAGTGGAACAAAGAAGCTTATGGTTTTAAAAAAATGTTTTTTTTTTTTTTTTTTATCAGTGCGCAATTTTTCTAACAAAAGACTTGCTCAGATTTCTATGTGTAGCACATTTCTTGAAAGGACATTGGTGTAGGGAGGTACTTTGGGAGGTTATTTTTCGATTTTCTTAAGAGTTTTCTCATCAAATTTGAAAAATCGAAAAAAAACAGGAAAATGTAAGACATATAGGTATTAGTTGAAAATATATTACAGCTTTCTTTTTTTCAGTACACGAATTATTTCTGTTATTAATAGAATATACTGTTATGTATAGACTGACACTATCTAGGTAAAAAAAAAAAAAAATAGATACGCGTATGTCACTACATTATTAAATTGTCAAATTATTGTTCCCCACTTATTGTACCCTGAAACCGTTTGATTTGTAGCCGAAAACAATATCGATTTATCGATAACGCCGTTGATAAGGAAGCCGCATAATGAAATAGGTATCCATCAATATAACGGCCTTCTTGCACGAATTCCATATTCTAATATTTATTATTTATTTAGTTAGTTTGGTAATTGGTAGATAATGTCACAGATACGTTAATTTATCTAGTCTAAAATTAAATATATAGTGATGACTAGAAAAGACAGCTCTAAAAGTAGGCCATTACTCCTATGAGCAAATAGACGAGTTTAAACACTTTGCAAAAAATATGAACACAAAAATTGCATGTATAGTAAAATACGGTTAAGAATAAGTGCGGCAAACAAAGCCTGTTTCGTCATGAACAAGATTGCTCAGTTCTAGGCGACTGTTCAAAGCTGGTATACTTGTTATCTGCGACCGATAGCAATGTAAGGCATGGACTACTTCACAGGGGAACGAAGAGAAATCGCTTACCTCCGAAAGAAATGCTATGTAGAAAATCCACGGGTCTGTGCGAAATCATAACAGGGGAAAATGCAAGACGAAAATCACTGATCTGAAAAGGTTGTACTCGACGTTCTTAAAAGCGAAACGATTTTAGTGGGCTGACTACGCTTGGCGGGCCGACGGAGGTCTTACGTACAATGTCCGTATCAGAAATTCAACAAAAAAGCTGCCAAGGACATGAATTTGCCAGCAGTGATTAGGTATAGCCTAAAAGGATATCTCTAAGGTTGACGAGACGTTGGATACGAATGGAAAATGCAATGTACCGGAGTGAATGTAGTAATTTGGTCGAAACGTGCGAAAGGCTTCAATGGTCTGTGTAATACTAAAAAAAAAAAAATTGGTATATACTATAATATTATGTATTTATGTTTGGTATCGAAGTTTAAAAACGCTCTCGTACAGAACAGTTTTCGCGACTCTTGATATACCTACGGTATTATGCTCTCGTATAGGCAGTGTGACGGATATTATTATACGGAGAGGAGTGCTTGCCCGTGGCGGAATCACCAGAGGCGAAACGCAATTTCAAAATAACGACACCGACGAGACGGACGGAAAGTTCGATCCCGCCGCACGTGTACAACGGTTCACGCACACATAGCATTTTTATAATATTATGATGATGTGTATCTGCGTGCGTACGATGAATTTGAACGTTTATTCGATTGTCCTGTCCTGTAAACGGTATAGGGTGTGCTATAAATAATATACAGGGTGTGGCGATAGATATGAACCCGTCCATACACTCAAGCCGAGGTCACACGATGCCGGTTGCAATCGTAACAGCCGTTATTGTCATGAGAGTTGTATACTGTGCTATCATCGCGTGAACAATGTTATGGCACTATGGCACTATGGCGCTTTCGCGATCGGTACAATCATACTACCATGCACGCACGACAGTTTTTAGTTCTATCGCGATAGTGATGGCAATTATCATAGTGATAACAACTGCAATGTTTGTATTTTTCACTATTAGAAATTGATGATATTGATGGGCGTTAAATCGTTTGATTTCGACTGTTTTACCATAGATAGTAAAATGCAAATGAATTTTCTCGTGTAACAGTGACAGTACGACAGTGATAACGGAAGAAAATGGATATAATATTATTGTACCACGATGGAAACTATCACGAATAACTACCGCAGCTTTAGTATAACACAGGTCTTTAAGATCCGACAAATTTAATGACGACATATTTTGAAACTTGACGCATTGACCCGGTACACAGTGTAAAAATGTAATATGTCGTTCCAACTCGTGAAAATCTCCGTAGCCGCCCAAAAGTTCAAGTATTTCAATATATTGAAATGAACTGCAATGCGTGCACAACAATCATTTCAGGTGTCGGTATTATGTCGCGTTACATCCCGTGTGTTCCTGCAGCAGTGCTCATCCGTATGGCGTATATTCAAAATTCATCAGTAGTCCTCGATGATCAAAATAACGTTTTATCCAAATTAGTCATTAATAATTCGACTATTGGAACCAGTTTACTTTTATATTATACGTTTAAACTCGATTAAAATGTTTTTTTTAGAGTTATTCTTATTTACCGCGAAGTCGTCGAATTCGTCCGTAACCCTTTCCCTAAATGGATGTCGGGCAATAAACTGGCGAACAAGCCTTAACATTAAGATGTTAAAAATATTTTTCGGATTTTACGAAATCGAAGAGAGTTCGGGAAACCGGCACATTTTAATCATATCAATGTAACACAGTCAGATATTTGTGTGATTCGTTTAAATTAATAAAAACATAATAAATACATTTTCGATTGTGACAATTGCGATCTTTGAAAACGAAAAAAAAAAACTTCTGCGGTTAAGTTCTTGCATTTTCGCCTTCCAAAGGCTAAAGCCGTTACCTAATTATTTTTAGTCTCGCGAAAATCATTTTACGTTTCATAATCTATTATGAGTTTCCGTCATTGCTGTTCTGACTCCATTAAAATGTGGACGTAGGTACGTTGTTATTATGTTTAATCGTTAAACGCAGTTAAAATGAACCGTTCGTATAATTAAATTCCAAGCTAAGAGTTACATAAATTGAGTTTTATTTTGATTGTAAAAAAAATAAAAAGTAAAAAAAAAAAAACAAAAAAATTAGTCATTACAACGGTTAAATGTATAGTTGGATTACGTTTTTCTCTGAAGCATACATACAATTTTATTGCACGATTTCGGTGATGTATTACTTAGAAATCAGATAGGTCATTCTACAATATTTCCCCGTTCTGCGATATAATATTTTTCTATTTTTTATGTTCATTTTAAATTGAATTGTTATTCGATCCGCGCTTTGGTGAGTGACAAACTGGTAAAGTATAATAACTGATACAATTATCAGGATTGTGACCAAGGTTCGGAACTTATCACATTTACAACCAACAACAATAAAAAATCCCTTAAAATACTTTATTATAAGCCATGAAAAAGCTGAATAGCTTATTAACATTTGTGTGCTGTGATAAGCAATTAAAAATATTTAAAAAAGCAAGAAAACGAATGAAAAAACATTTTTTTTTTTAAAAATAAATTATGAAATAAGCTAAAAAAGCACTTTTGAATTTCATAATTGAACTCACTGTACTATGCCATACAGTTTTATTGGATTTAACGTCGAGCCAAAAATATAAGTATCTGCTATAACAAGTCTCGGACCTTGGTTATATCTTTTTATTGGCAAACAATTAATAACAATAATCTAATTCTCTCAACGTGAGTCTTGTATTGAACTTGTATTTATTTCCTGTTTCAATGTAAACTGGCTGGCTAATATTTGAGGTTTAGATTGTTTTCATTCAATGGTTAATAATGGAAATCTATCGACCTTCTATGGTTCTCTCGTAAAACCCTTGTATTATGCTTTGTTCTATATAATACTTGACAATCGTCTAAATAGTATTTATCCATTTATTGATATTGATTTTTACTAAATACCAAAATACCTATCGTTGACGTTCCCCTTACCAATTTACATCCACCTACCCACCGATTTCAATCGTGATGTCTAGGCATATTGAAAACCCTTTCGATACGCCACTGATGTGAGCTGATAGTATAATTTCTCCTTCAACTATAATAACAACGTGCCATACCACTGTTTCCAATCATAGAAAAACAAAATCCTTAATTAAAACGGGCCACCATCCCGGGACTAATATTTCATTATTTGTGCCGTATTTCGAACTAAATATAAAATCGACATCAGCATAGAATGTTGATAATAGGTACCTACAGTAACTGTATACCTAAGTACTATATCGTTCGTTGGTCATCCCGGTGCAGTGGTCAGACATAGAAAACTCATATTTGTATCTCTTTTTAAGGTTCAGAAAATGGCCATATCATTGTAAGTATACAAGTTCTTTTATATTAATAATATATAGAGGTAAATCTCCAAGATTCGATGTGTGTAATTGAAAAAGTTTCAGAAACGTATAAAATAATCAAATTGTCTAAAAGGTACGTAGGTATATTTCGTAAATTAATTTTCAATTGTTTCATACAGTGTGCTTTATTATAAATTTCATTTGTATTTTCAAAGTTATAACGTATACATACAATAGTACTATAATATCAGGGGCGTCATTTCAGTTTTTCTTAGGGCGGGGCAACATTTTTGTCAGCCCAATGTTCATTTACAAATATAAATTGTTTTTCCAAAACACTTAGATAGAAAACAGATACAACACAAAAAGATTATAAACTTTCACCTATTTTTCTTGGTAGTTAGTTTTGACGGTTCATTATTAGTAAAGGTAGTTGCATAAAAATACAAATAATTTAATAGATTTGCAAGCAAGAATGTTCTGTTAAAATAAAAGTATTCATTCAAATAATTGAATAACAATGATATGAATGCATGATATATATGGGTAATTAAGTTTTTGTATTCACCATTTCACCATTAAGTTTTTGTCTAACACACATCTAAACTCCTATACCGTATGTGTAACCTTTAAAAGAAAAAAAGGAATAATAATTTTTTTAAATTTTTTCATAAAATAAATTTTAAAACTAATGCTTTATCTGTTAAGCAAGTTTTTATTAGATGAAAAATATATCAATAAAGATAAATAAATAATACAGGTATTCTGTTCGTAATGTGATATAATTTAATATAATTACAAAAAAAAAAAAATAAATATAAAGCTTTTAAGCTATTAAGTTTAAAGGATATCTACGAGATTTTACATTTGCGAATATATTAATACAGCTTTCTGTAGATCAACTTTAGAAGCTTCATTACTTTCAACAGAAATCACTAGCAAATCACTCAAGCGTTCATCAGTCGTTGTCAGTCGTAAGAAAGCTTTTATGCGTTTAAAAGATGAAAGCAGTTTGAAGCAGTCGATACAGGTAGAGTCATGAGAATAAAAATAATTTAAAGTGTCTCTGGAGAAGAGTTTGGAATTTCCAACAAATTTTTTGATATGGAAAAATGATCATGAACACCATTTTCACGGCTATTATTTTTGTTTTCAGAAAGTAGATTTTTGGCAATAAGAAATTCAGACTCTAGTAATGTAGGATTAAATTTAAAGTAATTATAGTAATTCAAAAATGTTTGAAGTGGCTCTACGTACCGAAAATTTAACCTGCCTATAAAATCAAGAGAGGGGAAAATGCCTACGCCTGCTTCCTCCCAAAATGACGCCACTGTATGATATATTCTCCAAACGGGTTCTTCCCATTCTACAGTCTACATATATATACATGTGGATAGATACAATACACTACCTAGTTTATAACGACGAATTATTATTATTCCAATGTACTTTTTGTCTTCGTAAAAACGGCAAATCAGTTTTCTCGTTTTCGCAGTTACAAAAAAGTATTGCTAGGTGACATTTATTTGTTTATTTTTATTTATATATTTTACAAGCGTCATATCGCTCGAATATTATGACCCGTATTATAATATACAACCATGCGGCCATATAAGATGTAAGCATTTTTTTTTTATACTTCGGAAGAATGAAAAATAAAAGAGTTAACAAGTGCGGGAACTATATGGCTTGTGATAATAATAATATGGCCCGTGAAAATTACAACGGTGTATTCATTTTATGTCTCCCATATACCTCATATACGTTTTTATTACGATAGTTGACACCAGGTGACGAAGTACGGCAATTCCGTTGGGCATTCTGTATCGAAACGTGATGTTTATAATATATATTTCGCGCATTTTATAAAATTAGAGACTCTACTATAGCGCAACCGGTGGTTGAAACTTCGTATTTCAGTGTCGTTCAAATGTATATGTAAATATGCGAGCCGTTTTGATTTTAGATTCTAAGTAGAGCGAAGAAGCTTATGGTTTTACAAAGGTGTTTATTTTTTTTTATCTGTGCGCAACTTTTCCAAAAGGAAATCGGACTGAAAGGTACTTTAGAGAGGTAATTTTCTGATTTCTTCAAGAGTTTTCTCAACAAATATGAAAAACAGTAAAAAAAAAAAAAAACACACAAGAAATTATATAATGCATATTTAATTATTTTACCATAATATAACAAATATATTGTTGACAAAGCATCACTATCAACTGAACTCCGCTCAGAATCGCTTTTAGTAAGCAATCGTTTATCGTTTCTTACAGATCAAAATTAATTTCCCCTTTATCTGCTGCAGTGACTTGGAATGCATATGGCAAATTCTTATCAAGATAATATTTTGATTAATACACGTATTCCATGTATTTAGTTTAACGGTTAAAAAGTAGTAGATCCTCTATGGAATGTTGTGATATTCTGATAGTGTGAACGTGGTATAGGCATAGATAATAAAGATATGGATAGGCTATCCGTACCTCATCAGTGTTTCAAGAGGGACGGGCACAGTTACTCCAAGTTTCACAAAGTAAGGCATTTTATCCATATGGTGGCGAATGAAGTAAATCGCCTAAGTTTACCGTCCCTCCGGGAATTTTGTTTCACTTATAATTGTTATAGGGGTGGCCTATCCATTTTTTTTTCGGCACATTAGCATATTTACAGTGTGATAAATATTTTTCACAGTTTATCATCACTACTTTTGGCCACCGGTCGTGCCGCAATCGAGTCTTTAATGATTTTGCTACTATTCGTTTAGCATATCCCCGTACGCGTTCAACACTTTAATCGCGCCCGATAAATCATTTTTGTATGTATATTTCATATGTTCGAGAAAAACTTTTAGCAAGCGAGTTGCTGCAGTATTTACGAAATTATATTTCGATCGTATGTTCGACGTACAGTGCACTAACTTTCATCGTACCCCTTTCATTCCCAATACTGTTTCGTTGTTTATGATGTCTGAGAACATTTTTTTTTTTTTTTTTTGGCATACGAACTGAATACATTTTACAGCTTGTATAACTGTGCTGCTGATAATATGCTTGCAACTTTCTATAATATCTAATACGTATAGGTACGTGTATGGCGAACTCGCGGTTCTATATTTGTATACAATTTTAGATTATTTTACATAGTGGAAAAAGCGATAGAAAATTTTATCCGGTTTAAAATTATAATAGTAATTTTGGTTTTTGTTCGGCTTATATATTACGGATATTCGGAGGCAGTTTTCGGTCGTTATATTGGTTCCGTAACAATTCTTCACCCCCTCCAGAGTCATGAATATAATACGAAACCCCGATCGAAAATACACCGTGGAAAGCTCCATCGATGTAGAGGGTGTTGCGACACTTAGTGTTCTACAGGAAAATACTGGCACACTCAGTATACCATGTAGTTGAAGAAGTATAGTATTGTATATTTCACGATAATAGCATGCTAAACACTATTGTTTTTACATTGTCATCCCGTGAAGGCGTATTTACAGACCTTATCCGAGTTCGGCTCAAGCGGTTTAATGTAAATACGCAACTCGTCGTGGCTTTTCACCGAATAGGTATTGTAGAGTTTAGGTTTGCACTCAAGACACAAATTTCCTCGTAACAATGTCGTATTTGGATCGACAAGCAGATGAAGTTTTGTAAAATTCCTAAAATCTCGTAAAACTATTGGTACGTTTCAGCTTAGATGTCCGTAAATACGTGTCCCGCAAATGGTGCAAAAAAGAAACACGTTAAATTATATAATATTCGTTGTATACGCTTACGAAATTTCACGTCCCTAAAAGTTTGGGTCTTGTGGTTCCAGATCTTTGCCCCAGCAATAGTGTAGCACCCTTCGAACTCGCTAGTATAATTCAATGTTTACGTAACGATTTAAATTATTGTAAGTTTGAAAAAAAAAAAACGTAGAAAATTAAAAATACTCGTAATGTTATTTAACATTTGTGACTAAAAATTAGCCAATTTCTAATCCATATATTAAGCTTTTCTTCGTAACTTGGCTGAAATATATATGCATTACGATATTAGATTACTTATATTTGTTTGTATTTTAAGCCAATGAGGGGGGGATACAACCCTCAACCTACCCCACCCTTCGTACATCACCGAGTGTAAGGGTGCGGTTCTTTTAACGGATATAGGCAATCTATAATATAGCGTTTGACGAGCTTCCGAACATGACTCTAATAAAATGTTTTTTCTTCTTAGAGTATCGGAAACATCTACTTATGCATTTTATCTGCTGTAATGTTGATTTGTTGTCCTACGAATAAATAAATAAATAAACCTACGCTGAATTTCAATTACGTAGTGTGTCTGTTATTATCGTATTCAGATTTGCCGTCGTGGCATTCAATAGCCAAGACCTATCGTAAAAACGTCCCGATTAGCTTGAGTTCCAGTGATTATAGGGCTGACCTCATGTGTTCTGTCGTTTGGGTTACATAATTGTCAGTCGATTCATAGTGTTATCAGAAAAGTTGTAGGACGAATCAACGAAAACAATTAACTCGAAAAGTACGTCGAATTAACAAAAAAACAAGCTTTCAGTTGAAAGTCAACGAAAAATAAATTTAAAAAATATGTTTACTTAACTCAGTTAAAAAAAATAAAGAGTTAATTTTTCTATTTAAATTATTATATTACCGTCTGCAGTTTTCTGATGACCAGTATGTAGAAGACGAATATGAGCATGAGCGGTATGGCGAACCCGAGCACGAACGAGTAGAGCGTGAACGCCGTCTGCCCGCTGAATAGATCGCTCTCGGGCCATATGATGTTGCAGCTCATGACGTTGCCCTTTTCCATGGTGCTCGCGTAAATGATGACCGGTATCATGAGTATGATGCTGAACGTCCACGCGGTGACCGACACGATCTTGGACACGTACGCGGTGCGCACCTTGGACGACGATATCGGATGACATATGGCTATGTACCGGTCGGCGCTCATGATCATCAGGAATATGCTGCTGGTGAATTGGTTCACGCTGGTGGTGGTCATGTACACCTTGCACATGATGTTGCCGAACGGCCAAAAGTCCAGCGACATGGTGACGATCAGAAACGGTATGCCGATCAGGAAACACTCGTCGGCGATCGCCAGGTTGACGATGTACATGTTGGTCACTGTCTGCATCTTCGAGAACCGTATCACCACGTAGATGACCAGCGTGTTGCCCACCAGCCCGATGATGCACACGATTATGTACAGGATCTTCGAGATCAGGTACAGCGACGACTCGTGAACGGACGGGTCGCCGCAGTACACTTCCCGATCGCTGACGGTGTCGTTATACGCCGTGCTGTTGAAGTTAACGGCCCCGTTGCCGCCGCCTCCGCCGATCGACGTTGTCGCCGGTTCCACGGATGGCAAACCACCCGCCACCAGCTGCACGACGGTCGGGAAATCCATCGTCAAATCCACGGCGATCACGACGCGTGCGTGCCCTGTGGTGGTGTCCGTCCGTGCGGTCGCGTACGCTTGGCGCGTTGTCGAGAAGTCCGCCGTCACCCTTATTCACATTGTCGTCGTCACTGTAGTTTTCCTGCGATAACGAGAAAAAAAAATAAATATCACACTAAAACGTATACGCGCTCGTCGCAATTTTCTGGGGATGGCGAGTTTCACGTTTAGGTTATTCATGTATAATTCAGCGCTGTATAGTTATAAAAAAAAAACAGATGGCTTACCGTAAGCAGGATTTATACCGGTACGCGGGAAAATGAAGGAAGTACACGATACACTATAAATATAAACGCCCACACGACGTGTGGGCGACGGATTCTATTTTTACGCTAAGTACACATAGATATTATACAGCTGTTATGTCATTTGACTGTCGATTGTTCGTTGTCCAATCTACTGTACATTGCCGTGAAATGCGTACGGACACGATTTTTTTTTTCATCGTTACAGTCTTAGTTTTTTGTAATCCGCGACAAATAATCATAATGGTCGTCGACTACAGCGCTATATTTACAATATGCGAAATGTTACAAAGAACGGGACTTCCACACGACGCGTTGTACCGATTTATGGAGTTTTATTTTTTTCATACTTCTTGTACATACGCGTATACACGTTCTGTACTCCACGGCCACGGCCCCTTTTGTTATATAAAATCATATAAAAAAATATTATAATTCGTACCGGACGAGCTTCGTCTACACTTGTTTCCCCCCCCCCCCCCTTTGAATTCGTACTCGAGCCAATCACTCAAATAGAAACATTCATTATCTCGGAAAGTATTAACTTTTTACGGAGTTTTCAGATTTTGAGCGGAACGAGAAATGTATTGGTTTCGCTATTTTTTCTTCTGTGAATAACATTTATAGCCGAAATTTCGATCCGATTTTCAAGTGTAGCATCTTTTCTGAAAGAAAATTTGACCAAGGTGGTTTTGTTAAGGAGTTAATTTTTTGATTTTTCCTGGGATTTTCATAATAAATTGGAAAAAACGCGGGAATGACGGGAAAATTTACGAAATGTATTATAATCGTAAATATATTACGGTCTTCCAAGACATGTATAACCAAATCGTTTTTCGTTAGCAATGATTAATTTTTGCGCACAGATATGCATTAAATTTCCCCTCTACCTTCTCAACTTCACACCTACAACAGTTAACCATCCGTCGCGCGAAGCATGTCCGTTTTTTTTTGTTGAAAACCTATGAATAGCGGAGTGTGTTATTTGAGCGGCGGCACGGCACGCTGAAAAAAGTGAATACTTTCTGCGATAATAAGCGTTCCCGGTTGACTGAATCACCCTGTATAAGCTATACGTATACCAATAAAAAATAGCAAAATATACTACGAACGTTTTCGTAACTCAAAAAAAGAAACTTTTATAAATAATACCTAACATACATGTATATATATACATACATACAGTTAAAGACCTCTATAGTTCAAATTAATAATTACTATTATCGATTTATTTTTCTGAAAAACGTACAATCAAGACGTATCGCAGTAATATATTTTCATAATAGTTTTAATATTATAAATTAATACGAAACACGTATAAACAGGCACACCCACCTAATAAAATATATTGTATAATATTCCGGCGTGATTTACGCGTTTCCCCCGTGCGTATCCGCGTATAATAAATTGTTACAATATTATTATTTTATATTGGAAATTCCACGCGCATTCGGTGCCGGGTTTATTACTACCCGCCGTTGCGGGAATACGAGAAGTCGTTACGTTTCAATCGTGCGCTACGCATAGGCTAGTGTACGGGAATATTTTTTTATTGAAAACGATATGAGAGAAAAAAAAAGTAAAAATAAATAACTTATTTAAACGTGTTATTTTAGCGTGGAAAAAAAAAAAAGGAGAAAAACCGAACTGATCCGCCGCTAAAAAGGTTGGAATGGCGCGGGGAAATTAAATTAAATGTATTATTTTTTTTTATTTCATTTTTAGCGTTTAGCGATAACACTGTACAGCCGCAATATTACGCAGAAAACGTTTACTAATAAACGAACAAATATGCAATACGAAATGCCGTTTTTCTTTTATCGATCAGACGAGGATTTACGAAGAATCGCGGACTTGCGCGTGTGCGCCGTAGAAAATAGCGACACGCGTTTTATGCGAAATCCGGTGTTTAATAATAATAATTATTATACTCAGTGGCGCACACATAGGGGAGGGGGGAGAGGAAGCAGGGGGTCAAAACCCCCCGAAATTTCTTCGTTCAATACTGCATTTTTTTAAAATCAATTTTTACATACAACAGCGCCTGCATCCACGTGCTGAGTATGCCCGTTTTTTTTTCACTTGCATTTTTTGCGTATGGGAAAAGAATTTGATAAAATTTATTTGGATTTCAATTCAAAGAAGTAAGAATAGTTTACAATTTTTAGTTGACTTGATTAAGCCTCATTATACTTATTTTAGATTGTGAGCGGATTCTGAGCAAGGAATGTATGGGTTTTACACTGATGTTTATTTTTTTATACTCTGTACAAAAATTATGACAGAAATATTGTTCCGAAGTGCCAAGTGTAGCACATTTTCTGAAAGTGGATTTTCCTAAGGGGGTACTTAAGAAAGGTCATATTTTGATTTTCCCAGAAGTTTTCTCACAAAATTGGAAAACCGGAAAAAAAATGGAAAATATTATGGGTCTTTTGTTTCCTGTAGATAACTTTTCTATTAGCAAATAGTAATAATAAACATAACAAGCATAATGATAATAATGAACACTTTAACAATTATAATCACTAGTAATAATAACGAGCATAATGATAATAATAATAACAAAATCAGTATCATAATAATAATCAATACTTTTAATAATATCACTCAACAATAATAATAATAAGCACAGTAATAAAAACCGTCAGTCACGATGACAATCATCAGCAAATTTCATTATCAGAATTTTAATAAGAGTAATAACAATAATGATAATAAAAATAACGACGAGCATTTTACAAATCATAATCATAACCGGCATATTTCAATGATCATCAATAGTCATACAATACAATTGTTTTTATTATCATTAATGAAATGTTAATCGTTTTTATTGTCACCTATTATGCTTATTAATAAAATGGTTATTATGATTATGGTTTTTATAGGGTTCATTATATTATTATTGTTTTTATTACCGTTATTAAAATTATCATTATAATTGATGGTTGTTATAAGTATACTGATTGTTATTATTGTCGATCGATAATATTAAAAGTATTGACAATTGTTACGATCATTTTTTGATTGTTGTTACTAAAATTTTTATTATTATAATTGGTGATTATTTCTATTCAAGTGATTATTATATTTATTATTACCTAATACGCTTCTCAATGAAATGCTGATTATGATTTACAAAGTGCTCGTTATTATTATTTAAAATTATGTTTACGAATGTTGTTGATTATTCTATTAAAATGCTGATTATGATATTTGATAAATATTGTTAAAAGTATTGATGTTTATTATGATGCTGATTTGATTATTGTTGATTTGATTATCATTGTTAATGTATTATTATATAAAATGCTCATTATTATTATTGCTGATTATGATTATTTAAGTGATCATCAGCAAAATCAGTTCTCTTTTGATTTTTTTCTCGGAAAACACTTTTTCGGTTAATAAAGATGCGATTTTTCACTCGGTTATTCAACGATTTTTTATTGTTACGATATATCGCATTTGTTTTTGACCATTTCTGGGTCACTTTGGCTACAATGTTTAAAAAAATACTACTAAAATATTCTAATAGTAGTTCCACTCAGAATCGTTTTATGATTATAATGATTTATCGTTGGTTTCGGCGTACAATAGCTAAATTACCCTATACCTTTTCGACTTTCCGCTCTCAATAACAATGGCCAGCACCCATGGGGCGCAAAGTATATGTGTCCGGGTCTTTTGTTATTTAAATTTTCCTAACACAGTTCGAATATCCTATTTTCGAAATACATTATTGTAAGCCGTATCAAATTTAGTGTAAAAAAATAAAAAAGAAACCAAACGACAACAGGAAATCGCAAACTTTTTTTTTACAAATCTATATTGCGTGTAACGCTTTAAAATGTAATGTATAAAAAATACGTTTTGTTATTTTGTTTTATGTTTGTTTTTCGGCCGTCGCGAAAAACGTGAATATTATTTAAAATTATCGCTAACCATGCACAGTGTAGACATTGAGAGATGATACTTTAAAATATATCGGACAGTTTTTTTGATCGTAACCGCAGAGAAACATCAATTCGAGTTAGGGAGTTTAGTTCCTAAACACGTAATACACGTTATAAATATTCCGTTTGACCGTAAGTTAGGTACAAAGTTGAATATAGTTTGCAAATGTTTTGTTTTATGAAAATCTAATAATGTATTCCATTAACAATCAATAGTAGTACCTATACGTTTTTTATCTGTGGAAATAAAATCGTTTTGGAAAATAGGGTATACATTGACGGGCATTTTTCAGAATCAGAATTTTGATCGGTGTCGAATTCTGCAGTTATCTATAGGTACCTAGCATTTTCGATTCTAATCGAAGCGAAGAATATATTGGTTTTACAATGAGAGTGTTTTTTCTCTGTGCATTTTGTAAACAACTTTTGTATCAGAAATCTTGCTCCGGTTAAAATTATTATAAGAACTTTCTTCTATGAATGTCAATATATAGTATCTGCTTAGAAGAGGTCTTTAGTTTTTTATTTTTCTTGTAGATTTCTTTAATTAATGGGAAATGGACACAGTATTAAATCGAAGCGATTTTCCTCGTGAAAAACAATAATTTGTGAACGAACCGATCACTAATTTGTTTTTATTTTTTCTATCACATCATAGGAAAAATATGTGAGTGATATATTATATATATTTAGCATTTTTATATTTTTTTAGCAAGTAGCAGAGTGAAATAGAAATCCTGTTCAT